GGCGATCGAGTCGGGCGATCGGCCCGATCCAGCCGTAGTGGGCACCCCGTTGACCAGGCGCAGGCCAAGGTCTTGACGATCTTTTCTTTCAGTCTGATTCTTCATCTTCACCTAAGCCCCCCCCCCCCTTCCTTTGCTTTAAGTTATTTTTCTTAAAATTCCAAAAATATGACGCTGGCGTACCTAGGACGATTGCTGAGAAAGTTTATTTCACAATATTTCACATTTCAAATGGCTGTCCAGGCTTAGCAGTAATAAGTACTCTTTGGCAGGTTATATTTTTGTAGCGTAACGTTACAATTAGCCTATTTTATAACCTTTATGGTCCTTTATGCCAACTGCAGAGATAGGGATTACAATTGAAAAAGGTGCGTGCCTATGAGTGTAGTACAGAAACTGTATACATGTATAGACAAATTATTATTAATTGCATGGTAGGGCTAGATCTAGGCCTAGATCTACTGTAACAGTTGTATCATTTTTTTCCAACCCCGTCAATCATAGGCTAGGCCTTGGGGAAAGAATGTTTTTAAAAAACCTGGAATAAGGGTTTGCCTCGTTTTGAATTTTAGCCAAGAAGCCATCTTGAATTATTTATCGACTTCCTTTCTTTTTTCCCCCCTTTGTGCGTTCGGTGGCGTGGGAAGAAGCGGCGAGGAAGACGCCTTGTTTTTAGTTCTGTAAGCCGATTTTGGTAAGTTATTAACGTTGTATTTATGTCTGTTGATTTGTTTACTTTGCGTAATCTTAATTATGTCTTACTGAGCGCGCGAAGCTTCAAGTTAATTTGAGTGGAATTGGCTACTTATTCACCACGCTATGTAATCTACTCGCCGCACGCCGGCCTGCCATTGCATTGATTTCCTGCGTCTGCGTGCGGGTTGAATTTGAGCTAGAATCTAGATCTAGATCTACTTCAAACACCAGTGACGCTTCGTAAAGAGGAGACAATGGGTTTTATTACTTTTGTCTTGCTGCATCTGATAGGGTTTATTTGACATCAATAGATTCTAGAGGTCTTCGACCATTGGTGAAATCTTATCCATGACCATATCAAAGGCGGCGGAACCTGGATAGCATTTAACCTCCGCCGGCTGCCAGATATGCCCTTCGGCGCCTTCGCCTTCTCATCTTTGTGCGTCGATTTCCACTTCCATGTTAGATCTATAGATATAGATCTAGAATCTAGACTCTAGAATATATTACATCTAGATTCTAGATCTAATCTAGAGTCTAGAGTAATCGTACCGGGTCAGGCAGCACGTTTTTTTAGCTGTCGAGCACTGGAGTAGAGCACTGGAGTACAAAAAGATCGTTTAAAACTTTGTTTTTAAATCTAGATCTAGATCTAGATCTAGATCTAGATCTAGCCTAAAAAGAGTGGCACACAAACCTAAAAGCAACCTCCTTTACTTTAGTTGAAACAACGGCTTACCTAAACAACAGTTACGGCGATATTTTGCTAAAAATAGTCCTTAAGACAGCTTTTTCTTCATCAACTGAGCAAAACAGCGTGAAGCTCTTTCCCCGGAAGAGTTAACATTGGTTGTGGATGAAGGAGCCTGTTGTGGCCTAGAATCTAGAGTCACGACCCCACTCGTGGGCCACTAAGCTACCCACGTAGGGAAAATCACTCTCAGACTCAAATCCAGTTATCAATGTTTTTCTTTTAGTGCTGTTATGAAGAGTAACATGTATGCCCTTGGACCATTTGAGGGGTGTCCCATGCTTGGCACTTGGTATTTTATGTTAGTAATCCAACCTTTTTTGGGACAGTGTCAGAAAATCCTAATTACCCCCCAAATGGGACAGGCTCCTCACATGGGACACTAAGGCACCCAATATGGGACACCCCTAGTTTTCAGCTTGTTGGGACACTAATGTACTCAAACTCAACATGTAATTTCATTGCTTGATGTTCTGCTTTCATTTGTGCATGTAAATTTCATTTTCACTTTAAAACAGTGGTACTGATACACTGAACAATGACATATATATAGGTCTATTATATATAACATCATGCTCCCAACAAACATGCATGCTGTAACAATTTCACAACACATGGTGCAGGACACTTTTGATACTTGTAAATCCTCTCTGGACACTTGAGCAAACCTGGATCAACTTTGCTAATGTCTTGTTTTGCTTTTTTAAACCAGTTCAAAATTTTTTTCTTTTGTGACCGACGCTCTCTGGCTCCCATTAAGTGCTTGGGGTGTTCTGATTGAAATGGCATCCTTTTGTCTCTAAATAAAGCATACAATTTTAATACTGCTTGAAGGCTTCCCTAAAGCTCTTTTTTTTTGGGGGGGGGGGGGCTGAACAGCATCCACTGTAGCCTGGATGGCATCTTCAGAGTTGGCAAGGCGCTTTGATGGTGCCATAGTGCTGAAGAAAAAACTCCACTCTAGCATGAAAGTTCAGAGATCAATGCCAATTTGTCCCACTTAAAAAGATGTCATGGGTCAAAGGGCACGGTGGCACGGTCGTGATGACTGAAAAACCCGGTAAGAGACGTCAGTCGATTGCTGGCAGTTGAAGAGTGAGGACGTAAAAAACTGAGTAGGGGAGCTCGGAAACCAAGAATAGCGGGCCACTAGGCACCAGGGGCGCCATAGCGAAAGTAGTTCCGACCGGTGGTCCGGTAAAGTACAGTCTTACCCATAAAATCCGTAATTTCTCATCCTTGAGGCACATAAGATAATATAGCGCCAATGGTTATACAATAAAGAATGAAAGTGGCTATTCTCACCCGCCGGAAGTTCTCGCAAGATCAACTCCTCCCCTCTTCTCTCTCTCTCTCTGTCTCTTTCTGAATACTGTCTATCGGTGTGGACGATCAAATTGACCAAAACAAAGTTTAAAAATGATGTTAAAACACAAAAGTAAATTAATTTGGTTGTCTACAAAGATGCTACGGCTATTTAACTTTTCGAATCGAGCCGAACTACGCGGGTCGCCATTTTGTTTTGCCCGGAAATTCTCGCGCTACTCCTCTCTCTCTCCACTGCCCACAGACAAAATTGTACGCTTTTAGTAGGCTACAGTTGTAATGGAACGTTTGTTCACGGCACAGAATTCTACAATTTTTCTGTTATCACAGTGTAGAATTCTGTGGTTTAGGGTGAACGCGCACCGGGTGAGAATAGCCACAAGACTCGCCTGCACTATTCTCACTCCGGGTGAGAATAGAGGTGGCCATAAAGAATCAAGAATTTGTGCGTAATCTGAAAACACTATCTTTAGTTTTATACATAGATCTAGATCTAGATCTAATTTGTGTCTAATGGGTCTATTTATTGTTCTCAACTAATTTCATAGGTCATAGGACAAGCATCTAGTCTAGAGCTACGGTACCAACTTGGCGTGTTTTCAATGAGACGTAGGCCTAGATCTAGGCTAGCCTTAACATACACTTTGGTGTAGAACCAACACAGGCAATTCTAGAAGTAGGTCACAAACGCTCACAAACTCAAGCAGAAATTCACGTTATATCGGGGAACATAAATCGGGGGGGCGGGGGTCAGAAAAAGACACACACACAGGGACAGAGAGGCGAACGCGCAACACCGAGCACAATAAGCAAGATCTACCCACCTACGCAACGCAAAAGAGCTCCAATTTACTCGGTGGCAATTGACAAAAAATCAATTTTTGTCAATTGCCGCCGCGTCACTCTGTGGCAATTGACACTACCTTTAACACATTACACCCTAAGGGCCTGGACGGGAAGTCCATTGTTAGATCCTAAGCAAGGGGAAGGAACCCACCTCCCGTGAATACTAGCCTTTAAAAAACACATTTTAAAAATACTAAACAAATTCCAAAAATCCTGAAAAAATAAAAGTTAAAAAGAAAACTGAATGTACTTTCAGAAAAATATAACTTTATGTATGCGCAAACTGTTGGAAATGTTCTAACTTTAGTTCAATCGGGTGTCCGACCCGTCACTCTCACTCTCAGCGTCGCGGTCGGGCCCTAGATCTAAATTCTATAATTTCTCCGTCTGATCAATCGGAATCGCCCCAAACTCTTCCTACGTTTTCATCAAAATCTGAGCCATCTGATTTGTCACATGCTCGTTTTTGCTCAAATCCATCGTTATTTCCGTTTTCGAACTCAATTGTGTCGCTTTTCAACAAGTCAAGGCACTTTCGAAGTGTCGGTAACGCGATCGCACTTCGATCAGCTCTAATACTAAAACTACTGGCCCGAAAAATTTCGTTTCGGTATCAAACAAAAGAAGAAACTTTTTGCTATACTATACTATGCAAATCAAAATCCCGGCCCCAGAGTCTCGTCAAGGCGAGACTTTCGTTTCTAAAGACGCTGGGTCGGCGCGGGCGAGTCAGGGTGGAGCGCGTAAGGGAATTCCCGGGCGAGTTAGGGTGTAATGTGTTAAATAATAGTAGAGTCAGATACGGCATATGAGCTCAGTCAGACACCAGAGTGGTAAAGTCAGATACCAGCGTGTAATACAGTCAGATACCAGTGTAGTCGAGTGAGCCAGATACCACGTAGTAGAGTGGGTCAGATACATATTCATCAAAATAGCTATAAATGGTGAAAACCACTTTAAACAAACTATCATTGTGTCCAAGTGTTGATAACAAGCATTAAAAATCATGTTATTAAGCTTGCAAAGAAACAAATGTGATAATAATTGAAAATGACTGAATGTCAAAATACTGCCCGAATCCATGAGAGAAAAAAAATGTCCGAACGGGTAAATAAATCGGGCGTCACTTTTGCACCCAGTAAGGGCCTCAAATATGAGAACAAGCGGAAACAGGTCATTCCTGGGGTCATCCAATCACAGGACTTCCTGTAGCTGGTTTCGGTTTGTCTCTAGGGCAAGGCAGATAGGAGATATAAAGCTTTAAAGTCGACGTGCCTGTTTTCGTCCTTATTTTGACCGAACCTGTAATTTTACTGTAGATATCTTGATCTAGTTCTAGAATCTAGATCTATACGTTTGATGCTTGGCAAGCTAAGATATCAAACCTAACAACTGCAAAACATCAAATTATGGTAAATTCGGGGGGGGGGGGGGGGGGGGCAATTACGGCTCAACATGATAAAAGGCATAGCCTACAAAACCATATATTTTCTTTAAGTAAAGGCCACCTCTATTCTCATCCGGGATGAGAATAGTGCAGGCTAGTCTTTTGGCTATTCTCACCCGGTGCGCGTTCACCGTTATAGCCTAGATCTAGGCCAACAAATTTTGCGTTCACCCTAAACCACAGAATTCTACACTGTGATAACAGAAAAATTGTAGAATTCTGTACCGTGAACAAACGTTCCATTACAACTGTAGCCTACTAAAAGCGTACAATTTTGTATGTGGGCAGTGGAGAGAGAGAGACAGAGAGAGGAGTAGCGCGAGAACTTCCGGTCAAAACAAAATGGCGATCCGCGTAGTTCTGTAGACAACCAAATTAATTTACTTTTGTGTTTTAACATCAGTTTTTAACTTTGTTTTGGTCAATTTGATCGTCCACACCGATAGACAGTATTCAGAAAGAGACAGAGAGAGAGAAAGAGGGGAGGAGTAGATCTTGCGAGAACTTCCGGGCAAAACAAAATGGCGACCCGCGTAGTTCGGCTCGATTCGAACAATGAAATAGCCATAGCATCTTTGAAGACGATCAAATTAGCTTACTTTTGTGCTATAACGTTATTTTTTCTTGGCTTTTATCAATTTGATCATCCACACCGATAGACAGTATTCCAAAATGAGGAAAAGCAGGTCTTGTTTCGCACCGTGTGAGAATAGCCTGCGCTGGCAAGTCTCACCCAGGGTTAAAGGTAGATCGTTTTTCTATTCTCACCCCGGATGAGAATAGCCACTTCCTAAAGTAAAAGCTGATAGAATGAGTGATTAAAAAAGGCCGGCTCTATTTCTCCGAACGGTTTCCATTCTCGAGATTTGTTAGACCTGCCTGTTTGCCGACAATCGTCTGAAATCCGACAAAGTCACGAAGTATACAGACCCGGTAGGGGAACTCTTTTGTGATTTCGGAAAGTTTCAGCGCCCAGACCCGGTATAGTGTTTGTGTGTGTGTGAGAGAGAGAGATAGAGGTGCTAGAAGTCCAGTTGGCAGGAGGGAACAAGAGAAAGATAGAGTGGGAAATAGGTGGGGAGAGAGAAAGACAGAGACAAACAAAGAAAAGGAGAAGGCGAGGGATACACAGAGGAGAGAGAGAGAGAAAGGCAGAGAAATAGAGAGGGTCACTGCGTGATTGAAATAATGCATTGCACTTTTCTTCAAATTGTGATTCCTACAACTCCGAAACGGAGGAAAAACGATCGTTCACCGAAAAGACATCCGCAATCTTCATTTAGATCTAGATCTGGGCTAGCCTCGAAACTAGATTAAAGATTAATGATTTATGTCTCTGTCAAGATCAAGAAGAACCTAGGTCTACCCTGAGCGGAGTTCCCCTACCGGGTCTGTATACTTTGTGACTTTGTTTCCGGTTACCGGGTCTGTATACACTCCCAAATTTTAAAGTCAGTTTGGTAGTAACCTTGGTGATTTGCCATTGATCCTGATTTTTTTTCTCCCTGAGATACTGATTTTTTAGATTTCATAGAGTGGCAGGTCTGCATATTCACATCACTAAGTTTGTATTTCTTTCAGTTCAGATTTGGCCCACTGTTTATTGCATTCTCTCTTTATTATTTTCAGGGTGTTTTTTTGCTCAAAGGCGAACACAATGACGATCAAGATTTTCTTGGGGAACTTGAGTTCCGATACCACATCTGATAAAATTCGACCTCTGTTCGAAAAATATGGGCAAGTTGCTGAGTGTGACGTTCTCAAAAACTTCGGGTTTGTGGTAAGTAGTAAGTGCTCTATATTAATTTAGATGTTGTCCACTGAAAGTAAGCTACTGGGTGGGAACTTTAAGATATTTGCTGGTGGGTGGACAGCTCTGGTAAAGTTGGACAAATAACAAGTTATTCATGAAAGAAATTTTTAGATTTCGTTTATTTAACTAATTACTTTGTCATTGCTCCAGTCACTTGTCTTTAAACATACATAGACCTGCATGTTTGCTGACAATCATCTGAAATCCGACAATCGCGAACCGGCCGATGCTATTGCTAGGCCCGCCTGTATCAGTCAACGTGCGTAGTGCGAGGCTTGGCTGACGGCCAGCGACCTCTTTTTCTCCCGTCGGCACTTTCGTTTTCGTGCCACGCACTGCCGACGTCGGCGTTTCAGACATAATTGTCGGAACCTGAGTAGAAATGCGAATACGAAAAAGGACAACTTAAATTATCTACTTTCAGTTTCGTGCTCGAGCAGCCATTTTGAATTTCGTTTGTTGACTAATTCAATTGTTCAGATCGTGTGGATTCATTCAAGTCCGACTCTCTTGTTCTAATAGAATCTAGATCTAGATTTATATAGATCATTATAGACCTCAATGGAGGATTCATATTCCAATTCTATTGTGTCAAACCCTATCATAGGTTGTGCTGTAATATTAATATTGGTAAAAATAAGCATTTCATTAGGTGCGTGAATTATTCATTTATTTAGATCTAGATATAGAATCTAGACTCAGCCGAGTCCCTCTGTTCGGAATCGGATGCGGATTTCTAGTTCTAGGCCTATTCCTATTCACTTGTTCTACAAGATCTAGATTCTAGATTTATTTAGATTACTAGTATCTAGATCTAGATGGAGGATTCATATTCCAATTCTATTGTGTTATTGTATCAAACCCTATAGCAATGTAGATGTGAGCCATATAGATCTAGAATCTAGATCTATGCTCCTTGTTTGTTTTGGAGTGTGGTTTTTTTATTTTAATTTTTTTTTTTCCATTTAGGAATTGTTTTGGCCTTTTTACATGAGGCCCGTTGCAGGTTTTTTTGGGGGGTTGGGGTTAGGTCTCTTCTTTATTGAGTTTGTTGGGGTGGTCGCTCGTTACTCAGATGTCCTTCCTTATGACACCCACAAAGGCTTGGGGGGGGGGGGGTGTTGCGCAAAATTATCAGACAATCTGGTTGAGGCTCACATGCAGGTCTACATACAAGTCGTTCAGGAGCATTGCTGTGTCACATTTCGGCAAATTCTGTTTTTTTGTGCCATCTTTTAGTAATCTTTGGAATGGAGAATGTCTCTCAGAAATTTGGTTTACTCCAGGGACGTGTTGACCCTTAAAGCACAGACTTTCCCCTTATGTTTTCCCTCTGTGCTGAATTTATTTTGGAGAAACGCCAGATTTTTGCACATACGCTTCTTTTTTTTTGCCAATAACTTTTTTATTTGTCAAAATTTCTTGTGAAGGTAAGAATAAAAGTTTTAGAATATTGAAAGTTCTTTATGATTATGTTAATCAAAAAGTATTTTGTGAAGTTATTGTTGTAGTAGTGATGTTGAAAATGACTGAATAAAAACTGCCGGTTCATTAGATCTCTGGATCTAGACCCGAGTCTAGATGCTTCGTAGGCCTACGTTATATTCCACAAAGTACAAAGTGTTAGCTCTAGCATCAAAACCCTCGAAGTCATCTTCCGATCCAAGGAAAAAACGCGGAACATTTTCATCTGAATCTGATGCGACACTATTTTCATGTTTGTCGCCGGTCGCAATTGCGAATTTTCTGACTTCACTTTCCTTCGACTTTGTGAAGCAAAAAACTCCTCGCGCCTCGATCGAACCCTGTGACAAGAAAAATGGCGCCCGAAATCAATTCTGCGTAGCCTACCAGCCAGCAGTATAACAATTAGTACTCCGTTCTTTTCGTACATCGCGAACATTGCTGGCAGTAACACTCTCTACTCTGTAGAGTAATCAATGAATTACTACTATGACATCTCATAACAGGAGTGAGAGGTGGTGTTGGTTTAATTTTCCATGTATATTGTGCAAACATGATATCTCTGTTTGTTCGATTGTGAGACGGATGGTAAGACTGCCAGTTTTAAGAAACCATAATACGAGATTGTTTATATAAAGGTGATACCTTAGAAATAACTCATTGTATACAGTCAAACACAGTGTGGTGTCATTTTGTGTAATCTAGGATGTATTCACTAACTTGCATTTCATTGACTTGATTTTTGCAGCATATGGTGAACAAGAATGAGGCCAACAAAGCCATTGCACAACTTGATGGCTACAGTGTTGACGGAAACAACATCCGTGTAGAGGTATGTTTTTCTAAAGATGTATTTTCTAAGGGAAGATTTTGTTGACTTCAGGAGTTGGGGAATTTTATTTGTTCTAAATTGTCACAGCCAGTGTGTGTATTGTTTATTGCTTACGTATTTTGATAAATCTTGTGCATGCACCGACAAGAAGGTTAATGTCGCTGTTTGGTGAATGATGCGAAGTTTTTTTAAAAATGGTAATGCGTGTCAAGTGACTTTTGTGAAATGCTCACATATTGTAAAAGAAAATTTTGTCGTGCGTAATTTTTTGTTTCTTTTTTGTTTTTGTTAAGAGAACCGAGTACATTTTTTTACGATGTTGTAAAGTGAAGCATGATTCGATATGCTGATATATGCAAAGTCAATGAAACCTGTCGTCTTTTAACAAAATTTATATGCGGTGTTAATTCTGCGAATTGTAGTTATTACATTCTTAATATATTGTAAACCGACCAGGGCAGGTTTCATTGCACAGGCGTTACATATTTATAGCACACATTTTCATTTTTTTTAATCTTGCAGCTATCGACCGGAAAGAAAGGTGGCGGCGCCGGTGGCGGGAAATTCGACAAGAAAGGGTTAGGAAATTATATGCGTTAGATCGTATACCGTTATTGTTCATCTCCGCTGAATCCTGGTTGTGCCGTGCCGATGCCGTCTGCGATTGACATCCTTCGATGCGTGAGACGAATCCGGATCGGTATAACCGTGCAGTGTTTCAGCCGTAATGTCGAATTCAAGCGATTGGGCAGACCTTTCTTAGCACTGAGTTCATGGAAGGGTTGCTCCCTGAGAATTATTAAGCTGGAGAGCAGTATTTGCATCAGCAAATAGAAATTGTTGCGAAAATATATTGTTTGCTTTTTAAATTTTAATTAACATCTTGGCAACCTTTCCATGAATTAATTAAAAGTACAGGTAAGCAGAATCGTCTTAAGTAAAGTCAGATCGGAATGGAAGGGTGAAGGTGTCGTTTGAATTCTGCGTTGGTAATGTGAAACAACCCCCCCCCCCCCCCCCCTCTAAAAAATTAATTCCTTAAAGTTCGATAGTTTGGTGCTTTAGCTTACATTTTTTACCTTCTTTTAGTAGTTTTTTTTTCCCCTCAGCATTCTGTTAAGTATCTAATAGAGCTTTTAATAAATTTTGCTATTTCAAAGTGGTAAGTGCACTTAACCTGAATTATTTAGTGTTTGGTCCAAATTTGTCAGTTTTATCAGCGCGTTTGCGTCGGTGATTGGAGTTACGAGTAATACTGAGTTTGTGCTCCAAGCATAGTTTCTATGCTGTTTCTGGAAGGTAAATTGTGTCCCGTTTGAATAGGAAAAGATAATTTTTTTCCCCACCATATTGTGGCAAGGCATTGAGAACAAGTAGCCTCTTTGTATAGGTCGCTTTTGTTGTACTCTCTGTGTGACACACTGCATTCCACTTTCAGGTTTGGAAATCAGAGGCCGCGGCCTTACGGGCCACCCCCACCTGGACGAGGAGATCCCCGTGATTTCGATAGATATCCATACCCTCCACCTCCTCCTCTCCCGTACGATAGGTATGATCCCTATTACCGTTACTACTTGGATAGAGAGGCCTACTATGCCAGAGTAGCTCCCCTGCCCGGAGACAGGGGTGCATACCCACCTGCAGCAGCAAGCCGGGAGCGCTACCCTCCAGTCCCTCCCCGTGATCGGATTGCTGACCGCTACCCTCCTCCCCCTGACCCTAGGGACAGACTCCCCCCACCTCGATCATACCTGGAGGATAGGGCACGTGGCATCCCCCCACCAGATCCCTACTTCAGAGAAAGGGACCCCCTTGGAGCAAGGCCTCCCCCAGAATATTATGACAGGTTGGTATCCTTGAATTATGCATTGTATTTTGAGGGGATCTGCATTATGTCGAGGAGCCTTTCATTTGATGCTAAACTTTGTTTGGTCTGTACTGTGATGCCGCTATTTTCTTGTAGAGTTAAAAATCTTTTAGATAATTCATTGTATGTTTGTCAAGGACCTTAAATGTATCGAGTATCAGCATTTCATTTTGTTTTACTGTTCATTAGTTGAAGATTTTGTCATGCGAACCTAGAAAAATGAGAAAAATCGCTTTTATTGATTTGTCTTTGAAGAATGGTTCGACTGGGATCATGAAACTTTACCATAGGCATTTTTGATTCACTCATAGTCCACTTGAATTTCTCCTTTGTAGTTTTGTCTTTTTTGCTCCTCCCCTCCACTTCCTTCTTTATTGTACTTCTGCATTAAACCTTGAACTCTTTGAAAAGTTTTCTTTAGATTTGTGAGATATATATTTTCTCTCTGAGAGTGTGCGATACAGCCTTTGTTGAAACAAGTCAGAACATTTAGATATCTACTCATTACAGCTGCTCCCTTCAGTCTTGTGTTGGCTGCAACATACAATGAGGTACAATCAATCCTGCTTTAATGACAGCTTGTCCTAGATAATCACTGATGCAAATTATTACTGTCCATTTTGCCTTTCTTTTTTTTTTGTTCATTATAAGGACACCATCCAAGACAGCCAGTTTCCTCCTTGATGATGGGTGGCTGTCCTGGACAATTTTGACTGTACTTTGGAAATTTCCTCTTTACTTTTTGTTGTTCAAGCTGTTTGCAATATTTATCTTGTGGAACACTTGTGGCATGCCTTTTGAGCATTCATTCTTTTATTTCCTTGTGGCTTCACAAATTCAAGTGTAATCAGCTTGAGCTCATCACAGGCTTGTTCAGGGGGGGCACAAAGTTGTTCTTATTTTGTTGGAATCTGGGTGACTCTTTGTGTTTAGGTGTGGAATCAGATTTCTAAGAAAGTTTAATTAATTTGATTGTCAAGGAGTTTGCAGGTCTGTTGGGAAACATGTGGCCTGTTGTCCTATATATTGGCAGTCTGAGACCAGTTCTTTTGATCTGAGAATCTTCTTTTTATGTCAATAGGAAGCTTCCCCTGGCAGGAGGCCGTGGTGCAGAGTCAGTTGGAGCGGCCGGAGCAGCTGCAGGCAGAGGTGCTGCGCCTGGTGGTTTCAACGGCGTAGGCAGTAGCAGCGATTTCTATCGTGGCCTGGACCGACCTGGTGCTAGCCTAGGAGGAGCTGCTGGTGGTGGTGGTGACTATTTCCGACAGTCTGGCGGTGCTGGTCAGCAAGGTGGATATGGCAGAGTTGGAATGGGTGGACCAGGTGGGAAACCGGACAGCCAGTCTTCATTTGCTACTGATCCTATCTTTTTTTAGGCAAGTGAACTTGTTTGAACAGTCGGTTTTTTGACGTTCTTTGGTGCTTTTGCTTGACGAGCTTTTGCCCATGTCATAAAACCGATTCCCGCTCAGCTAGGATTCAGCAGATTAGTGTGGCTTGTAGGGGTGGGTGTAGGTTTTAACACTTTGCCATCATATTTTGGGGAAAATTCAAAGAAACTGATAAACATCGCCAATCGGTGAGGTGAGGCGGCAAAGTGTTAAATAACATTTTAACGTCTGCTTTTTTATTTTGTTTGCGTAATGGTAGTTTTCTGAAAGGTCTGTGCTTTGATTGTTCTGATCATTGCTGTTCATCTGCTTTAGGTATAGGTTGAGTGCATGAACCATTTATTATTTTGGTTGACATCTTTGCTCTATTGGGATGGTTCCATGAGTATTCTTTTCTTTTCACCAGACGGTTGTTATTGTGTCAGTGTACTTCTTGCTGCTCAACTATTCCCATGGTTTACCTGTGCATGTTCCCTGCTATGTGTTCCCCTCTTACTTTTACATTTGGTCAAACATCCCACAACTGGGGAGCAAGTTGACATTGAAATATTTCTTGAAAAAAACTTTCAGAGAAGCACACTTCAGGAGGCTCAGTTAAAAACAATTTTTGGTTCTTGAATTCCTCTTGTTGAACTGTTCTTTAACATTTGTGGTGGGTGGTTGGCGGGTGCTCTGGTGTGGTTTGTTTCTTCTTTCCTATCAAACATGTCTTTTTCTCCCCTCCCTCTTTTTTATATTTGTTACTCTTATAGCACCTCTAATCTTCTGGCGCTCATACGACCGTATGCAGTTGCGAGCGTCGTAAAACCTTTACTAAAACAAACAAAAAACATTTTTGCCACCAGTTTCCAGTTTGTCTTTTCAGTTGTATCAACTAAAGATTTTTAATTCTTTTGCTGATATGGATTTTCCAGGCTCCACCCTGAGTTTTTTCCTCTTGTCACCCTGCCCTTGTTTGCAGCATTAGGGGAGTACTTGAACTGTTGGAGGTACTCCAAGACTGCATCTGACCCTTCATGCTGTAGCATTGTCATTCTATGTCCCTGGAAATATGCGCATGATCAGTCCCATTCAGTGGATTGTTCCCACAAGCTCTGTAACCCGAGACCAAGTTCTCGGTATTTCTCATTCCTGTTTTCCATCTGCTGCAATAAAAGCTGATATGGTTCCTTTCCGGCAAGTGTAGGCCTATCGAAAATAGGCTTTCGTCGTGAATTTCTTGACCAAACCCTTGAATTAAAAAAAATTTCTCCTTGAAATAGATGGGAAGTTCATGGCAGGAACCCTGTCCAGTTCTATATTCATTTATGGTTATTTTGATGTATCATTTGACTAGGTGCAAACATATTTTTTGAGTTTCACCAAAGATTATTAATTTATTTTCAAATTTTATCCGCATCCAATCAAAATTTTGTTGCACAAACGTTTCTTACAGGAACAAAAGTTGAAAAATACTTAAATAAACATTACAGATGTATTCTACAAACCATACTGAAAATATTGGTATATAATATGTTATTTATTTGAATTTGTGGCCCCAAAGAACTTTTAACTTCCCACTAGTCGTCATCTCATTCGCCCTCCCGAAAAAAAAATCGTCCACAGGCTGAAAATAATATTTAGCGAATGAGTTAAGCGTCACTCCCACCCCACTAGTATGTGTATCATCACTGGTAGTTTACACTTGACTTGCCTTGCCTTGCTGCAAAACCCTCCGGAAAGCTCTTAATGTTGTGGATGGTATCTCTGGGCATTTTTGTTCTTTAAAAAGTTTGATTATTTCTTGTTTTTATTCCTTTTTTTCTTTTAATTTTGAGAATTTGGGTTTTCCTTCTGAATGTTATTGAATGTTCCATTTGCTTTTGTTCAAAGTTAAATTAACAGCTTTCAATAGCTTCAGTGGTTATGAATCTATGTAGACCTGCATGTTTGCCGACAATCGTCTGAAATTCGACAATTGCGAGCCGGCAGATGCTATCACTAGGCCCACAGGTAGTCGGCGTTTCTGACATCAGTGTCGGAACCCGAGTAGAAATACGAATACGAAAAAGGACGACGACATAAATTATCTACTTTCAGTTTCGTTCGTGCTCAAGCGGCCATTTTGAATTTCGCCTGTTGACTGATTGTTCAGATAGGTCTATGTGGATTTATTCTAGTCCCACTCACTTGTTCTACTAGATTTAGATTTATATAGATCATTATTGACCTCAATGGAGGATTCATATTCTAATTCTATTGGGTCAAACCCTATTATAGGTTGTGCTGTAATATTAATGTTGATATAAAGCATTTCATCAGGTGCATAAATTATTTAGAATCTAGATCTAGACTCAGCTGAGTCCCTCTTTTCAGAATCGGATACGGATTTCTCGTTCATGGCCTATGCCTATTCACTTGTTCTACTTGATCTAGATCTAGATTTATTTAGATTACTATATCATGGAGGATTCATATTCCAATTCTATTATGTTATTGTATCAAATCCTATTATAGCAATGCAGATTTAGGCCATATTATGCTCCTTGTTTGTTTTGGAGTGGTTTTTTTTTTTTAATTTTGGACTTGTACTGCTCTTTTTACATGAGGGCCGTTGCACGTTCTTTTTTGGGGTAGGCATAGGGTTGGGTCTTTTCTTTATTGTGTTTGTTGGTGTGGTCGCTCGTTACACAGAAGTCTTTTTATGACACCCACAAAAGCTTTGGGGGGTACGCAAAATTTTCAGACAATCTGGTTGAGGCTCACATGCAAGTCTATCTATGATTTAACCCTATCCGTACGCCTGGGATAATTTTGTACCCCAAGAGTTTTATTCTTCACATTTTAGAATCCTTCTAGTGCGAAGATCTCTTAGAAACTTTCAGTATTTCTAAAAAAATCATTTTGATAGACTGCTATGTAAAGCGTACGGATCGGATTAACGAGTAAATTTCCGCTTTGGAAATTGGTGGCACTGAGTTCCCCAAGTCGTATGGATACGATAGTAAAACACGACATGCGGATAGGGTTAAGGAAGACCTTATGGGGTCTTGAAAATTAAGTGCATTTCTCTTTTTGAAGTAATGGTGGTTCATGAAAATGTTTCTAGCTGTTGAACTTTTCTTTAAGTTCACAACATGGTTTTTTGGGGTTTTTTTTTAATTTGTATTTTTTTTATTTGGGGAGGGGGAATGGTTGTATGTGATTATGATAAGTACGCTATCATTCAGCTGAAATGTTTTCATCTTTGGAACCATGTAGCCTATATCAAGGAAATCACGCAGCCTCACATTTTAAATTGTTTGTGTAGTGGATGTTGGTCTGGACAGTATATATATAATCAGTGTTTCAACTTTTCTGTCTTTTTACGGAAATCTGTACTTTCTGCCAGTTCCGTACTTGTTCCTCCATCATTATCAACTCCCGTAGGAGTGCCGAAATTCCGTAGCAAAAGATGCGTACTTGCCTTCGTATCGTCTAGTACTAGTATACGTTACGGTAATTCTCTCGGCAATAAGTTAATGTTATAGAAACCTGCCAGTTTGCGCTTTTTCTGCAATCGGCCTTTATTCTGCTATGCCCCATGCATTCATTGCGGGTTGGGCGGCAGTACATTTTTACCTGTGGATTGATCAAAATCTGGCGAACTTTTTGTGCCAATTTCCTCCTTTCTATCATTCACTCATTCCGTCTATCTTCGGATTGTAGCCGCGGCTGGAAAATCTGCTCGTTGATCAAGTAAATTGACTTGTGATCTTAGAAAATTACTGCCAGAAAGAAACTTTTTTACAAATTTGTCTCGATCTTGAGAAACGATCAATACGAAGATTCTACGGCACGGGGAACTTGATTAGGACCGTAATGAAAGGAATTTATGCTAAAACCAGCCTAAAACTTAAGGTCGAGAATAATTCGAAATGGTGTTTGGAGGTTAAGACATGCGTGAAATTTAAGGAAAATTGGGGTATACGCTGGGTAACTGTATTGTGAAGGTACATATCTATTCATAACTCCTAGGTTTGTCTTTTATCAATGGTGCGATGACAAATTAATTGAATTATTATAGTAACAATGGAAGGGGAACCTGCTTTTAAACATTGCCATCAATGGAAATATATTATGTAGATCTTGGTGAAGAAACCAAACAAGACAAAATGTTGGTGAAAAATTAAATGTTATGCAGCAATCTCTTCAAACCAGGCTCCCAAATGCGATTTCCAACCCTCTAAAAGCACTAAATTTCAGTTTCTTCGGGGGCTTCACCCCCTGAACCCCCACCGAGACTCTTGTCCCTGGCCCCCAGACCCCCGGCAGAATTTTCCTTACTTTTCAGCTTCAGCTCGTGGAGACACTGATAATAGCGCCGGAAAGTGTTCAAGTGATGTGTGGGGCATCGTGGTGAAATTAAGCGCTCGTCAAAATTATGAAATCAAAGAAGCTGGCATTTTTCTGACCGTCTGGCAGTTTTGTTCTACTTTTGTTGTTGACTAAACGCTTTTTCGTTAATTTAAAACACATTTCTGTGTGGATTTTTTTCTGAAAAACATTGATTAGAGGCTCAAAAAACGTAAATTTTTAATTTACGAGGCCTCTCAAGCTATGGAAGTTAGCAAACTGGCTATTTTCTCGCGAATTTTGCCTCTTCCTACCTTCCTCTGGCTGGCCTCATTTAGGAGGGCGGCAGTCTGCCGCAGGCAGACAGGTAAGCGGCAACCTCTTGTGGCCTCGTCCAGAGTACATCCGGGCCCGGTCTGGCGTTGTTCTCCATAAGTGGGCCTCGATGTGCTTCCCCCTCTGAAACCAGATGACCTTCACCTCCTTCAATCGCAAAAATATCTCGACTTCTATTCAACGTAATTGGATATTTTTTTCACCCAAAGTAAGGCAAATGAAAAGGCTTTAAGATGATATCAATAACCCCATGTGCCCAAAATTTCCATCACGCTGTGCCACTATTATTGCCTTGACTGCTGACCATATTTCCCACAGGTTAGGAAAATTCTGCTGTGTGCAAGACGTCACAGGTCACAATCTTTAATCGACAGTTGTTCGCTTGTAGTATCATTTCGATCGGGCTAAAATCTGAGAAGTAACTCATTTTGTCAGCGCGCCTCTCAAATGTTTTTTTTTCTTTGAGAGGTCAGTAAAATAATTTGTCATCACCTTGATATTTTTTTAAGCTAGCTGACAGCTTTTATTGCAAATTTTTTTGCGACAAAGAAGCTCATGTATTGTAAGATCAAGTTGTAGAAGTACAAGAACAGTGCATTAACACTTTCAGTACGCAGGGGATGCTGCAATTTTCTGCATCAAGGCGCGAAGGGTGCTACCCCAAAACGGCTGTAATTCAGTCAAATATTCGTTTGTGTGAGCACTCAAACCATGTGTAATTGTACAGAAAATCGAAATCCGTGTGAAAATGGGTGTAGATCTTGGGGGTTGACCTAATCGGTACCCAAAACGTCACTTAAGTGGCGATCCGGAATCAAAGAGTTAACTCACTGCAGACGGTTCACACAACAGTTGCGCGGCGCTTGTGACGGCTCCTACAAGCCCTGCGTGACCAACTTTGGAAATTTTTTTCCGCTCTACAAATCACGCTCGGATCGCGAGACCCGCCTCGTACCCTTGTTTGGCCAAACCTGAGCTACTTAGACTTCGTTTCGTATCTCTGGGGCCGGTAGTTTTTAACACATTACACCCTAAGGGCCTGGACGGGAAGTCCACTGTTAGATCCTAAGCAAGGGGAAAGAACCCACCTCCCTTGAATACAAGCCTTTAAAAAACACATTTTAAAAATACTAAACAAATTCCAAAAATCCTGAAAAAATAAAAGTTAAAAAGAAAACTGAATGTAGTTTCAGAAAAATATAACTTTATGTATGCGCAAACTGTTGGAAATGTTCTAACTTTTGTTCAATCGGGGTGTCCGACCAGTCACTCTTACTCTCAGCCTCGGGGTCGGGCCCTAGATCTAAATTCTAGATTTTCTCCGTCTGATCAATCGGAATCGCCCCAAACTCTTCCTACAACGTTTTCATCAAAATCTGAGCCATCTGATTTGTCACATGCTCATTTTTGCTCAAATCCATCGTTATTTCCGTTTTCGAACTCAATTGTGTCGCTTTTCAACAAGTCGAGACACTTTCGAAGTGTCGGTAACGCGATCGCACTTCGATCAGCTCTAATACTAAAACTACTGGCCCGAAAAATTTCGTTTCGGTATCAAACGAAAGAAGAAACTTTTTGCTATACTATGCAAATCAAAATCCCGGCCCCAGAGTCTCGTCAAGGCGAGACTTTCGTTTCTAAAGACGCTGGGTCGGCGCGGGCGGTTCCGGGCGAGTCAGGGTGGAGCGCGTAAGGGAATTCCCGGGCGATCCCGCGCGAGTTAGGGTGTAATGTGTTAAGTTATTGAAGGTGAAGGACAGTGACCCCAACTGGGGTTGAACAGACCGGAACTCGCGCTTTGTTAACGGTCGAAGAAGTCGCATGAACAAGAATCACATAATTTCGCTGTTTTCTATACTTCTGTACGTTTTACTAGTTCTAGTGTCTCAGAATATGATGTCTAATAGTTAGGACCCTGGATATGTACCCGAACACTGCCCGAGTCGTAGTTCTAGGGCTAGATTTAGCACTAGTACTGGTGTTGTTTTTCGCGCAACGAAATCACATCGTGCCGTGCATCGGTCTCATGTAATTCAGTGTATGGGTCTGAATCAATGCACAGACCAGCTTTTATATTTTCACCAAGCGCTCGCACATGGATACAAATCAAACCAGAACACTTTGAACGTTTATTTTTGTTGTAGTGAATTTCATTCTACCTGTCACGTCTCTGGAAATTTTTCGGAAAATCAAATTCATGCCAATTTTTAAAAAATCATACAAATTAAAGTATGACTTAAACAACTTAAGTTTTTTGTATTAAGATTAAGCTTGAATGTTACTTTACTGTGTCAAAAAATAATTACAATAGGGTAATTCTGAGAGTTGTGATTTATTTAAATACCCCCAAAAACGCCATTCTTCAACGCTTGTGACTGGTGAAAGGGCCCAGTCGTAAGTGAATTTAAAAAATCGGCATAGTATTGAGCTTAGCAAGTCCACTGTTTTGTTAAAAAAACAAGTTGTAAAATAAACAAATTAGGATGAAACTTGTAATTTTAATTTAAAAAAGAGAAATTTATGGTCTGTTTTTCTATCTCTAGAGTTATTGTCAGCTTAATGATTGGAAATACTATTGTGCTCTCCTGCTTTTTTAAACACTGGCTTTTATGTTTGCCATAAGTCATCGCATGTGAGTATCACGTTGAATTGTTGTATGTATGCACAAGACAAGATTGCATCTTTTGAGTAATTTTTTTTCCTTCCTTTTTCAGGTCAAGGTGGATACTGAATTAATAAAAATGGAGGCAGTGCTGGAACCACACAAAGAATGTTAATAGGTTTTGTTTCATTTTTGTATAGAAGACTTGGATCTGCAGCAAAAGTAATTTTCAACTATTAACAAGTTTGTAAAAAATAAGTTGGATTAAAGTTGGGGTGGGGGGTGGGTTTGCACATGGAAAAATTATTGGTCTATGAAGTAAAATGTAATTAGAAAAGTATAGGATATATTTTTAACATCTCGTTGCTGTTACCATTTTTAAATACTCATGAGTACACCTTTCTTGTCGTCACTTTTTATTGTCTTCCTCCATTTTAAGTCTTGTGGCTGATCAGGTTTTGTTCATGTTGTAGACACTGAGTGTGTGGTAAGCATACTGTCCATTCTCTGTCATTCGCTGTTGAGTTTTTTTATGGTCTGCACCACCTACATGACATCCCTTTCATTTCCATTCATGTTGTAATTCATACCGGGGTAGCTTATTTTAAATGTTTTTGTGAACAAATGTATGTTTTTAAAATTTACTACGTTAACATTCGTACAGTGCCCACGATCTACTTCATTTTTTTGGTTTGTTTCTTTTTAGAAAATATCGTCGAGTTCATGTACAATAACCGAACCTCATTTGACTGAATAAAGTTGTCATTTTTTGTAATCTGTAGTTACTTGCTTTTTGAAAAGATCTGTGAATGAATGGGAGTTTGGCATTGTTGTTCTGACATGCACTTTCCCTGGAGTATGACTGTTTTCCATCATGTTTGTATAGTCTTTTTTTATCTAGTTTTCATACCTACTTGTTGGTGGTTGACGGGGGGCTCTGGTGTGGTTTGCTTCTGCTTTCCTATCAAACGACTATCGTCTTTATCTCTCTCTCTTGCCTTTTGTGTTTGTTACTCGCTTGTTTCACTTCTAATCTTCGGCACTTGTATGACTTAATTGTGTTGGTAGTGCCGTACAACACCAACTTCATACCTACTTACTTGAGCTTGAACCAAGTTATGACTGAAAACATGAATAAGTTAGGTTAGTATGTTATTTATTCAAATTTTGCACGGGTCTTGCTGTTTCAATATATCATGTAGGCCTACTGCTTCTTCAGAACGTTGGGACAGATCGTATGGGAATAACAGATGAGCAGGTTTTACAGTGCTTTGTTTTTAACTTGTTGATCTGTTCAAATCGGACTCTGCTGTGGGCGCTGCTGCCCTGTCTTCAATCAGTACACACCAGAGGAGACTCCATTCCGAAACCTCCCATTTTCTCTGTGGAGGCCAGTCGTAGAAAATCTAACAAATCTTTCCTTGTCCTTTCCGACTGTCTTACATCACCTCACTAACTACACACTCCTACTTCCAAAAATAGTTCGGTTACAACAGAGGATACACACCTTGACTGAAACCGAGAAAAATAAAAGTATCGTGTTCGCATGGCTACCTAGCCATGTGGGCATCCGAGGAAACGAGTAGGTAGATCTCCTGGCGAAGGACCCCTCGTCCCTTCTGTTGGGATCAACGTAAAAGACGAACACTACCTCAGACTGACTTTAAAAATAACGTTAAAAAAATACACCTCCAGTCTGTGGGAGACTCGTTGGAGAAATCAAATTAACAATAAACTTAACTACACCAAGCCCAAACTGGGACCGCGAAATCCTTGGGGCCTCTCCAGAAGAAACGAAGTCATTTTTACTCGATTAGTAGTAGTAGTCGGATTACGCATCGGACACATGGCCCTGACACATAAATATCTCCTTCAGGGAGAGCAGAAGCTGTTCTGGGTAGGATGCGACACAGATTTTACCATTAGACACATTTTAACAATGTCTAGACTTCGGAGAGACCCGAAGGAAATGCAGTATTTTAGAAATGAATAGATGCAAAAAAGTTGCAAGATCTCTTTTCCGTCGTTGATCCCAACATAATTCTTGATTTTATAAATGGCACATTGTGAATAAAATTGCTATTAAAATGTTTAATGTTATTTAAAAGTTAGATCTATTTTAAAACTAAGAACTTATCTACCTCAAATTTTATACATTTTAAAATCTGATTGTTGACCCGAGCCCAGTCGCGTAGTGAACTGTTGTGAATGCAACCAACTTGTTTCGCGCGCTCACTCATATATGGCCGTATGCGCCGTAAAACTACTCCTACAAAAACCCAATAAATGTGAGGGGTCTGCTGTACGCCATGTGTTAGAGTTAGAGTAGGCAAGGCGATTGATTCAAAGTCAAAGGACTTGTGGTTTCATAACTCCCTTTTCTGTCGTACCTGTCTCCATTTCATCGTCTGTCATTAGCAATAGAAATAGAATGCTTTCATTCTCTTGCTCCAGAGGACGGACTAATACAAATGGGCCTTGTTTTAGCAGGGCGATCTGTTATAAGCAGGTAAAAGTACATTTTCCAGGTATGCAAAAATGTTACAGTGAGAAACTAACAAGAGGCAGACGGGAGGGGGGTTGGAGTTGCGGTACCAAAGACCGAGTTAGCGCGAGGAGCACACTATACACCAGCGCCAACTTTTTTGTTTCACCCTTGTAAGGCCTGTTTATGGCCGCTTCCTGAAATGGAAAGGCGAGGCACGGACTCACTGACCATGGCACTTGCCAGCAACAGATTAAGAATAGAATGGGATGGGGAAGGGGAGTGAGCGATCTGGAGTGGGGGTAGGGAGGTGACGCCCAGCGCGCCAGACGCTCACGTCTGTGAGGCAGTGTACAGTGTTGGAGACTACACTGTGTTAGTGTAGGTAGGCCCTACATCGACTAAAGCCTGGTGTGTCGAAAAGGCAACTGGCGGGTAAGCGGACTAAATGTGAAGAACTAATGCGTAGACCATTAGCGTGGCTTTTCCTCCCATTTATGTTCGTGGGCTTTGCCAGGTAAGCATGTCAATAAAGCAGAGTGGGCAGTAAAAAAAAGTCGATATAAGAGAAATTGTTTAATGACTTAATGAAGATATTGAAGGAAAAATTTCGTAGTTCTTGGAAAACCTGTCGATATGTCAAAATGTCGATACATTATTATATAAGTGCAGTGGCGGGAGGCCGTTGGTACAAGAGCTCCACCTAACCCTGGCCCTCCCCGTTTCTAATTATTCTAAACCAGTCAGTGCAGTCAGTGCTCTAGATCTACATAGGCCTACACGTACTAGGCCTAGCCTAGCCTACATCCTGGCGACCCGTCACCCGCTGGCTGCATGCGCGCCAGTGAAGAGACAGACAACGAGGAAGGTTTATCATGCTTGTCGCACCGCTTGTGGTCGTGTCTGCTGGGAGCAAGCAAAATCTTTGCACCAAAGTTATTTTTGTCACTGTAGAAAAATCTAGGCATCGTTCTTCCCGCACAAGAAGAAAGGTGCGTGAAACTCCTCTTTGCAGCACCAAATTGGTGCAAGCTAAAAATTTGATCCAAATTTCCGCTAGGCTAGCATCTTATACTACACTAGTCTACGGTAACTCAAAATATGAAGAATGGGTATTGAAACTGTTGAGTCCCTCTATTGTGTAGCAAGCCCTGTTAAGGTGAATTTTCAAATTGAGTCTGGTTGTTGGTGCTGCATGAAGTAGATCTAATTAGAAATCTTTAAAACTTCTCAGATTGCGAGCATAGTGAGTTGTTAGTATTGTTTCACTTTATTGCAGCTTTTATGCGGTTTCATCTAGAAATAGTTGTAAATATCGACAGATGTAGATTACGGGGTATCTTGCAGATTCTAACTGACTTTCTCTAGAAATCTAGTTGAATCACGTTAACGCTTTGCTTCTTGTGCCATTCAGCAGGCTACAGTTAGAAGTTAGAAGAGAAAGTGCGCATAAAATAGCTTGGTCCTCATTAGCCGCGGGATTTTGAGCTCAAGAATAATGTTCGCTCTTTTTCCTGTACGTAGTACATTTGTATGATAAGTATGAATGGCTTACACTGAGCTTGTCCAAAAAGAAATTGTACTGTTTCCATTGTCTGCTTTTTACTGATCGATCAGACACTGACAAGGATTGGTCATCAATCACACTCACTGTCTCTTTGCTTTTCTCTCTGTCTGTCTGTCTTTCTCTCTCTCTCTCTCTCTCTCTCTCTCTCTCTCTCTCTCTCTCTCTCTCTCACACACACACACACACACACACACACACACACACACACACACACACACAAACACGCACAGAGAAACTCACAGAAAGCAATAGAAAGAACAGACCACACCAGAGCGCCCGCCTACCGCTCATTACAATTTTAATAGTAGCTAGTAGTAAGCCTATTGCCCATTTGTTCACTTTCCAAGTATGCACCACCTTGTCTACAACCCACGCGACGCCACTGTATAAGTCTTGTATAAATGGATTATACTTTCCTGTAATGAAGTGTATCACTTCTTGTTTCTTGATCAAGTCTTATATATATATATGGTGACACAGCGTTACATGTGTTAGTATTGTGGTAAGCACAAACTGGTACCCGGGGGCTCTCGTGGCCTAAAGGTTAAGGTGTTGGCCTCTCATTCAAAAGGTCCCGGGTTCAAATCCGGGTAGCGACCGAAAAATTTTCTTCTCTAAATTTGTCTCCTTTCACCTCATTTCCTGCTCTCTAGCAATGTTCTGTCGTCTGCTTTCGACTCCTCTTTCTGCCCCCACCCCCTCACCTCCTTCCTCTGGGCTCCTGATTCTTTCTGCAGCCTTTCTACTCCTTCGCTTCTTCTTACTGCTGTCTTTCAGCCACACCCCTGATCTTCTGGAAGGAAAGATCTACACCTAGCCTTTTCGGACAAGGGCGAAAAATCCCGGAAGGCCCGTGTGCAAGTTGCGCACGTTAAAGATCCCTCGGCGGTCTAAAATCGATAAGAGTAGGCTTCGGCCGCCACCTGGGCAAAATTCAAAATTTCCTACCAACTGAAAATATTAGGTGTGTCCCGCGCGCTCATATTACCTTATGCAGTTGCGAGCGCCGTAAAACACTTTACAAAAACAAAACAAACAAACTGGTACCCCTTGATTTCAAAATTTCACGTGGGTAGCGGGTACTGTCGCCCATTGCAATGATGCAAGCTTGGCATGTTCTGAGCAAATTAATCTTAAATTTAATCGTTGTGGCAGTGAATTCCAGTCAAATCAAAGCTTGGCCCAGTCGTTGTACATGATGTAGGCCTACAATGTTAATGTTGTTTTGCGAGGTCGCTCTTAAGCCCTCAGGGTGACGTGTGTTGAGTAGGCTGGCAATGGCAAAACATTTACATTTTGCTGCTGTACTGTAGATATTGCACCATTACACGGACAATGTGTGGGTGCGCATTGTGTTGCTGGAATGTGTGCATACATTTTTAATGCTGTGGTCGACGCCAATGAGTACCAGAATGTTCTCCGGACGTACTTGGTTTCCTTCTTTCAAACCCATAGAGACGTATTATTTATAATCACAGCATTAAAAAAAATACGGCTAAGTTCTGCGGTTGGAAGATATTCAACTATATTACACTGCCACCTCCTCATCTGTCTATTTGAACTACATGTATTTCATGCAAGTCTGCTGCTAGTCTTTCTCTCCTTTATGCCTTCAAACTCTCCTTGAAGAGAACTCCATCCTAGATGAATGTGACAATTCGCCTAGTCAGTTCAAACGTAATTTTTGGAAAGGTGGAATGTGTTTTAACGCCTTTGTATCCTGCAACTGCTGATAACTCTTCCAGTGTCTGTATTGTATGAAATTGACCTGCACAGCTGGTCGTTGTGAGAAAGCGATATCGAAGATGCCAGAGCAGTATCTGTCTGTCTTCTTGGGCAGTAGAATAGAAACCTGTGGTCTGCTTGGTCTGGGTCTGTCAGGTGTAACTCCAGTGACTTGGAACCAATCTTTCAGGATATTGATGGTAGGATGGGAGCAATGATGAAGCATCCGTGCCACTCTACAGTACTCTACTGGCTGAGAGTGCAGCTTGGAGTATTCAAAATCCCCAACAGCGCTCCTCGGTGCTTAACCTTGTCATCGTGTACAGCAATTTAACTTTAAGTCAAGAAAAACCGGCAGGAATGTGTATGTACTTGTTTTTTCGTTCTATAATCGCGAATAAAAAAATATGTTGATCTAAACACAATTTAGACGATTTCATAATTTCGGCGGAATTTAAGTTACATATTACAAAACAAGTTAATTTGGTAGCCTACATGGTGAGTGATGTGCAAAATTTCGCTCACTAAGTCAGGTGAACAAGGGCACAGTTTCAATAAAAACAAAGTGGAAAATTTCTATTGCCGCTGGACACGTCCAAATTTCAGTAAAATCTGACAATGTCACTGTGGAAGTTGCATCCTGAGTCAGCGAAATTTCGACAGGAAGAAACTGGAGCTGGAACTGGAAGAAGTGCTACGGATAACCCCTCACAGCTGCTCACTTGCATCTGCTACAGTAAGGGGCTGTTCAAATATAATCTTACACCTGGGAGGTGGGGGGTTTGGCTCCTGTAAGAAAGGGGGAGGGGGGGGGGGGTCTTGAACTGATGTAATATTACACTTTTGTGAGGTGAAAAAATATTTTTGACATACTGAAGAACACTGCCTTTGTTGATGATAACTATAGTCTATATATATATATCTCTCTCTCTATATATATATCTCTCTCCATATATATATATATATATCTCTCTCTCTATATATATATATCTCTATCTAATTTCACTATTTGTTTTCAGCATAATGATCAGAAATACATGTAACAGATACAGTGGAATCCTGATAGTCAACTTGCTTTTAAAGTCAACTCTTGCTTACAGTCAGTCAACACCTCACTGTGGTCCCGTTTTTTACCTTCTTTGTGTAATTTTCAGTAGATCTAATTGTGTTTCTGATACGGTCAAAAGCTTGAGTGTTAAGCTTGCGTGAAGTCAGCAATTTGGGGCTAAATCCCAAGATGAATTCATTTAAGAAGAGATATTTCGCCTGAGCTAGTGGTGTACGCACCTCAAATTACTTTGTTCTTTCATTATCTCTTGTTTTGGTGACAACTTCAGAATTATTATCCTCCCTGAAATTGAGATTACATCTTGTTTATTACCAGGTAGGCTACTTTGTAATTTTGTAGGAGTCATCTTCAATTTTCAATGGCCAGTACATGTAGTAGGCCTACAATGGATAAAGTCAACCTTGCTCAAAGTCAACATTTTTTTCTGTACGGGGTGTTGACTTTATCAGAATTCTACTGTAACTTGTTTTTATTTGTAATCAAGGCCCTTTTGTCATTGACATGAGTTTCATTTTTTTCCTTATTAGTAATAAAGAGTGTATGCAACATTTTGCTTGAATGATTTACTCTTGTGAGGCACCGTGGTGAAATCAGGCGCTCGTCAAAATAATGAAAGTGAAAAAACTGGCATTTTTTCCGCAGGTTTGGGAACTTTTATTGAATTTTTGTTTTTTCGCTTAACACCATTTACGTCCATATAATAACACATTTCCATGCGAAATTTACTGAAAAACGTTCATTAAATGCACAAAATATGTTATTTTTCAGTTTTAAAGGCTCTCAAGCTATTGAAGTAATCTAACTTTGGCGGCCGTTTTCTCACTAAATTTAACTCTGACATCAGGTGACCCACACCTCCTTCAATTGCAAATATTTTGACTTCTATTTAGCATAGATGAATATCGTTTTCATCAAAAGGAAGGCAAATGGACAGGCTTTAACCCTCTAGTGCCCAGGTATAGAAATCATTGACAGAAAAATTTCATATTCACAGAACATGTTCAAAAGGAAGTACAATAACCAAATTTGAAAGTTTCTTTCATCTAAAACTTGTATTTAAAAAGTTACAGACCGTGCCATAAATGGCACATTGGGCATTTGGGTATTATGTGCCAGATATGTCACACTGGGTAGCGTTGAACAAATTTATCATGTTTTAGGTCTTTGAGTCACATCTGGGGCGTTTGCATTGGTGTCTGTCGGCGTGGAGAGGAAGACGATCCATGCGATCGAGCTGTGAGTCAACAGTTGGGAACTTCTCTTGAGTGCTAGAGTGTAAGAGAAACTAAGGACTCCCAGCTACAGATCGTCCTGGCAACCTGTCGACGGTAACCTGACTGTCAGCAATCGACTGATGGAAGTCACATAGCTTGACTGGGGACTGCTGAAGCATCCTGCAGTGACGACGATATCCCAACCAACTGGTGACTACCACCATGTTGATTGTGTCGTAGAACAAATAAATGTACCAATTTCGAGTCTTTTGCTTTGTAGAGAGCGGTGAGACAATGAAGTAAATCTACCTCTCCCATGTGTTTGTTGTACGTGCGAATTACAGCAGAGCAATTCACTGCAGTGTTTTCATTCAGTCTTTTGTCCCACCTGGTAACATTCTCAACAGATTCTGGTCCAACATATGACGAAATGACATCCACTTTTTTGCTGTCGTACCATCGAACGACGACGATATTGGAGTCAGCATCCACTAGACTCTGCCTTCAACCTTTCAAGAGGTTTTCACGGACGGTTCCCACTTATTGTAGTCCTTTCTCCTTCAACTGTTTCACCATGTTTACGCTCGAAAGGTGGTTGTCGACAAAAATTTTGCAATTCTTTCCATCCTTCAAGTTCTTCACCATGTCCATGACAATGTCACCTCCCATGCCTAGTTCAGATCTACGAGTATGAGCTCCATTTGAACCTTGATACACATCAAAGTCATGCAGAGTGCCTTCACTTCCGCAACAAGCCCACAATTTGAAACCCCATTTGTGGGGTATTTTCCGAATGTATTGTTTCAGATTACACCGACCTTTGAAAGATACCATAATTAATTCATGAACAAACTGATGCTTAGACGGAATAATCTTTTTGAAATTGGATTCTAGATCATTGAGCCACGGACGGAGTTTCCTTACACGATCATTGCTTGTGCTCTCATCATGAGTCTCATTGCTGACAAATTGCAATCGCTTCAAGAAAAAAATTAAGTACCGGTAGTGCGTGTTTCACAGCTTGTACAAATACACTTGTATAGAGTAAAATAACTTTATGAACCCTTACATACAGTCTAAAGGCTGCTTACTGTATGTATTTACACTGAAATGAAGTCAATCTGCTTTTTTATTTTTCCAGTCAACTTGAACTTTTTGACATTTTACATTGAAACAGGGCTATGTGATAAAAATCAGGACTCAAATGCCCAATGTTCCACATCTGGCACACAAAAACGTCCAGGGCTGCCCAGTGTGCCATATTTAGACCATACCTAAAAACACCCCCATAAATCAAAATGTAAATGTTGAACATGGAATTTGATGGTGATAATATCTAAATCTACTTTGTTTCAAAACATATATTAGGAAAATTTGTATTAGGAAAATTTGGCAAAATTATGTACCTGACGGTTGATGGTGATAGACTGAAGAAGAGTGGGTGCGGTTGTCTGTTTCAAGCACAAGTGGTGGTAAAAAACAGGAAGTTGAAAGGGGAAATTATTACAGAAAAAAATCACCCAAGGGCACTCAGAGGATGATTCTCCAGTTACCTACCTCATGAAATTACCGAACATAACAAAAATTAATTACTGTTTCCCCTGAAGCTGGCTATTTGACATGTGCCAGATATGGCACTGTGGGCACTAGAGGGTTAAGATGAAATCAATAACTCTGTATGCCTCAAAACTGACGAGTGCCTGATCCCACCATGTTGTGACACCTATTATTCTTTAGTGCATATTATATTATTATGTGCATGTATGATGTGTATGCATGTTTTTCACGAATATTATGCAATGCACATAGAACAATGATTGTTTCACAGATTTGCGCGATATAAAATATATCATATTATTTTTATCATTATAAGCGAACAATGTAATATTACGGTTGGGGGGGGGGGGGGGGGAATGGAGAGGAGGCAAATGTAAGAAAAGTGTAAGGGGGGGGGGGGGGGTGTCAAAAAGTCCCAAAAAAGGTGTAAGTAGGCTACTGTAAGATTATATTTGAACAGCCCCTAAGCAAAACAATGAAACAACCTGATTTTTTTCTATTATCTCTATTTTAATTTTAATTCAGGATTCTAGGGAGGTATGAAAAAAAAACCCTCAGGATTTTTAGGGCTAAACATGTTCTATCATCTGCTTACATCTCCACTTTATCTCCCCCCCCCCCCCCCCCCCCTATTTTTATGCTGCTCCTGGCTCCTTCCCTTACTGCTGCTGTCTTTCTTAACACTTATTTTCAAACTCAAACATCCATTGTCTTTTTTATCTATCTCTTTTCCTTTTCTTTGTATTGTATTGATCTTGACATGGTAACACACCTCTAATCTTCGGCACTTATGCCGGTACTTAAAAAAACTCACTCATATTGACCAATTTGTATTGTAAACACTGTGAAACTTCTACGAAAACTAAAACACACAAAAAAACATATATTAACTAAGTATTTTCAAATAATTTATTTACAAACATAGATTTCCCAGAATCATAAGATCAAATAAGATTCATTTCAAAGGTGTCTTTGTGCATTTTCAACTTGTCCAGCTCTCGCTTGATGTTGGCATTCACATCACTCAGCCCTTTCATCTTCCTTGCAGAAATCTGGAGATCAAAGTCAAAAGAAATGGTGGACTTGCTGTGTCAGTGTCACAGAGTGTTGTTTGCATTGTATCTTACAATCTAATATGGTGTCATTACAGTAGTCTCCGCCTAAACGCACGCTATACAAAAACATGCTCTGCTCAAACGCATACTTTCGTCATCTGACGGGATTTTTACTACATAATTTAGACATACAAATACACGGTCACTCCCTCTAAACGCACGCTCCGATCCATGAAACACACCGACAGGTTAAGCTGAACAAAGGGAAATCTGCACGGCTTGCATAAGACACGCCTAGACAGCATGATACAGTGGAATCCTGTTAAAACGAGAGGGATTGGACGGTACGAAATTTCCGTTATAGCAGGATTCTCGTTGTAATTGTAAGGGATCCAGTAATAAATACAAAGGAAATAATAAAGTAGGCCTAATCTATGAGTTAGGTGTTCTGTTTATTTCTTTTTGTTATCTCCTCTGATGATGGCTTTGTTCAACATGACTTCTAGGTCTTACCTGATCAAAAATTGAATCAGGTTTCTTTCTCTAGCGTTAGCGATGTTGGCAGCTGGGCGTTGGCTATCAGAACGAAAGTTCTCTAGGCTAACTCGCTCGCTGTGTTTTCCCCCACCCCACCACACCCTGTGGTGCGTTTCGGCGTCTGCTTGCGCACGTCACACATTCGTTCCATGATCCATCACAGCACTGTGACCTCTCCATCCCCGCATCGGAGAAGTGAGAGGCATGACAGGCCTAGATAATCTCGACAATCAGTATCAGGCAATGTGTTCTGCTTCACAACTGCTTGTGTGCGCATGCCACTCCCTCCCCACTCATTCGCTCCGGACTTCATCGTTGGCACACATGGGCTCTCCCATTCTTTGTTTCGCTTGATCACCAAGTTTCTCAACTGGCGAGGTTTTCATCAGGTATAAACAGCCTATGCACCGTGTACAGCAGCAGCAATATTCCGCTATAACCGACTCGCGCGTTTATCTTATTGAGCTAGAGCAGTATTTTATTTACAAAGATAAAGAAGGAAAAAAACTGGGTATTAGAATAATGTCTTTATAACAGACTCCTCGTTACTTCAGGACTCGTTATAAGTGGACTCCACTGTATTTGGTGAGACAGCCCCTCACGCCGAACAAAGAGAGTGATGGACAGCGTTTTCACACTCAACTTTCCACAGATAGTACACAGGTCTAGGACTGGTCGGTGAAATGTTTGGGGGTTGGGGGACTGAAATGTTACAGTGGAATCCTGTTATAACGAGAGGAAGGGGACCGGTGCCAAATGTCCGTTATAGCAAGATTCTCGTTATAAGGAACCCAGTAATAAATTCAAGGGAAATAGTAAAGTAGGCCTAATGTATGAGTCTGGTTTTCGGTTTATTTCTTTTTGTAATCTCCCCTGATGACGATTTGGTTCAACATTACCTTTACGTAGTTTAAGTCTTACTTGATCAAAAGTCGAATCAGGTTTCTTCTCTAGCCCTAGCGATGTTGACAGCTTGGCCTTGGCGATAAGAAAGAAATGGCTCTGGTTTTAGGCTAACTCGCCCGCTCTGTTGTCCCCCACCCTACCACACCTTGTGGTGCGTTCCATCTGCTTGCGCACAATGGGAACATACCACACCCAGCCCTTGTCACACATTCGCTCAGTCCATCACAGTACAGCACTAGACCTCTCCATCCCCGCATCGGAGAAGTGAGAGGCATGGTAGGGTTAGATAATCTAGACCAGGCTGGCCTATCACACGATGCGTTCTGCTTGTCTGTGCATTCCAGACCCTCCCTACTCATTCGATCCGGCCTTTATTGTTGGCACACATGGGCTCTCCCATTCTTTGTTTCGCAAGATAACCAACAAATTTCTCAACTGGCGAGGTTTTGCATATATATATATATATATATATATTATATGAATAAATGGCCTATGGGCTGTGTACAGCAGCAGCTATATTCTGCTATAAAACCGACTCATGTGTTTGTCTGATTGCGGTATATCAGTATTTTATTTACAAAGACAAAGAAGGGAAAAAAACGGGGTTTTAGAATAGTGTCTTTATAACAGACTTCTCCTTATTTCAGGACTCGTTATAAGTGGATTCCACTGTATTTGATTGGTCACTGGAAATGTATCTTGCTTTGAGAGAAGGTTCTGACTGTCGTTTGGGTGACTGCATGTAATGATTGTAACGTTTAGTTAGACCTAGGCCTATGATGCACAACACGCGTGAATGCTTGTCCATGAATTTACGGTTGGGGGTGGTTGCTTGGAAAGCCACGTGGCTGGGCCGTCGTCTCTATGACTATCACCAACAGTTTCCTCTTACGCTATCTGCTCCTGACATTTTATCATTACATTGAGTCTGTATTTCTTACCCCCCCACACACACACCCATTCAACACCTTGGTATTCCTACCTACAATCGGAGAACCCTTCACAAAATCATCACGTGTCGTCACATAATCGGCCCAAAGTGACCCCCGCCCCAAAAGGAGGTCACTACAGTATCAAGGCAAAGAGATGACTGCGTCCCTTCCTCCCTTTGCAAAGGTTCAGGTAAACGCACGCTCCGTATAAACACACGCTAGGGAGCTCTCCCGAGCACCGTGCGTTAATGCGGAGACTACTGTATAATGTACTCAAGGCAGGAAATGGGAGATAGCCGTTAATACAGGTGATTGTCTTGTACTATAAAATAGCCATTAGAGCAGGTTCGATTGTATTCTATAAGTCTTTATGATGCAGATTTCAAAGATGTAGGCCTACTTGAATTATATTTCAGGTCAAGCCCCCCCCCAAAAAAAAAGAAAGTTAAAAAAAATTAATTAACATTTAGGCCCTACTTTACAAACTGAAAAAGATCTTTGACTTTGTTTGCACTATATAAGGTGTTATGACCCAAACACTCAAAGAAATAAAGGCAGGAAGGTTTCTGTGAAATGACATACAAAGTCTCAAATAAGAAACAATGCCTGAGAGTAGAGACCACATCTGAGTAGTAATGCTGGATAAAGTAGACTTCAAAGTAAAGCATCTTCCCATGCACAGGTCAGAAAAACGATTTTCATTCACCTTCTTTCCTGCTAAGTGCCCCCCCCCTCCCCATTCTATACTCTTGACTCCTTATTACAGGTGTCTATTGCCATATTTGCGACTCCCCTGATCTTAGAGTAGGTAAGATCGAGCACCTAGCTTTCTTGGATAACGGCGAAAAAAAATCGGTGGTCCCGTGTGCAAGTTGCACGCCTTAAAGATCCCTTGGTGGTCCTAAAATTGATAAGGAGTATGTGTTGGCCGCCACCCTGGTAAAATTTAAAGTTAAATTCCTATCGAAACTGAAAATACCCTAGTCAGTATAAAATAAAAACATACAAAGTACCTTCGAAGTCGGAATGTGGCTGCCTGAAGTAGGTACCAGAAACTAAATTTTCAAAGTAGCTGTATGCCAAATTTATCTGTTCCATAAATATGAAAGGCCTATATCTCCTGAGATTTTTGATACCATTCTTTAACCTCTCAGTCAATTTTAAAGAAAATGGTAGCTGTTTTAAATATTATCAAGTTTGCTTAAGTCACTAACTGGCTGCAACCCCATGTTTGACAGAAAATAAAAGAGTACCAAGTGCACCAAACATCTCCAAATTAACAGAGTACAATCACTATAACAACATAGAATGTAGCCTAATTTTTTTTCAAGACTGTGAGATCGTTACAAATTAGTAATAGTATTTTATTGCCTCAAACACAATGATTTATTGTAATTTCGACAAAAAACACTGATCACTGACCTGGCCGGCCCCGCACCGGCCCCCGTAGTGAGCGAGTCGGTTCCATACTGCAGTGTACTGAGTGCTTCCCGTGTGGGGGGTCACATGCTTTCCGAGTTTCGCGGAAGGATTGATGCAAAATAATTCTAAGCCGATGACTTTATTCTAATAGAAAATGAACTGATCTGTCCTTTTTTGAGCCCGTATTTTACATATTTCGAGCAAAAAATGATCTTTGAAAACTATGACGGTAATTTTAACTCCCCGAGCACCGCTCCCGCAGCATGCGCGATCAGGTAAAATTCGTGTCGCGAATCGCGACCGCAGCGTACGCGGGTTCAACTATAATTGACTATAAAGTAAACCCAGCAGTTTAAAAATGCTTGCAAATAGCCCCAGTGGTTTAAACAGGATATCGACAAGCTAGTTCTTTGTGGTTTGTGTATATTCACCACTTTTAGTGCGAATAAGCGGGTTAGTTAATTGTCCAACGGACAGAACAACTGAAAGTAAGGAACTTCTACGCAGTTCGTTGTTGTTTCTCATATGCGAAGCATGGCACGGCGAGTTGTGTCGAAGTTTATTGAAACTCTTGATAATTTGGTGAAGATTTAAGTGACAGGTGAAGTATCAGATACAGTGGAACTCGGATTCAACGAGATGAGATAGATTCCCCGTTTTTTTTCTTCTTTAAAATCAATAAAAATAACCCAGATTCAACGAGCACTTAAATCAGCGAGCTCGGATTCAACGAGGTCGCTTCCAGGGTGAACAGTCCCTGTAGACGAGGCTTCGCTAATTTTTCTCCCTGAACGAACTTTATCTATTCCCGGAAACCATCCATTGCACCTGCATCGTGAACCATTATTCACTTAGCTGATTGCATGCGACCAATCAGCGGCCTTTTTTCATACCAACACATGCGTTGTTGGCACGTGCACGTGTCTACTCTGGCGTGTGTCGGGGTCAGATGGGAAGTGGAACGTCGCAGATACAAACGTGTCACAGTCTTTTTTTCCCCTCGGCAACTGATCATTATTACAATAAGCTAGTCTTGACGTAGATCTACGTAATGAATTGTACGCTGGTCTATGGAATCAAAAGTTGCCGTATGCTAGGCTCTACACAGCAACTTAACTTTTGGTAAACAATCGAGATGACACAGGCGTGTGTATTTGAACGAATCGGTCTTTTTTGTTTGTTTACACAGCTCATAATATGCAGGCATTTCAGGCACTGCTTGTGACTTCTCTTTTAATACATTACTTGCTTAGTGCCCGTAATTATCTACACAAAACCTCATGTTTGCTATAACGAACACTCGGATTCAACGAAATTTTAGGTCAGGCCCGGCGACCTCGTTGAATCCGAGTTCCACTATAGATAACTTCATAAATCAAAATGTGAATTCGCCTAGCAGTGATGAAGATGACTGATAAAATGACATTAGACCTAGATTTAGACCTAGATCTAGACCAACATCATCTTTCAATCGTGAATCTGACTCGTCAGCGAGTAAGTAGCCTAGTCCGGCTGGGGATGATGATAGATCTAGCCCCAGTACTAAACTCTAGTTCAAATCAGCCCTCAAAGTAGAGAAGATATATATATAATGTACTAAGTCCTGGGACATCTATAGACAGATCTAGTCCTAGCACTAGCAGCACTGACAATGAAAACACTTCTCAGCCTGTCACTGAGGTAAATCTAGATCTTGACTATATTTTTTTCCTTTTTCAAAATTAATTGTCACTTACATTTTTATGCCACTTCACTCTTCACACTAATACTTCGTTCTCCGACACACAAACAAACACTGCCACAACCATTTTGTGTCAGTTTATTTGATTTCTGCTTGCTTTGTCACATCACTTCCTTTTTTTTTCAAATTTTTTTTTCTGGGGAAAATTTGTCCCAACTTTCTGTCCCATACATTTTTTTGTCATTCATTCTCCACAAAATGTGTTTTTTGTGTCTGTTGAACCCATATCTTATTAAATAGCACCAAAAATTTCAAAGAAATAGCCTTTCATTTCAATTATTTATAGGAAGAGGCTAGCCGTACTTATTCTAAATATGATGGCTAGATTGACCATTAAAAAAAAATAGGCCTACTGAATTGTAAATATAAATTTAAGCCGTACTTAATATTGATGGCTGATAATTGTAAATGAAATTTTTAGTTTGCTATGCCTAAATTATTTGTATTTCAGACAAAACCAAAAGGTGCCTTACTGGCTTGCATGTATTTGAACCTGAATAGTTGCTAGATCTAGATCTAATGAGACCTGTGTACTTAACAGGCTTGAGTCGATAGGGCCAAACCTAAATCTAAGTACGGCTAGACTGGCAGTCTAGGCTAGCCACTTTGTTATTTATATATTTTCAAAAAGTGGGGGAAATGGGTGGTCCCCTGGGGCTTGGAGGCAAATCGGGCCATGGTGCTCGGTGAGTTAAAGGCTTTCTATTTAACACCAAAGGCCAAAAGTATACCACAGGAAAGCCCTTTCAAAGCTCTACAGTTCTCCGCCAATGAAAAGGCGGTTTTAATCATCAATCCTTCCGTGAAGCATTTGAATGCACGCGTGTCAATTTTTGAACTGGCTGACCACGCATTCCGACAGCGAGGGGCTTCGCTTTCCACGGCAATTTTCCAGCTCCTAAAAATCGGACATACAAACAACTTATACCATTGTAATGAGGAAAGGCTGAACTTTTACAAGGTGTTCAGCATGTGGAGTATTATAGCGAAAGAGCAAAGAAACAGCCATCTGAATTAAACCCCAATTTCACCAAAACCACGCGCTCGGAAGGCCGTGAGTGCCCGCGAGGCCGTGTTTATGCTACCTACCTGAAGGCAAGAGGCCCTATTAAGTATAAGGTAGGAAAAAAGTCACATACGTAAAAATCAGTTGCCCTTATTGAAGAATCGAAGAATACAACCTACAAATGAATCTATGGGTAGGCCGGTTACTTTTACCTCAATTTTCCAAACCAAATCAACATCCCACTTGTGAGCAACGAACGAGGTGACATGTGCGTTCCGCGCCGTACCTATACGTCCCACTCTGCCCACACGGTGGATGTAGTCGGACATGAACTGGGGGAAGTCATAGTTGATCACATGACAGACCTGCAGGGGAGACAAAACCATAATTCTTCACGTCTTCACATTCAAGTCAAAAGATAAACGTGGTTGGGACTGAATTTTGGAGTTAGCTGCAAGAAACTCAGCAAACAAGTTGAAATTTCACTAGACAAAATACTATTCAGTCACAAGTCTACCTGTTTCAATAAATTGACATGCTTGCATCCTGATGGAAAGATGAAATACACTTAGTCGATGCCGCAGATCTATAGAATAGAAGGGTGTACCACAACAATAGGAAAGTGCGCAAGATATTAAACATTGTTTTCGGCATGGTACCATTCCTCATACACATGTATTATAATGTATCTGACAGGGTGAGGCACAAAACATGGGAAAACTCATTGACCATGGTAGAGAACAAAAACAGATGGCAAAATGCTGCTATCTCTAAATGGCTCTAATTCACATGTTCCTTGGCTTGTCGGTTCAATCCAATTTACTGTTTCAGCCCCTAGTGGATGGTATAGAGCTTGCTTGGAGGTCAAGCCTATCATTAATTATGATTATCATTCCCATTATATATATTTCTGCCTCGTCCATAATTAACAGAAGATTGAATTAACTCTGGAAAACATGGAAGAGAATCTTTCCAAAGGCTAAAGGACAACAGTCATCTGTTTTGAGGAACAAGGAATCAAACCAACTATCATCACTATGTAATAAGCCATAAAAAGAAGGACTGCTACTGTTGTCCAACCACTAGACTTTGAAGCAAGTTGTGGTGTCAGAAAGAAACCATCAAACTTCTTTTCCACCTCTTCACTCACACTCTTTCAGTACAGTGGAAATCAATATATATATAACAGGCCCGGGGAACCGGTAATAACAGGGATTTTTTAAACCCCCGTTTTTTCCTACTCTTTGTCTCTATTAAAAGTTATGGGCAATAACAGGGCCTCACCGTCGGTTATAGCAGGGACAAAGGCTCGTTAACAATGTGTAAAAAGAGAGAGAGAGAGAGAGAGAGAGAGAGAGAGAGAGAGAGAGAGAAAGAGAGAGAGAGAGAGAGACAGAGAGAGAGAGAGAGAGAGAGAGAGAGAGAGAGAGAGAGAGAGAGAGAGAGAGAGCCCATGCAAGCCACGCCACTGCAAGCACATGCAGCAGGTGAAGCGAGAGAGGGCATGGTGAGCTGCAGACTTCGATCTAGCCCTAAGCCTAGCTACACGCACTCGTAATGTGTCATCATGCGCAGGCCTGCCACAAGAGAGGGCTGCGAAGTGGCAAGGGAAACTACCCATGAATAAATACAGCTGGATTTGTCCACAAATGCTCACCTCACTTGCATTTCTGATTTAACACGGATCTGATATGACAGGACTTTTTCTCTGGTCCCACCATCCCTGTTATATCAGGTTTCCACTGTAATTGCCGTTGACAGTGGAGTTCGCTGATACCAAACATGATTAATTTTAATCCAAAAACGCTGAAAGAATATAAAATTCAAATTCCTGATTATTTTTCTTCTAGATTTGAATAACATCTCTTAAAAGGTGAAACCTGGGTAAACTGAAGAAAATATAGCAGTCCCACAGATTTCTGCTTGAGTGGACTCCACTGTGTCTAATAACTTGCAGGTACAGTAGTCTCCGCCTAAACGCACAGCAGGGCTTGGGAGGGCTCTATAGCGTGTGTTTACACGGAGCATGCGTTTACATGAACCAGTGCAAAGGGAGGGAGGGACGCAGTCATCTAATTGCCTTGATATTCTAGTGTCCTCCCTTAGGGGTAGGGGTCACTTTGGCAGATAATATACCGACACGTGACTGTTTTGTGAAGGATTCCCCGACTGCGATAAGAATACAAAGGCGTTGAAAGGCAGGGGGGGGGGGGGGGGGGGGGGGGGCAAAAAGACAGGCTCAATGTAATGATAAGCACAATAAAATGTCGGGAACAGATAGTCTTTAGAAGAAGAAACCGTCAGTGATAGTAAATAGAGACGGCGGCGCAGCCATGTGGCTTTCCAAGCGACCATCCCCAACCGTAAATTCATGGACGACATCAGAATCAGAAATCTCTACATTCAGAGAAAATTTTCTTGTGATTTGTTGAACAAGTACGTTATGAGTTCTTCGAGTGCTGCTGATTAGGCGGACTTGACTAGTCTTTAATCCTATAGAGGCCTTTCTAGTGTTTTACAGCATTCATGCGTGTAGTGCGTCATAGGCTTAGCTAAATATTACATGCAGTCAGAAATCTTCTCTCAAAGATGCATCCAATGACCAATCAAATCAAAACAATTTCAGTCCCCCTACACCCCCTCCCTCCACCCAAACATTTCACCGACCAGTCCTAGACCTATGTATGTGTCTGTGGATTGTTAGGTGTGAAAATGAAGTCCGACACTCTCTCTTCTCTTTGTTTGGTGTGAAGGGCAGTCTCATATCCGGTTTTTAGACTTATCTTACGAAAGCTGTGTAGGCTGCAGCAAACATTTCCTCTTGTCAAGCTTTACCTGTTGGCGTGTTTCGCAGATTGGAGTGTGGGTTTAAAGGGAATGACCGTGCGTTTGTATGTCCAAATTATGTAGTAAAAAACCCGTCATATGACAAAAGCGTGCGTTTGAGCGGAGCGTGCTTTTGTATGACATGCATTTAGGAGGAGACTACCGTATACACAAAACTAAAAAGAAGTCTGATACCTCTATGAATACAGCACAAATGAAGCAGGTGTTCATCAGAAAAAAGACAGTAAATGTCTTGGAAGCCATTGATTCAAATTTGCCTTGGTAGAGTATGAAAGTACACCTTTGCATGATAGCCATGACTGTGTCTGACGATGTTAACTTACATTGACAGTGTCCAAGCCTCTAGACGCAACATCTGTAGCTATCAATACATCGGAGTATCCTTCCATGAATTTCTCCAAGACTCCATTCCTCGCCTGGAAAAAATCGAAAAAAAAAAGAATAACTGTCACATATGTTTTGGAAAAGATAACAAATCATCATTTAAGGAGCTGATTCTCATCTCTTGTCAGCCCAATCTTTGCCTCTTTCCTAGGACAGCAGCACACTTATTCATTCATAACTATTCTTCAGAAGATCACTGAAGGAAAGTCTTAGTACTTCGGATACAGCGCACTCATCTACAAAGAACATTTGGTCGCTTTTAAGGACAAGCGGGCTAACCCAGATTTCGGGAGTTTCCAGAAAGGCTGGTGCTACTGGCCCGATGTCGGGTGACTAGCGCCAGGCTACTCGCCTGATGTCAGGTGGCTAGCGTCAGTAGCCTGACGCTACTGGCCCGTGAGGATTTCTGCGACCTCGGGTGGCAAGCATTTTTGCCCATCCGGAGTCGGTCACCTAGATCTAGTCTTAGTCTTATACGTGGTGCTCACTATGGCTGGATCAGGCCGATCGCCCGACTTGATCGCCTGAAACTGAGTTTGCTTTTTAGGTGACCGAGTCTGGCAATCCCATCCGTACTGGGCACCCCGTATTATTAGGTAGCGTAAACACGGCCTCGTGGCCTTACGAGCGACGTGAAGCTGTTGAGAGCACCTATCACACCTCTGTGATTGGCCCAAAATAGATCATAGATGATGTTTTTCCGCCGTCTAATTTTGTCGTCTTCCGAGGTTTCCCTCGCAAGTTGACTGCACTGTTGTAGATCCCCTTGATCTATCACCCTTTATTATTTAATTATTATCATTCATCAGAATGCCAGTGACAAAGTTACTAACTATAGAAATGCAGCGCCGTGATGTTATTAAAGATTGTCTACTACCAAGATGTTTCAATTGCCCTATCTCGCGTCTGAACGAGACATGGGCGCTAGATCTACCTCGTCTTCTTAGCGCGTGACGGCCCGGGATACGAGTGTAAACAAACGTTCCAGCATTGAGTTGAAAGTGATAAATTTTGTCTTCGGGCAGAGAGAGAAAGACAGAAAGGAGGAGGGGGGGGGGGGGGGGGGGAGGAAAAGAGAGAGAGAGTGTGTGAGAACGAGAAAGAGAGAGAAAAGGAGGTTTGTTATTAGAATTATTGATTCCTGTCGTTCTCTCCCTGCGTCGGTTCACAAGCTGACCCGGTGCAATACAGTCATTATTGTACACATTATGGCCAGTCCCATATTCAGCTGCCATGTTGACCGATCCGACTCTTGACTTGGAGGACAAGGAGTGAATCTTGCGTGATTGATCACATGAATTTTAAAGGAGCATGCGCAGAAATCCCCATGGGCCAGAACACGGAACATCCCAGAAATCCCCAAGGGCCAGAAGCCGCAGGCCAGGCGAGGCTAATTGACCGAATTTGTTCGCCCGGAACATGCGCAGAAATCCTAGATCGGGTGAGTAGCCTGACGCTAGTCACCCGACATCAGGCGAGTAGCCACTCCGTTACAGAAATCTTGATTTACACCAAAAGTGGGCTTTGCCCAACCTATAGGAGAAGTTTGGTTTCATTAGTGTGTATATTTGTTTGGTTATAGAGAAGACTCTCCTTGTCTTTTAAAGAGACTGAATATGGATCCAAAAACTTTAACTTCGGTTTTCTCATAACAGCATTTATCGGGATAGCCCCCTTGTGCTTAAAAGCAACCATTTGGCCATGCTTCAAGTTGCACAATAACAGCATACCTTGAATCTAAAAATACATCATAAAGACAAAAGTACAGCATAACAACAAAGTACATTTTTCAAAGCTTCAAGTTGCACAATATGAGCGCACCTTGAATCGACAAAGAACATCATAAACACATTAAAACTGCAATATCAACAGCTAAATAGTAGTAGAGCATAAAGACAGTCACCTCAACAGGCATGTCCCCACTCAGTCTCAAGCAATCCAGTCCTGTCTCCTCCAACAGTTTGGCCACGTAGTAACAAGTTTTGTTGTTCTTCACAAACACCAAAGCCGGTTGCCTTTTCTCCATCCCTCGCTTCAGTAGCTGAATCAGTTTCTCTGGCCACACCAGAACAAGACAAAAAGCAAGATGGCAGAGGTCAATTTTTTTTACTGTGTACAAATTATTTTTGCTATGTGAGCGTTTATATATATTTAACAATAATTTAAGATCAATATGAAAAAATTTGGGACTGAAAATCTCTAAGCTGAGTGAGTTCACTATGTTTGTGCTGGACTCTATTGTTTTTATACATAACTACATAAAACATACTTTCTCCGGAAGTTCATTGTGACTGATCATGAGACCTTGACAATCATCAGCAAAACTAGATCTAACGTAATAATGTACAAGCAAGATATAATTTAACCAATAAGAATAAAATCTTTAGAAACAACTTCTTCCAACCCGGTCTTCAAAAATCTAAATCTAAGCTTTACAGGAAACACCTACAAGCACAGTACATCCAGTTTCGTAAAATGTTCAAAAGAGCCAATAAACACATTTTTGCTTCTCAACAGCCAGTAGCTTTGGATTTCTTCAAAACACTTTTTCCGCAGATATCAATACCAGACTAAGGCAGGAAGGTGCAACATATTTTAAACTATTATCAAGTGGAATTGATAATTCAATTTTGTCCAAAACTGGACATATTGTCTTTTAAGATAAAACTCCACTACTATAATATAAGGTTGTTTGGGACAATAGGGCAAAAAATTAGAATTTCTTGAATTTTAAAACAGAAAAAAAGATTTCATTCTCATTTGAGGGATAATAGATACACTTCATGTGTATGTAACAACAACGATATGGCTATGAAACTATTTTTTTTAAACAACAGCAGTAGTCACTGAAAGCTCTGGCCTTTTATTTCTTCTATGCATACATGATGTGAGGCATCGAGATGAAATCAGGCGCTCGTCAAAATAATGAAATCGAAGAAACAGGCATTTTTTCCGCCAGTTAGGCCATTTTTATTAAAATTTTGTTTTTTGTCTAACACCTTTTATGTTCATATAAAAACACATTTCAATGTGTATTTTACTTTAAAAAGTACTGAGGTACTGAATTTGCTCATTTTTTGAAATGGCAGTCAACTTAATAATCAAACTTAAATTTTGATAATATTGGTTCATTTACGTTTGTTTGTTTTTGTAAAGTGTTTTACGGCGCTCGCAGCTGCTTAAGGTCATAAGAGCGCGCGGGACACACCTAATATTTTCAGTTGGTAGGAAATTTTGAATTTTGCCCGGGTGGCGTCCGAAGCCTACTCTTATTGATTTTAGACCACCAAGGGATCTTTAACGTGCGCAACTTGCACACGGGCCCTCCGACATTTTTCGCCCTTGTCCGAGAAGGCTAGGCGTAGATCTTTCCTACCAGAAGATCAGGGGTGTGGCAGAAAGACAACAGTAAGGAGGAGCCAAGGAGTAGCAGTAGAAAGGCTGCAGAAAGAGTCAGGAGCCCAGAGGAGGGGGCAAAGGAGGTGAAGGGGTTGGGGCAGAAAGTGGGAATGAAAGCAGACAACAGAACATTGCCAGAGAGCAGGAAAGGAGATGAAAGGAGACAATTTTAGAGCAGAAAATTTTTCGGTCGCTACCCGGATTCGAACCCGGGACCTTTGAATGAGAGGCCAACACCTTAACCTCTAGGCCACGAGAGCCCCGTTCATTTACCTTTATACATTATGTTATGATCTATTCTAAACCTCATCACAAAGAAACTACATCACTTTTTAGAAAGCATGCCTTTTTTTCTGAAGGCAGCGTCAATCGCCACAGAGTGAAGCGGTATCAAGTCTGAAAACAATGCTCTATCTTTAGCTTTCTATTCATAATGTGTTACGAACACATGAATTAAGTTATAGATCAAACCCCCTCTCTTAAGTTGATAAATCTTAATGAGTCGTTACACACATTCCGGGGTTCGAAAGGTAATAATATAGGGAGGCACTAAAACGGTTGGGGCTGGAAGGGTTAACTTTTAGATAGATAGGTATTTTTCCATTGAAAACAAGACAAATGAATAAGCTTTCAGGTGACAACAATAACTCCACATGCCCAAAAATTGATTCCACCACGTCATGACACGTCATTTTACCTGGTTTGCTATCAGGATTTATCCTAATGAACTTCTGGGGCACATGAGGCATAATGTGATGAAGTGCTTCTGTTGTTATTTTGTGCATGGCATCGACCTGGAACAAAAGAATCCAAAGTAAAAAAAATAGTACCAAAAATAGTCTGGTAGTGCTTGAGATCAGTATCTGTCCACAGTGGTGAGGTCACCATACAGTGGAACTCAGATTTAACGAGGTCGCCGGGCCTGACCTAAAATCTCTTTGAATCCGAGTGTTCGTTATAGCAAACATGAGGTTTTGTGTAGATAATTACAGGCACTGAACAAGTAATGTATAAAGAGAAGTAACAAGTGGTGCCTGAAATACCTGCATAGTATGAGCTGTGTAAAAAAAAGACCGATTTGTTCAAATGCACGCCTGTGTCATCTCGATTATTTACCAAAAAGTTGTGTTGCTGTGTAGAGCCTAGCCTAGCCTAGCGTAGGGCAAAGTTTGATTCCACAGACCAGCGCACAATTCATTACGTAATCTATGTCAAGACTAGCTTATCATTGTAATAATGATCAGTGCGAAGGGGGGGAGACTGTGACGCGTTTGAATCTCAGTAACGTTCAACGCCCGGACCGCTGGTGCCCCCCCCCCCCCCCCCCCCCGTCACACGTGTGCAAGCCGCTCTTTCCGACCCCGACACACGCCAGAGTAGACACGTGTGCGTGCCAACAACGTATGTGTTGGTGTGAAAGAAGGCCGCTGATTGGACGCATGTAATCGGCTAAGTGAATAATAGTTCATGATGCAGGCGCAATGGATGGTTTCCAGGAATAGATAAAGTTCGTTCAGGGAGAAAAATAAGTGAAGCCACGTCTGCGGGGGCTGTTCACCCTGGAAGCGACCTCGTTGAATCCAAACTCGCTGATTTATGTGCTCTTTGAATCCGGGTTATTTTTCATTGATTTTAAAGAAGAAAAAAAAAAACGGGGAATCTATCTCCTCTTGTTAAATCCGAGTTTTTGTAGAATCCGAGCTCGTTGAATCCGAGTTCCACTGTATTTGTCTTAAAAGCTACTCAAGATTTTAAGATTACAAGAAGCCCAAGACGTGAAAATTGTACTCGAGTCTCAGCAAGTACACCAAATTAGATAAAAAACTGATGAAAACAGAACATAAGGAAAGGCAAAGTGTGATAAAGACAGAGAGACGGGGGAGTGTATTCCACCAATTTAACACATTTTTTGCTAGGCGCACGCAAGGTATCCTACTTTGCAATGCCCGAGATTCCCTCTTCTTTAAGTTTGCCCCTCAGAATTATGTTTCCCCTTTTCTGTCGTGCGCCTAAACATGCTTAGACGAGAGGATAAGAATTTATAAATAATCTGAGTCTTCCCTCCTGTACCTTATTCTTGAGATAGTTCAGAAATCTCTACATTACAGCCTGTACAACTGTTCTTTTAATTTTCAGAATTTTTGGATTTCTCAGACTTTCAGTTGAAAACTGCCTCAGAAAAACGCGAGGTTGCATAGAAACATAATGGAGTATAACTCTGGGTGGCTTTCCTTCACATCACTCAATAGTAGCCTTTCTTATAGATTCAATGTCACTTTTTCTGGTTCGGTATGACAGTCTCAACCTGACACTGTGCTTAAAGACTCAACTCAACGTGTCTAAACAGTTGCATGCTTATGGCAAACTATGACACCTTGCACACAATAATTGTGTGCGTATAGTAAAATTTGAATTTCTGTGCATGCAATTGCGTGCGCAGAGACTCAGCCGAGAGACAAAGGAAGGGAAGGAGAGAAAGATGGAGGGGGGAGGGAGATGTGCCAGTGGCAGAAACAAAGAGAAGTAAACTGACAGAAAAGCTTTAAAAAAAAAAGAAAAGAAGAACAGAACCTTTGACTCCCGAGTCCTGTTGCAAGAAAAAACAAAAACTGCAAAGATAAAGATCACTTACTGGTACAATAGACCCCAGCACCTGACCCACATTCCTGGGCATGGTGGCACTGACCAGCACAAGCTGAGTGCCCAGCAGGATAGAGCTGTCCTCCGCGACCTGCTCAGCTGGCATGATCTGCAAGTGTGAAAAGAACTTTGTTTTAATAAGCCTTATTATACGGCACTTGATTTGCTACACAATTAGGTCATATAAGTGTCGAAGATTAGAGGTGTTACTGTTACAAGAGAGTAACAAACACAGAAAAGGAGGCAGAAAGATAGGGATGAGTTGTTTGATTTGAAAGAAAGACCAAACCACACCAGAGCACCCGCTAACCACCCATGAAAGGAGAATACCAACAACCCATGACACCTATTTTTTTCATCAAGATTATTGTTCAAACTCAAAGTAGAGTAATAACTTGAATGTCTCAGGTAGACCTATCAGTGTGAGAGTTGTAAGAACTGAGGAGGGCAAGATGCAGTGACACTGAAAATCTGCCAATCTTGAACAGAAAGCTAAAATATAGTAATAATTTACTCTCACTATCACCCATTCAAAGAAACGCAAACACTTTAGGCTTACAAGGTACGGCGGATCCCCATTCCACACAAGGCCTGCACCAAGGTGCGATATGCAGAGACATATAATAAATTCTAAAACCTGTAACTTATACAAGATGATACAATGGTGAGTATGGATCCTTTGCCCCTGGAATTTCGGTAGCCCTACTTTTAACATCGCACTTTTTCACGGATGGAGTTGATAATGATGGGGAAGCAAGTACAGAATTGCCAGAAAGTACAGATTTCCGTAAAAATACAGAAGATTGGAAGCACTGCGTATGCCAAATTTATCTATTTCATACAAAATGCCTAAATGTATCTGGAGAATTTTTGTATCTGGTCCCATTCTTTTACCTCTCAGTCAATTTTTTACGACAATGACAGCGTTTTAATATCAAATATTGCAAAATTCACTAACTGGCTGCAACCCCATGTTTGGTAGATAATAAAACAGTAGCATGTGTGCGTATGTGTGTGCGCGCATGTGTGTAGGCCTGAGTTTGAGCGGAGATTATATCAACGGCACTATTAAAGTATGAAGCAGCTCACATACGTTATTGTACTTGTATATACTTTAAGCCCTAATCAACACAATTTAGGTCATTTAAGGGACAGGCTGCTTCCACCTGTCTGTCTGGGTCAAGGCCAACTCTGGTTGAGAGTGATGCATCTCAGCAGACAGATGGAGATACTGGGCAAACTAACTTTCACCTTTAGGAATTAAATTCATGTCTTCCATGTGCTATGGTGAAAAGCATAACCACTACAACTACACCACAAACCCTTGCAGAAAGAGCTCAACCCAACTGAAAAAAGAAAAGACATGTTCTCAGTGGTGGGTACAAGTCCAGATTCATGAATAAGTTCAAAGACCAGACGAGAACTACGTCATTGTAGCAGTGAAAAGCTATTCAGCACCCACTTTGAGCTGTTTGTTAGAAAACTACCTGAAGGCGGCTGAATATTTCATTCAGATCTGCCATGAAGGAGTCATCCAGCAGCGTGTCTGACTCATCTATCACAATGTGCTGCAAGTTCCTTGCTTGGATGGTATCTGGTGATGAGACAGCATTGGTATAGAAATTTTGGATAAAGTTGATATTCACTCATGGGTACCTCAGAACTCTATTTATTAAATAAATAATTTTTAAAAAATGAGGGTGGTGTGGGGGTGGGTGGGTTTAGAGGTTGTTGAGTACTGAGTCAAGTAGCAATGCATATTTGAAGGCAGCAGGATGAATGTAAAATTTCCAAGGAACACACGAAAAGAAAAGTACAGTGGAATCCTGTTATAACGAGAGGGAGGGGACAGGTGCGAACAGTGCGTTGCACCAGGACTCTCGTCATAAGTTTAAGGGATCCAGTAATAAATTCAAGGGAAATAATAAAGTAGGCCTAATCTTTGAGTTTGGTGTTCTGTTTTTCTTTTTGTAATCTCACCAGATGATGATTTTGTTCAACATGACCTCTTGGTCTTACTTGATCAAAAATCGAATTAGGTTGCTTTCTCTAGCGCTAGCTATGTTGACAGCTCGGCGTTGGCTATCAGAAAGAAAGGGCTCTAGGCTAACTTGCCCGCTGTGTTGTCTCCCACCCCACCACACCCTGTGGTGCCTTGTGTCTGCTTGCGCACGCCACACATTCGCTCCTTCCATCACTGCATTGTGAACTCTCAATCCCTGCATCAGAGAAATGAGAGGCATGGTAGGCCTAGATAATCTAGACTAAGCTGGCCTATCACATGATGCGCTCCGCTTGTCTGCGCATACCACACCCTCCCCACTCATTCACTGCGGACTTCATTGTTGGCACACATGGGCTCTCCCATTCTTTGTTTCGCTCAAGGAGTTGTAAGGTCTTAGTTTTGCTAGATCCGAGGTTTTATATATATAACTGGCCTATGCACCGTGCACAGCAGCAGCAATATTTCGCTATAATCCACTCGTGTGTATGTCTGATTGCACTATAGCAGTATTTTATTTACAAAGATAAAGAAGGGAAAATAGTGTCTTAATAACAGACTTCTCGTTATTTCAGGACTCGTTATAAGTGGACTCCACTGTAAAATCAAAATTGTCCAAGATGGCCACCCATTGTCGAGGAGAAAGTGGTGGTATAATGGAAAAATGCAAGGTGGGGAAGTGGGAAGCCGTCCTTTGAACAAGTGATTGTCTTAGACAGGTGGTCGTTGGAACAGTTTCCACCGTTTCCACTGTACACGTATTCTTGGAAAGAAATACACAGAAGGGATGACACCACAGTATGGTGTTACGGCAAAGATTACAATATCATCACCCTTGTGATAAGACGTAACTCCAGTGGAGCAAATTATAAAGGAGAAGCAAAACATTTTTCAGTTTTCTCATGCCTCAACCTTACCAAGCAGATGTCTTTGACTGAGCATATTAAAAGGATAATGTACAACAGATTTGTCAAATAAAAAAGCGGATTTTTATCACAGAAGCAATGATAGGCAAATTAAGAAATTGAAAAAATAACCCCTTAAAACTTTAGAAAAATGAATTTTTCTGCACCCCCGAAAAAAAAAGTAAAAATCAAGACAGCACAAGAATACTAAATACAACAAACAACACAGGCAATATTTTTTAATACTCACATCTAAATAATAATGACAATAAAAATGGCCAAATCTACAACAGTATCAAAGAAAACGAGCAGTAGAAAGCATAAGAAATAATATTTAAATCAAGAGGAAGGATAAGCATGCAAACTGACGTAATCCTTCACTTACTCCTGTGCAGAAGATTGATCAGTGTGCCAGGGGAAGTCACCAGGACATCCATAGGAGCTACCATTCTCTTTCTGGTTGGACCCTGAAGACAAATAGTTCAACTTCAGCTACAAGGGATTTACAAGAGAGAAAGAGAGAGGGAGGGAAAGAGAGAGGAGGGGAGAGAGAGAGAAACGGAAAAGAGAAGAGGAAAAAGGTAAAAGGAAAAAAGAGAAAGAAATTTGAAAACAAAAATGGCAGAACAGAACGAAATTATCAGCACCAAAGAAATATTTTGCAGTTCCCATTAGGTCAAAATTACAATACAATAAAAGCTTAAAACCCTAGAGCAGCCCAATATAAGATATCAATAGTCCAAGTTTTAAAAAAATGTCAAAGGAAAGCGATATTTTATGTCGGTTATGTCATTACACTTTTATTTAAAGTACACATTACTTAAATCATTCATGAGCACAGGAGGACACAATAAAATGTTTTCATAAATCCGATAAATGTAAAATACATTTGAATACAGTAGTCTCCGCCTAAACGCACGCTTTTGTCATCTGACGGGTTTTTTACTAAATAATTTAGACGTACAAACGCACGGTCACTTCCTCTAACAAACGCTCTGATCCGCAAAACACGCCGACAGGTAAAGCTTGACAAGGGAAAATTTTCACAACCTGTACAGCCTGCATAAGACACGCCTAAGAAAGAGTGATGGACAGCGTTTTCACATCCAACTTTCCACAGACACATAGATCTAGGTCTGGTCGCTGCTGGAAATGTATCTTTGAGAGAAGGTTTCTGACTGGTGTTTGAGTGACTGCTTGTAATGTTTAGTTAGATCTAGGCCTGATGCGCGATATACGTAAATGCCGTAAAACACTAGATCTAGACAGGATAAAAGATTAGACAAGTAAGCCTAATCAGCTGCGCTCGAAGAACTTATAACGTACTTGTTCAACGAATCACAAGAGAAATGTTTCTCTGAATGTAGAGAATGATTCTGCTTGAATTTACCGTCGGGGGCGGTCGCTTGGAAAGCCATGTAGCTGGGCTGTCGTCTCTTTGACTATCGCCAACAGTTTCCTCCTATGCTATCTGTTCCCGACGTTTATAGTGCATAATAATGTAATTTATTATATTGAGTCTGTCTTTCTCCCCCCCCCCCTCCCCCCCCATTCAACGCCTTTGTATTCCTAACCTCAGTTGGGGAATCCTTCACAAAACAGTCACGGGCCGTCCCGTTATCTGCCAAAATGACCCCCTCTCTTCAAGGGAGGTCACTAGAGTAATAAGGAGTTGAGATGACTGCATCCCTTCCTCCCTTTGCAAATGTTCATGTAAACGCACGCTCCGTGTAAACACACGCTAAGGAGCCCTCCCGAGCACCGTGCGTTTAGGCGGAGACTACCGTACCACAGACAGCAACTGACCGAAGGAGAGTGACTCCCAAGTGAACAATGGGGGACAAAATCAGCATACGGTGTTAGAGATTCTGCTACACCCTGAAAAGGAACAAAAAAGTAATACATGTTAACAAAATTAATGTATACAGCGCCCACCACGTTATGGCTTCGGGCTCGTTGTGTTTATTTATAACCAAAAACAAAATGAAAACATGTAACATACTTTAAAAAAACAGCCGAGCGCATAACTTGTCCACTCTCTTACCTTTCCCTTTGCAACCCCCTTAAGGGTAGGGGTAAGTAACAGACTTGTGAAAAACTGGAAGAAATTGGTCAACTCTTTTTTTGTTCTAAAAACCACTGCTGAGTATGATCTGTGGGTTCTGAATAAAAATCAGAAGTCAACATGCACTTTAAATGGGAAAAAAGGACTGCGGTCTAAGCTTTGTGTCTTCTCTCATCTTCCAGAGATTTGAAAGTTTTTTTTCTACAGATGCTGTAAAATTTTAAAGAAAACAATTACATGGTTAAAGCAGAACATAATCTATGTTTATGTATGTGCTGGTACATCCTTCTCTTGTTTCTTGGCTTCCCACATCCACTGGCGGTGATCTTCTTCTGTTTATACTATAGTAGTAGTAGTATGAGGTGGCTGGTGAGAAAAATTTCACTTACCATCACTTGGCTGCAGAGCTCTCGGTTGGGTGTCATGATTATGGTATTTGGACAGTTGACATTTCCTAACTCTGACTGCTTCAAAGACTCTTTTGATTTCAGGATCCACTCAATAGATGGAAGAAGATAAGCAAGTGTTTTCCCTGATCCTGATGGCAGAGAAATCACAAAAAGACATACATTTTTTTCCACTTCCTAACTAACAGTTCCCTTACAGGACTACAGTATAGCATGAACCTAGCAAATTTTCATGTCCAGAATTTTTTAAAAAGACATGTATCTTTGTATTCAAAAGATATATGGTACCCGGCGAAATTCCTACATAACGGAAAGATTTCAGCGTCCTGTCTATTTCGCTGCGTGCCAGACTGTATCTATCATTAACTTGCACTTGTATCATAGTAAAGAAATAAAAATGTTGCAATGCTTATTTTATTTATTAACTCAATTTAACCAGGACAGTCTCAGTTTTTTGCTTTAGTTGATAAAACATACACTTAAAAAATCAAGACAGGAGGGCAGAATAAAAATTTGTTAAAAAAAACCAAGCCAGAATCAAGGAGAAAACAAGAACATCTGATCTGATGAAGCTGCAATGAGACTGACCCTGAATAAGATCTTTCCTGTTCAATGTATCATTATTGAATGGCAGGAAGGTTCTCACCTGTTTCTGCAGCACATGTCACATTGTTGCCTTGCAACAAGCTTGGGATTGCTAACCTCTGATGAAAGATCAGAAAAATAATAGAAGAGACACAGAACGAAACCAGCAAAACAAACAAACAACAGCTCCTGAAAACAATTTCAAAACAAACACATTCCCTGCAAACTCTTTGGTTTTTTTGTTTTGTTTTTGTAAAGTGTTTTACGGCGCTCGCAACTGCATAAGGTCATATGACTGCGCGGGACACACCTAATATTTTCAGTTGGTAGGACATTTTGAATTTTGCCCGGGTGGCGGCCGAAGCCTACTCTTATCAATTTTAGACCACCAAGGGATCTTTAACGTGCGCAACTTGCACACGGGCCCTCCGACATTTTTCGCCCTTGTCCGAGAAGGCTAGGTGTAGATCTTTCCTACCAGAAGATCAGGGGTGTGGCAGAAAGACAGCAATAAGGAGGAGCCAAGGAGTAGCAGTAGAAAGGCTGCAGAAAGAGTCAGGAGCCCAGAGGAGGGGGCAAAGGAGGTGAGGGGGTGGGGGCAGAAAGTGGAAATGAAAGCAGACAACAGAACATTGCTAGAGAGCAGGAAAGGAGGTGAAAGGAGACAATTTTAGAGAAGAAAATTTTTCGGTCGCTACCCGGATTCGAACCCGGGACCTTTGAATGAGAGGCCAACACCTTAACCTCTAGGCCACGAGAGCCCCCGCAAACTCTTTGTATCACAGACAAGAAACAAAGAAAAAACCAATACACAGTTCTTATGTTTTACAAATACAGTCGAACCTGCTCTTACGACCACCTGTGTAAGACAATCACTTGTACAAATGACCACTATCCACTTCCTCCATTGCATTTAAAAAACCTGAGTCACGACTCGCTGGAATCAGGCGCATGTCATATTTTGGGGATGTGCAGTTATTGGTATCACCTTAAAGTTTGCTCTGTTGTCTTGCTCTAGACGAAAAAAGTACTCATTAATCTTGGATAGGAGTCGAGATATTTGCAATAGAATAAAGAGGGGTTGCTTGGCTCCAGAGGTAGTTCTGATAGAAAATTGCCACCAAAGTTTGGTAACTTCCTTTGAGAGTCCTTGGAAATTGAAAATTTACATTTTGTGTGCCTAAAATTAACGTGTTTCAGTAAAATCCACACGAAATGTGTTTTTAAAAGGACACAAAAGGTGTTAAGCCAAGAAAACAAAAAATTCAATAAAATTGCCAAACTGGCAGAAAAATGAGTTTTATTCGATTTCATTGCTTTGACGAGCGCTTTATTTCACCATGATACCTCACATATCATAATAATGACATGGTTCAAGATGTTCACCAGTCTAAAACAACCACTTTTCTCAGTGACAATGGATGGTTATCTTGGGCGACTTAGACTGTATGTCTTGCTCACCAACTTCCTCTCCAAAAACTGAAGATACAGTAAAGTAAAGAAATATGGCTATCAATGGGACAATGACTTTCTAGAGCTCATTACTCGCAACAACAAAAACAAACGATTAAATCTCATTACGTCGAACAAGGTGTCACCTGTATTTCTGTAGGATTTTGAAAGCCCAGCTCCTCAAGTCCTGAACACAAGGCTTCGCTGATCCCTAAGTCACTGAACGAGATAGGTTCACTCGCTGTTTGTAAACTTGGATTCTAGAACAGAGATTGAGAATAAGTTCTGAAGCATGAGAACCCAAGGGAAAATTTTAGTACATGTACATAAACAGCAAGTATAACGGAGTTGTTTTAAAGCTTGTAATTTTTTTCTTTGATTGTGGAAAAGTAAAAAATGCAGAACTTTTTCAATCATTAAGCCTATGATGGTTACTGCATAACAAAGTGAACATTAACTCAAGGAGTTCCACAAATTTGGGTGGGCTTAAATTAACTAAGATGCAAAGATTAACAATCACAGAGCTTACTGCTCTCAGCCACTTTGGCAGATCAATGCTCCAGACAATTATTCAGAGACACAAATTTAATTGTGACTTATTTATTTACAGAAACATTTCTATTAGATATGAAGCTTATCTAACAGACATTTTGTTGCTGTAAATGAATAATTTTAAGGGAACAAGGCAGATCTAAAAATCAAATTAAATTAAAAAAAACAACAACAATAGAAGTTGACAAATATAAATTTGGGAGTTCTCAATAAAATAAGAAGTATTTCTCCTTTACCTTATCTGTCACAAACACATGCATCCCAAAAAAAAAGAAGTGAAATGGTATAAGTTTAACTATCAACACTATTAGGTTGTTTAAGAGGTGGACACATGTACCATAACAGCATACATTTTACATGAGTAATGATAGTTTTGCTCATAATATATAAAAAAAATACTCTGTGTGTGCACATCAATAAAAAAACAACAACCCGTGAACATGACGCTTCTTTTGAAATGTGACCCTCTTTGAGATCCAAGAGGGAATTATGAGTGCAAAGAGTTCAGAGGTAAACAATGCAAAAAATTGTTGAGAATCTTGCTGGATATAATTAATGCCTCACTAATGATGACAAACAATTCACAGCAACAGATTAACCTCAGGGCCGCGTTAACTAAGTGCGGGGCCCTAGGCTGTCCATGAGCCGCGGGGCCGGGGCCCCTCAATGACGTTGATGCTACTACTACCGCATTGTAACCCCGTACTGATGGAAAGCTATACTGTAAAACATGATAAGATGTAGGCCTACCGGTATCCACCAATAATGTGGATTAAGACAACGACAAGCACAAAATGTTATAGTTTTCGGCCTAGCGCCTAGCGTAGTCAAAAGACAACTTCGGAAAACTCATCAGCAGCACCCACAACAACAGCAACAGCGGTAGCATCAAAATCCTTCTCATCAACATCAACAACAACAACAACTGTAAAAACAACAGCAATACATGTGTACAAACAACAAACAAGAGGACAATTTTTTTTGTTTAAAAATATTTTTTAAACGTCGCGTTTGCGAGCGCGGGGCCCTCTGAGGGGCGGGGCCCTAGGCTACAGCCTAAACAGCCTTACGGGTAACGCGGCCCTGATTAACCTTACCTCTGAATGCGACATCAATGTGAAATAATCTCCGACTCTCTTGGAATTTTTCCATCCGCTACTGACCAGTGAGTGGACATCATGGTCATTAAATCGCTGACCCTGGTGAAAGTTGTAGGCTTTCCTCTTGCACGATATTAGAAGAGGACCTTTGGGTTTAGAGCGTCTTTGGTGCACTTGTTTGTTCATCTTTTTCTGTTTCAGTTTTTCCAGCTTTTTTACCATCTTTTGTGGGCATGTAACATGAGGTAGAGTCTGTTCCTGGTTTGTCTGAGGAATGGAAGCAAATTTAAAGACCACGAAGACGCAAATAAAAATACTGCACTCATTGTAACAAAAATTTGGGTGTCAATTCGGTGTTGTCTTTGGAACAAAACAAAATTGGCTTATCCATCAATCTATCGTGTTCATGATTAAGTAGATGTCCCCTTTCTACATCATGGCATTGATAAGAATGGGGCTGATGTGACCCTAGCACATTGAATGACCCATCGTATGAGGTGACTACATGGAGTGTTAAGTTGTGGCTGCTGAAAAAGAGAGATGGGTCACGGGGTTAACAATACCTCCTGTTGAAAAAGCAAATGTTGCAGAAGCACAGATAGGAGAAAACTATCTTTACATTTGGGAAGAAAATAAAGCTCATTCATATATAGAATATTTGATGGGTAATAGCCTCTCCACCGTCTGTCAAGTCTCTTCCGGTTGGTTTGTGGAACTTCCAACCTTGTGTAAGGCTGGAAAATTTGAACAAGTTGTCAAGGAGATGCACTGATACCACCTCCATATACTTGGAATCCGCGAGACCCACTGGAATCAGTCTGTACAGAAACATCTCCACTTGAGGGATTTACAAATCTTTATATCACCAGACAAGCACTACAGTGGAATCCTCAGGGAACAAGAGCAGGGGTAGACCACGGGAGACATGGAAACCTTGAGTGGAGAAGGACATGTTGAAAGCAGAAAATGGAACACTACTGGGGCCAGTTGCGAAAGTTTGCCAGAGACAGAAAAGGATGGAAATCTTTTGTTTGTGTCCTAGGGATCAATGATGATGATGGCCTTTTCTACTTGTACTTTTATCCTTGACTAATTACTGTGGGCAGTCTATGGAAGGGGAGAGGAGACAGTATAATTTAAGGAAGCCTCTTTCTCTTTCCATCCTTTTTGTTTCTAGCATGCATCTCTGAAAGTCTTGTTGATAAATCTGCATGGTTTCTCTGCAGTTCTCATAGCTATGTCAGACTATGTGGTAAACATAGAGGTAAAATTTGCCTTTCTCAGCAACCACTTACAAAACAGTCTGCCCTCTTCTAACATGGCTAACGGTGTGCACCGTGCATTATTAGAACAATTATGAAATACACAAATGAGAACAACAGAGTTTTTATTGCCATGTTGACTTTCAAAATACAGTCAAACCTGTGTAAAACAGCCACCCATTGTCATGGAGAAAAGTAGTCGTATAACACAGGTGGCCATCTTATGCAGGACTGATCAAAAGGAAGAAAGCAAATCATTCTCTACTGAGGTCCAAAGCGGGGCTGATTTCAGACTTAAGACTGCTGTAAGGCAAATTCAAAAGGGTGTTTTGTGTTGTTTTGCTGGTTTGTTTTTTTGTAAGCTTTCTTTTTGTTGCTGATTTTGTGCAAGAGTAAAATAAACAAAATATTATGTAGGTAAGACGAAGACCGAGTGCCATGGTAAAACACACACATGGGTCGCCACCACTCGGAGAACGAGTGGCGCTTCTGTTGCAAGCTCACGTCAGTGTGCATTGTTAGTTCATTACAGATTAGGTAATCAAAACAGTGACAAGTCACCTCACACACCATTTGTGCATGAGTTGTGGGCGGGGCTTATAGGTTATGACGGATCACGTTTCCCTCACAAGCAGGTAAATTTGAGAGTGGGTTGATAAAATAAGGTTGCTGCTGCCGCGTTGGACAGGCGACCGTTTTACACAGTTAAATTATATAGAAAAAACACAAGGGGGGAAATGGAAAGTGGCCGTTTGAACAGGGGGCCGTCATGGCAGGTTAGACTGTACTATCTTTTATGATAAAGTATCAAAAAAGTTCTAAATGAAAGACACAATGACCCCATAAGAGCCAAGATGTTTTACTACATTCAAAGACACTGATGTAACTGGAAACAACTACTCACATAGTTTGAGAACAGCCTACACATGAGCAGTCTGTGACAGCACCAAAAGGATACTCTTTGCCCAGAGCAAAGCTCTTTTCCACTGAGAACGTGCAGCATCTTCAGCTTTCAGTTCTGCAAAAGAAAAGAAAAGTAAAGATCAGACTAAACACATTAATATCCAGTAGACATGTACACTACTAGTAAAAAGTAAAGTTGTTCCCGCATCTGATCCGGACATTGGGGATTGCCTTGTTAGTGAGACAACTTCCTTGGCTTTCAGTATATATTGTGGTAGAGTGGCCAGTTCCTCTCCAAGCCGCCTTTACTTCCCAAACTCGAAGTCAGGTATCCATTACTGCTGGGTGGGAAGGAGGGGCGAAAATATCCGTGTCCGATCTGAGGCTCGGAGACTAGCGCACTAACCTCTCCGCCACCATACCCTCTTCACTACTAGTACATTAATAAATTATATATGGGATATAATCATTCATTAAAATAGTAACTTATGACATCTATCATTTGTGTGGCATTATAGTAAAATCAGGCCCTAACCAAAATAATGAAATTGAAGAAACTAACTTTCAGCCAGTTGGCCCATTTTCATCGAATTTTTTTTTTGGGCTCTAAACCTTTTAAACAGGGTTGGGTTGATTTAAATCAGTTGATTTTTAAAATTTAAATCAACTTGATTTTTAAAATAAAAATCAGTGATTTAAATCACTTTAAAAATTTTTTATTTTTATTCAGTTTTTACACGGGGGCTCTCGTGGCCTAGAAGTTAAGGTGTTCGCCTCTCATTCAAAGGTCCCGGGTTCGAATCCGGGTAGCGACCAAAATATTTTCTTCTCTAAATTTGTCTCCTTTCACCTCCTTTCCTACTCTCCAGCAATGTTCTGTCGTCTGCTTTCGTCTCCTCTTTCTGCCCCCCACCCCTTCACCTCCTTTGCCCCCCTCCTCTGGGCTCCTGATTCTTTCTGCAGCCTTTCTACTGCTACTCATTGGCTTCTTCTTACTGCTGTCTTTCAGCCACACCCTGATCTTCTGGTGGGAAAGATCTACACCTAGCCTTCTCGGACAAGGGCGAAAAATCTCGGAGGTCCCGTGTGCAAGTTATGCACGTTAAAGATCCCTTGGTGGTCTAAAATCGATAAGAGTAGGCTTCGGCCGCCACCCGGGCAAAATTCAAAATTTCCTACCAACGGAAAAAGTTTAGTGTGTCCCGCGCGCTCATATGACCGTATGCAGTTGCGAGTGCCGTAAAACACTTACAAAAACAAACAAACAAGTTTTTACACATTTCAACATTCAGAATGCCTTTCCTCGGTTTCATAAAACAGATATACGGTTTAGTAGACTAATATAATCATGCTTAAAAGTCTGCTTTCCCCCCCTTTCACTGTAAAATAATACAGTCTTCAATTTACTTTTTTTCCATAATTGAAATCAGAGCTGGGTTGATTTAAATTCGTTGATTTTTAAAATTTTAATCAACTTGATTTTTAAAATAAAAATCAGTGATTTAAATCACTTTTCAAAAAAATGTATTCAGGTTTTACATATTTAAACATTCAGAATTCCTTTCCTTGGTTTTATTAAACAGAGAGGTTTAGTAGACTAATATAATCATGCTTAAAAGTCTGCTTTCCCCCCTGTCACTGTAAAATAATACAGTTCTCAATTTACTTTTTTTTTCATAATTGAAAACCAGGGTTGGGTTGATTTAAATCAGTTGATTTTTAAAATTTTAATCAACTTGATTTTAAAAATAAAAATCAGTGATTTAAATCACTTTTCAGGTCGATTTAAATCAGTTGATTTAAAAAAAACTTAAATCAACTTGATTTTAAAGTGATTTAAATCACTTTTTAAAAATGTATTCTGTTTTTACATCTTTAAACATTCAGAATTTCTTTCCTTGGTTTTATAAAAAAGATAAAAGGTTTAGTAGACTAAAATTGCTTAAAAGTCTGCTTTCCCCCTTCTCACTGTAAGTAGTAAAATAATACAGTATTCAATTTACTTTTTTTTCATAATTGAAATTAGCATTTTCTTTTTCTTTTTAGACAAACACAAGCGCGCGCACACGCACACACTGTAATAAAATGCAAGTTTATCTATGCATAATTACCCCCCCCCCCTCCGTTCCTTTTAGACTGGCATTTTCTTCATTTTTTGTCTGTAGCCATAATTCACTGATATAGCAGATTAAGGCTTTCTTAAATTGCAGTTGCTTAAATTAATCATTAGTTAAAATAAAGACAATGCATTTTGCACTAAAAGAATATACTTTTAGCCACCAAAAATCCCAAACTGTGTCGACATTTAAAAACAAATTAAAAATTTTTTAAAAAATCCGATTTAAATTTAAGAAACCTGATTAAAATTTTAAAAATCGATTTTTAAAATTTTTATTTAAAAAAAAAAAAAAATCACCAACCCTGCTTTTAAGTCCATTTAAAACCACATTTCTGTGAGGATTTTATAGAAAAACATTGATCAAAGGCAAAACAATTTTAAAATTTAAATTTGCATTTCCAGGGACACTCAAGCTTAAAAAGTCACCATACTTTGGCAGCCATTGTCAAGCTAATTTTACTTCTGACATCCCCACCTTCTTCAATCGCAAATATCTCAACTTCTTGACACGATAGATGAGAATTTTTTTTCCACCAAAAGCAAGAAAAAGCTTTACAATGATAGGCCGGATCAACAACTCCATATTATATTTAAAAACCGACGAGCGCCCGATTCCACCCTGTCATGACACAGTCTTATATAGCCAGCTTCAACTGGTATTTTTCAGTTGAGCGTTAAGTTAACTTTCCCAAAATAAAGCATAGCAAAAACTACTCTAAGCTGCGGTGCCTCAGCCTGTGTCCGTCTTTGAGTCTGAATAAGTCAGACATTGGATTTGATCCCCGCCTGCACTGTAATATATATATTAATGTTGTTGGCTTGAACAAAAATAGATCTAGACCCAGCTGTAGAATAGTAGAGAAGGTAATTTTCCAGTCTGGGCATTCTCTTCAGACTTGTCAGATACCTTGCCTTGAGATTTCCCTGACTCCAGTGGTATCAACTTTAACAGCCACCTGTCAAAGACAATCTATTAATATTAAGCTTAAAATATTCCCAGACTTTTTACTACCCTGAGTAACTACTGACGATCTCTTAAAGGGACCTGCCATGTTTCTTTTTCTTTATCTTGACAACACTTTTTTTCCCCCCTTGCCCATTTATATGAGATTGACGCCATCTGATTAGTAGAAAAAAGTGCATATGATTGTGTCCAATAGTGTATTACATGCATACTTAGTATATCAATTAACTGTAATAGCGGATAGAGATTCCAGGATTATACATGTAAGTCATTGATCTGAGAGAGGTGATGATTTTAGAATTAATAGTGGTGATGAGTGATGATGAGGGATTGCGTTTAAGTAATGTTAGCGTTAGTCCTATCTTCCTCTGCTCCAATGAGTCATGAGGGACGTGGGCACCCTCTATCCCGTTCCCTACTGGAACCATCTTTACGGTCACCATGAAGTTCCGAAATGGTGGGCTCAGTCTCTGCTAAGGTGACATCGTTAGTGTTAGCCTATTCTATCGGGCCAAGACAAGTGTAGAGAGGAGCTAAGAGCTTGACAACACTTACTTCTATCCAACATAAGTGCCTTTGATGCATCCTATACTCAATACATACATGCGCCTATTTAAGAAAATCAAATTTCTGAAAACAATAGCAAGTCAGAACATTTACCAGTAATATCAGGGAAATCTGAGGTTTTCATGGTTCAATCTTTATACCTACTGGGCCAGAATTCACCAACTTATAGGTCAAGTAGAAGTCTGAATAAAACATTCCACACTGGAAAATTAATGAGATGAACTGAATAGAAACTATATGATGATTATTTATCACAACAAAGTGGCTATTCGGACTCGAGTCTGAATAATCCCATGGCTATTCGGACTCAAACCCCAATGCGCGGTATAGTATTGTCCAGATTTTATTTGAACATCATGTAAAGTATGCTGTTGGAAAAGCTTTTCCTTTAAACCAGTGTTACTTTGAATGACTGACTTTTGTTCCCTTTGGAAGGGTTTTAACTTTTCTCTGCTTAATTTCTGACTGGACTTCCAATTGATCAATGATTTGTTGTCTTTCTCCTCGTGAAATAAAGCGGGTTTAGACTACTCATTGATAGAGTTATAATTCTTCGTTGTTCTGAAACTTTGATTTTCAATTTTATTTTTTCACTGCTTTGAGCTCAGATTGCCGTTTCCCTGTTTGCCTTCGTTGTGTAGTATTTCAGATTTTGCAACTGTTGTTCACTTTTGAAGTCACTAATACTTTTCCTAATTTTTGTTGAAAATTTTTGCCACATATCGTAGAAACCGAGGAAGGCTAAGGACGAATTGCCTGTCCGCTTCACATCCAGTAAACCTGTTGATTGCGCACGCGCATTGGAGTTTTGAGTCCAAATAGCTATGGGAGGCTATTCAGACTCGAGTCCGAATAGCTGCGGCCTTATTATAAAATTATGAGTTCACATTTAGTGACATCTGTAATGACTACAGTCTACATCTAGATCCTAGAATCTAGGTATCTTCAGATCTAGTCTAGATCTAGAAATCTAATCTAGGCTAGTACAAGTAGGCCTACAATTACAAGACAAAGCTAGATCTAGTTACAATCAGTGGCTGTGGGTAGTGATGGGCTCACAGCCTTCAGCCCCCCTCCTCACCCCCCAACTCTAACCCAAAGCAAATGAAAAAAACGAAATAAGCAGATGAAACCGTTATGATCGCACGCAATGAACATAGAGGGATCAACTTGGCGGCTCGCTCGTTTATCCAATCACTGTTGTCACCGCTTACAACTACAGTAGCCTAAGAGCCAATCAAATGTCTTAAGGGCTCAGCAAAGGACGAGCCCCTTCCCACGATCCCTCCTCAATGAAACCCTTCTTGTAAAAAGGTAGAAGACTTGAAAAAAATAACACTGCACAGAGGGCTCACGCTCTCCCAGCCCTGACAATGGTGTGAATGTTTACGACACACTTTCCCCCAGTGACACAGATACCTATGCGCTCATTGGACCTTTGTTAGGCGCGTTCTACTTTCCGTGACTACACGGCCTAATCCATCTCATAGACGGTAAATGTTTGGAGTGTGGGGTACGCATGTTTGTTGTTGTGTGCAGCAGAGATTTAACAGTTACTAGATCTAATTACATCAAACCACTTTTGACGCGACTTTTTCATCAGACGAAAATTAATTAGGGAAATTTGGAGGTGAAACGGCTTTGTCCCCATCATCCACAAGGATTAAACTTGATCTAGAACAACAAAGAGACGGAAGACAAAGATGATTCTTCTTGTGCCGTGGCTCGCCGTGAATAAAGAAAAATCATCACAGTTTTGTTCTTATTGCTTGCTATTTGGTGGTAAAGAAGTGGAAGCAACCTAAGCCCCACCCAAATTTTGGTCCACCTACCCCCACTGGACCTGGTTACAATCAGATAGTAGTTAGGTTAAAGGTATCAGTGTCAGATCATCATCATTGCCTTTCTCACCCTGCACCAGGGTACAGGCCACGGACAAACACCTTCCACCTTTCTCTATCCTGGGCTAGCCTCTTGATGTTATTCCACGTCTTCCCACTTTTCTGTACATCGATTTCTGTGATTCTTCTCCAGGTTCCACGTGGTCTTTCCCTTGATCTCTTACCCTGTGGGTTCCAATTCAAAACTTCTTCGTTATGCAGCTGCATGACTTCCTGAGAGTATGTCCAATCCATCACCACCGCTTTCTTCCTACCTCATCTCTGACTGGGATCTGTCTTGTTTTCCTTAACACTTCCACATTGGTGACCCTGTCTGTCCATCTGATCCTCAGTAACTTTCTTAGACACGTGTTCAAGATAACCTGGATCCTCTTTATGCAAGTCTGTGATACGTTCCATGTCTCACATCCATACAACAGGACCAACTTCACATTTGAATAGAAAATCTTGTTTTGTTCGAAGTGAGATATCTCTGGTCTTCCAAATCCTATCCACAGATATGAAAGCAGCCTGTGCTTTTCCAATGCAGGACTTTATTTCAGCACCTGTTCCTCCCTCTCTGTCAATTATACTCCCAAGATAGCAGAAGGATTCAACATTTTCTAGTGTCTTTCCTTCTATTGTGACCTGCTCCTTTCATAGTGCATCTGATCTGTCCTTAGGACCTTTGACTTTCCGGGGTGGATCCTCAATCCCACAGACTCCGATAGGCTGTTTAATACTAAAGTCTTTGCTTGCATCTGTTCCTGGGTGTGCGACAGAAGCGCCAAGTCGTCTGCAAAATCCAGATCGTCCAACTGTGTCCACTATACCATTTCTGTGTCCTCTGGAGGTTTCCTTCATCAGCCAGTCAACTGCCAATATGAGGAGGAACAGTGATAATAAACATCCCTGTCTCACACCAGTCTTGATGTCAAAGCTGTCTGTGAGCTGGCCATCATGTACAACCCTGCAACTTGTCCCTTCGTACATGCTCTTGATGAGGATCACCAACTTCTGTGGGATTCCGTGGTGTCTCATTATCTTCCATAGTGTTGCTCGGTCTGTACTGTCAAAGGCCTTCTCATAGTCAGGATAGTTGACCATCAGCTGGGAGTTCCACTCCAGGGACTGTTCCACAATACACATGTAATCCTCAGCGTGGCAATCTGGTCGGTGGTTGAGCGATTTTTCCTGAAACCAGCCTGTTTATCCCGTAGTCTTGGATTCGTAGCTTGTCTTGATTCTCCCCAGAATGATTCTGTTGAAGACCTTACCTGGTATTGAGAGAAGAGTGATCCCTCTGTAGTTGCTGCAGTTGCTGACATCCCCTTTTTTGGGAAGCTTCACGAGGTGTCCTTCTTTCCAATCCTTTGGGAACTTGCTCTCATTCCAGATCCCGGTAAACAGTGGGAGGATGATGTCTGCCGTCACAATGGCATCTGCTTTTAAGGCTTCAGGTGGAATCTGGTCAGGACTGGCCGCTTTACCTTTGTTCAGCTTCTTAATGGCATCCAGAATCTCTTGCTTTGAAGGAGCATCACAGCAGATTGGTAACTCATTTCTTGCTGGCAGGATGTTTGGTGGGTTACTCGGTGGTGGTCTGTTCAGGAGACTATTGAAATGCTGTACCCATCGTTTAGACTGAGCATTCTTTCCAAAAATGGTTCCCCCTCTTGGTCCTGTACTGGTACTTCAGGTTTCCCGTATCTTCCAGCAAGTGTCCTTGTGGTCTGGTAAAGGATTCGCATGTGCCCTCCTACCGCTGCTTCCTCTGCCAGCCTGTTCATGAATTCCTCCTTGTCTTTTCTTAGTGATTTCTTGACATCTTTAGCTGTTGTCCTGTACTGCTCCAATGCATCCGCTCTTGATCCTCTTGTTCTTCTTGCATTCGCTTCTGCCTTCAGCTGTCTTTTTATCCTAATTAAATCCAATGAGTGTTGGCTAATCCATTCCTTGTGCTCCCATTTCTTCACACCGAGTATTTCTTGACATGTTGATGTAAAGATATCTTTGACCTTGGTCCAGTGTGTATCCACCTCCGTGTCCTCTCCGCCAAGATCAGCCACAGGTTGAAATCTGTTCCTCAGCTGCAGCTGAAACTCTTCTTTCTTGTGTCCGTCCAAGAGACTTACTTGGAACTTCATTCTTTTGATTCCTGTGCTGGCTCCGTGCTTTTTGAGTCGAAGCTTGAGTTTTGCCAACGGTAGATGATGATCCAATCCAACATCTGCCCCTCTCTGTACTTTTACATCTTCCAGTGAGTGCCTGAACCTACGAGAGATACAAAAATGATATATCTGGTTCTCCGTCACTCCATCTGGCGAAACCCAAGTGGCCTTGTGAATCCTCTGGTGGGGAAAAACAGCCTCCAATGACAAAACTGTTGAAAGCACATATATTTGCGAATCGCTCACCGTCCTCATTCATTTGTCCCTAGCCATGTTGTCCCAAAATTCTTTCATCCCCACGTTGTCCTGACCAATCTTGGCATTGGTATCTCCCATTATGATGTTGACATCCTTCCTTGGTAGTTTGTCGATGACCCCCTGGAGCTGGCTGTAAAAGGCATCCCTGTCTTTATCCGAAGCATCATTTGTTGGGGCGTAGATTTGGACTATATTCATGTTGATGCTCTTGCTCCTTGTAGTGAATGAAGCCATGATGATCCTTTCTGCGTGTGGTTCCCATCCTCTAAGTGAATTCTGTGCATACTTACTCAAAATGACTCCCACTCCTTCCGCATGGTACTTGTCTTCCCTCCCAGAATACAAACTCGTTACCCCGAGCTGAGCTGCTTCTGTCCAGACTGTATCCAGTGTGTTTCGCTGACTCCTAGTATGCGCAGCCTGTATCTCTTCATCTCTTGTACTACTTGAGAACTCTTTCCTGCTTCATACAAGGTGCGAACATTCCACGACGCAATCCGGAGAGACTTGTTCGACATATAAGGTTTCGGGTCAGAAGAGTCTTTTCGGCTTTGTTCGCTGTCCTTCATTGTTCCTGCTGATGCAGAAGCTCCTCCGTCTCCCAAGACAGAAAAATTAAAAAGCTGTGTTTGTCCATGTTTCTGTAACTTACTGTTCTTTACTGGGTTGGGTAGTTGGCCCTCTGCAAACTCACTGGCACTTTTCGGGCGACCAGACCTTTGCACTTTTAGTCGCCTCTTACGACACGCAGTATCACGGCAGGCGTATTCTTTGCTCCCCCATGGCCCATAGTATAGTAAAACTATGGGGCCCCCCACCTGCAGGGGCAGTCAGTGTCACAGTATGCATCATAACATTCTTCAAGTCACACTCACTGTCGTCACTGCCACGGCATATATATTCTAGAGATCTAGATCTATATTTATATTTTATTACAGACGTCAAAACTTAGAAAACAGTTGACTCTATACAAGTCAAGTACAGCGGACAGCTCACTCTGTCACTTTTCTTAGGACAGGACTTTCAACTTGAGTCTGGAAGATTTTTTTTTCAAACCGGTACGCTAGACGCCTGAGCCTGAGCCTCAAACCTAGATTTCCAGATCTAGAGTCTAGACCCGCTGCAGTTATTCAACTATAAATACTAACTTTGTAAATTCACAACGACAAATTAAAATATTAGAGTTTAAACACGCAACCTGGATTCTTTGATCTTCAATCTCCTCCTGCTCGTGCCTGCTATCTCTACTTTCGTTTTTAGAAAACGGAAGTAAAACAGGTCAGAGTTGAGAGTTCAAAGTTGAGTTTGTGGAGTGGATCCGTCCGACCGAGTCCGATGAGCCGAAAGAAAAGTCTGTCTGTAGACCATGAATACACGTAGATCTAGATTCTAAGCCTAGAATCTAAGATCTAAATTTCTAGTAACTCAACAATCAGAGACATTATTAATTTTATAGCTTTCTTGTCTGTGGCTATGTGTGACAGAGACAAACAGTGCCGAAACATACATTTTGTTACCCGCATGCCCCAATCATGCTTAGAAGTGGTACGTATAAAATCTACATTCATTGCATTGTACTTCTTTTACTTTTATTGGATGGAGACCTTCGTCTTCACAGTCACAACATCTCGCTTCCTGGAGTTCCAGGCTCTCTGACCTGGTCCTGGTTGCACATTTATGAACGTTGACTGATAAAGAGAAGTTTAATGAAAATGCATTGATTTAGAATCTATATTTTATTTAGATACTGGTGACACTTGTGTGTGTGTGTTTGTCTGTGTGTGTGTGTGTGTGTGTGTGTGTGTGTGTGTGTATGTGTGTGTGTGTGTGTGAGCAATTTAGTCTAATTCACAATCGGTCTAAGGGTCTAGATCTAGATTCTAGATCTAATTGTAACCTCCCTCTAGTCCTTGGGATACTCCATATTTTTAGAGTGGCCTAAGTTGAAAAAAGAAATCATTTTTTTAGGGGGTACCCATTACGAATGGGGTCGGGGGGGTCAGGACGATCAGACGGTCGCGCCCGACTCGCAGACTCAAAAACACATGCGGTTAAACGTAGAACGACGCAAACTATTTTTAGGACTAGGTAAGGCGACCATCTTCATATCTTGCTTGACGTCAGACCAGGATGCCACTCCGATCACGTGACTACATATAAGTATAGCCCACCGCATGGCACCAAAGATGGAAGTGTCTACCTCTCGCTGTTGGAAGTTTTGATAGCCGAATGGACAGCGTGTCTGCGTTTGAAGTCATGCAATTATTTTATGAGCGGTTCGATCCCGGTCCCGCAAAGTTTTTTTTTTTCTCTTCGCTCCTCCTGACTGACCAACAGTTTTATAAATTATAGTTTGTTGCTTAGTAGTTTTTTTTGTTTTTAAAAAAATGTATATTAGTGATGAAGAATACAGGAGGGGGGGGGGGGGGGGTGATCTAGATCTAATCCTCCAGAGTCTTTTTTGCAATTTTCGTACGGTTTATTGTTTTTGCGTTACCGTTTTTCAATTTCAAACATCAGCGTTCTTAATCTTACTGTTCTGAGCATCAACGATCTAGATCGAAGCGATTTCCATCATATCCAAGTACTAGATCTAGGAAATCTGAAATGATACCAAAAACACGTCATTCCATGCAGTACCTCCATGGCCTTCTTAAAATAGTCTGTGGGTATCCCAGGAAGTGATGACATCACATTACTAAAATTAGCAGCCAATCCGGAAAATGCTTCTTCTATGTTTAACGGCATGTCTCAAAAACAAATGCGTTTGTTGTCATAGGTGACCGAGTTGGGCGATCGGCCCGATCCGCCATATTGGGCGCCCCGTATAAGGTTTCAGAGCTGTATTTAATTATAACTCCCATTTTTGTAATTAGTAAAAAATGGTGGTTGGGAAGAAACAAAAAAGTGTGAGTGGGGGATTATGAAAGTGGTTTATTATGTATGTGGTAGTCATGGCAGACTTTAAAAAATTAACACTGGTCACTATACTAGGTTATTGTGTGCTGTGCCAGATATGCCAGCTAGGGAAGGCTGGTTTACAGAACACTTACTGAGTTTGAGGTCTTTTTTGGGAGAGATGAGCGAGTTTACAAATCGTATGCTACATATTTAAATGTGACGTTGACAAGAATGAAAATGGAAGGTATTAAGTTTGACTTATTCTTGTTTCTGTATAACACACACACATATATATATATATATAAATATATATATGTATAAATTATATATCAGTGCACTTATTGTCTTTCAAATGTTTTGATATCACACAAGCGATTTTCTTATTTTTATCTGAAATAGTTAGTTGGAAGTGTCATCTCTTACTCAGCGAGACATAGGTTAGCCTGTAAAGATACACGATTTACTACAGTTGCCTGCTGTTCTGGTGCACTGTTCCACCGAACGTATGACTATATTTTGTCAGTCTGTTGTACTTAGCAGTAAAGCAGTTCAAGTCTTTAAGGGAAGACCCGGGTCGGCGATCCAAGGCAATATCGATACAATTTTTCAAACTATCCAACTTTTGTTTTTTGCGGAAAAACATCCTTTGACATCTGTTCTATCGAGTCAAAATGAAGAAACTGTTGAAAAAACACCCTAAATGACCTAAAAGGGCGTTTGAAAAGTGCAAAATGCTTTGAAAATCCTTAAAAAAATCCCTGTTTTTTCTGTTTTTCTCAAAATCTGCTTTTTGACATATGTGACCTCCTGGGTGCAAGGAGTTATCAAACACTACAGAAGCTAGAAGCTTCAAATTTGGTGTACATGTGCTTTAAAATCGATTCTGGGGATCTATGAAAGGGAATTGGGAAATATGGGTAACTTATGGAAATATTCAATTTTTTTGTAATATGTACCCCGAAATTTCGTCAACTGACTCTAGGGGGTCCACTGACTTTGGGCTCACTTTTTTAGTTTTAAAGATAGGTCAAAATCCTTTCATAGATCCCCAGTTCATATAGGTTTGTACTTGTGTGCGAAATTTCAGGCTGATAATTCAATATTTACTATGAAATTCTTCTGCACTTAGAAACTGGTTTGAAAATCCAAGATGGCCGCCACAGAGACCCATTTTTTAGAAAAATTCAACAAATTCACCCCTAGTACATCCTATTTACCTATGAACCTCTTGCACAATTACTTGAAATTGAATAAAAGTCTTTCGTTTAGAAAATTTTTCCGGGAGTGTACGTCTCCCCTTAAAAAAAAAGGGGACCCATGTAAAGGGCAACTCAATAACCCATATTCCCAGTGAGTGTATCTCGACTTCTGTTTGATTGTTACATTGTGAGATATTTTCAACTATTTTTTCATTTCTTTTTTTTTCTGTAAGTCAGTTAGTGAGTTCAACACTGTTAATGAAACACACACACACACACACACACACACATACACACACACACACACACACTCGCTTACACATACACACACACACACACTCACACACACACACACACACACACACACATGCGTGCACGCACGCACACATGCACACACACACACACATGCACATATGTACATGCACACACATGCACACACACACATATAAACAAATGCACATGCACACACACACACACACACACACACAAACACAAACACACACGCACACACTCACAAACACGCACACGCACACATTCACAAAAACGCACACTCACACACACACATACACACACATAAACACCTGCACAAACACATGCACACAGAGACACTTCCAAAGACACACACACACACACACACACACACACACACACACACACACACACACACACACACACATATAAACACTCTCTCGTGCGCATAATTAGTTTAACTCATTTCCTACTACTAGGTAGAGTGACCAGGAGAGGTTTCCCCGGCTGAAGTGAATTTTTTAAACTTTTAAGCTAAGATGTGCATGTCTGGGCATACCAGTGAAATGTGGTGCTAACTGATTATCTGTGAAATTCCTCTCAGTCTCAGTCTCTATTTAGTATATCACTTTCTTGTCTCTGTACCTTAATAATAAAAAGCGGATGTTATATTTGTGAATATATGAAGAACAACGACTTACCTGTCTGATATATGGCTACCTCAGAATTACAAAGTTCTATCTGTTCAGTACCTAGTTTTGAGAAATTTGACTTCAAGGATTTTGAGTTTTACATCATGTCAAGCTTTTTGAATGCTTTTCTTTGAATATCTTGAAAACGACTCCGAATAATCTTACGATTTTGATAGAGCAGATGAAACATTTTATTTTTGGCCTCATGGTCTTAGTAACTCCAAATCTCAAAATGGCCAAAAATGTCGGATAGAACTTTGTAATATATCAAGTGTTTAAAAGTTCAACCAAATTTGAGTAGAACACAAAACAAAACTTTGCAATTATAAAAAATTTAATCTTTGAAGCCTTAAATTTGCCTTTCAAAATTACAGTGCTCTACTGACTGAAGGTATCCAAAGGTTATAATTCCTCTTTGTCTATTGACTCTTTGTGCACTGAAGAGCAAGTTTTTATGTAAAATTGTCATTTCTAAATAAACTTGCGGAAGGTTGGTGGCTATTCAAATAGTATGTTCAAGGTGTTGACCATTTCTCTCTAGACAAGCTCGAATATGCCCCACGAAATTTTAAATGACCGTGTGGCAGGTGTCTTTGTTGTTTCTTTGGGTGTCCTGTTGAACATAATAGAATGCAACAATTGGAAATGACATCTTATATGTATTATATTAGTATTAGAATAAAATATTGTTTTAAACAACCTCTCTATCTGAGGAATGTAATGAAATATCTTCAAAGTACTGGGGTGACACCTGTATTTTATTGCCTCTGGTCTATGGATGATGTTTGAGGAGGGAGTGATGCATCTTTTCTATACATAAATCTTTGATGTAATGTTTTCTGTTTGCAGCATGCTCTCGGAGACTTTATACACTAGCACGGCATGTGGTCAGTGGGAATGGACAGCAAGTATACTTCAGTTCTGATGTGAATGCAGGGCAGTCCATTAGGGTTGAGCCACGGGTATGGAAACAAGACTTAATATGAAAAAGCATATTTTGTTATTTATTAATAGTAGGGGCACTCTCTTTTTCAGTATGGAATGTTTATGTTAAATTCTGATCTAGTTTTCCTTTTATATTCCCAATGATTGTATCTTGTCTTCTGTTTGAGTGTTGTGAAATATTTTCAACTTTTTTATAGTTTCTTTTTTGTTTGAAAGTCAATTAATGCATTCAGTAGGCTACACAGTTACTTGAAACACACACACACACGCACGCACGCACGCACGCACGCACACACGCACACACGCACACACACACGCACGCACACACACACACACACACACACACACACACACACACACACACACACACACACACACACAGGGGGCTCTCGTGGTCTAGAGGTTAAGGTGTTCGCCTCTCATTCAAAGGTCCCTGGTCCGAATCTGGGTAGGAATGGAAAAATTTTCTTCTCTAAAATTGTCTCCTTTCACCTCCTATCCTGCTCTCTAGCAATGTTCTGTCGTCTGCTTTCGTCTCTACTTTCTTCCCCCACCCCCTCACCTCCTTTGCCCCCTCCTCTGGGCTCCTGACTCTTTCCGCAGCCTTTCTATTGCTACTCCTTGGCTCTTACTGCTGTCTTTCTTTTGGTCTAAAATCGATAAGAGTAGGCTTCGGCTGCCACGTGGGCTAAATTCAAAAATATCCTACCAATTGAAAATGTTTGGTGTGTCCTGCTCGCTCATATGACCTTATGCAGTGGTGAGCGCTGTAAAACATTTACAAACCCACCCCCCGCCCCAAGAACCCCCCAGACACACACACACACAAACACATTCACTCATTCACACATGTATAGGCGCACCACACTCACATACTTACATGTATGAATACTACACTGACCATTCATATGATCAAGTCTTCTTCTACGGCCTCCAGGCCCTCTCACGAAGTCTAGATCTCACTGGCATAGAGACTCACAAAGTTTTGAAAGAAACCCTAGAGGAGGTGAAAGTGGCATGATTTTGTGGGCAATTGCCTAAATTATTATTCAAGCATGTCATCTTTCAGAATGTTGGCCATGGTTGCAAGAATTGTGTCTCTGTCAGTGGCACATCATGCAAGTCTTGATACCTCGGGTGGTAGCTTTTTATCCAAAGGCATCAGAAATTCTTCCTGCTGGATAACGCAAGACCCCATACTGCTGGTGCCACACAAGACTTCTGAGGCAGAATAATGTTTACTTGTTGCCTCATCCAGCGTGCTCACCAGAATCAATCCCATTGAGCACCTTTGGGGTGCCTTACATAGAAGACTCAACCATATGCACCCAAAGTCACAAATAGCAGCATAGTTGGGCAGAACAGGGAAATCAACTCTCAGATTACATATGTGATTCATCATGATGAAATCAGGCGCTCGTCAAAACAAGGATATTGAAGAAATCACATCTTCCCGGCCGTTTGGTAATTTTTATTGAATTTTTTTTTTTTTTTTTGCTCAACACCTTTTTTTTTCATATAAAACACATTTCTGTGTGGTACTTACTGAAAAACATTGATCAGAGGTATGAAAAATGTAAATTTACACTTTCTAAGGACTCTCAAGCTTTGAAAGTCACCGGCTTTGGCGTCCATTTTCTCGCTAACTTTACCTCTGAAACCAGGCTATCCCACTTCCTTCAATGGCAAATATTTCAACTTCTATTCAAGATTGATGACCATTTTTTACATCTAAAGCAAGACAAATAAACAGGTTTTATGATTATACCATTGTCTCCATAAGCCGGAAAACAGACGAGTGCCTAATTCCACAGCGTCGTGACACATATGTGCATCCATTATAATTGCAGTCCAAGTGGGCCATACAACTTCTATTGGAGTACAGTCGCACCTGCCCTGACGGCCACCTCTATAAGACGGCCACCTGTACAAATGGTCACTTTCCATTCCCCCCTTGCGTTTTTTCTATATAATTTAACTGTGTAAAATGGGCACCTGTCCAACGCGGCCGCGGCCACCATATTTTACCACACAACCCCTATCACACAAAGCAATAACACCTGTCTTAGACGGCCACCTTAGTGACTCCATTACGTTTTGTCATAAATCATGCATTGGCCCCTGGCGTTTTGGGCGAGCCGTCATAATCCAATCATCTGTCGTTGTTGTAGGTAGTCCCTCCAACCGATCAGGTTGCGTAGGCCCCTCCCACTGTTGACCAATAGGTAACAATACATTTTCAACTGCTGATGAGGGAAGCATGTGATCCCTTATAACCCATAAGCCCTGCCCAGAACTCATACACAAATCGTAAGTGAGATGAGTTGTCACTGTTTACCCAGTCTGTAACAAAGTAACAATGGACGTCAACATGAACTTGCGGCAGAAGCGTCGCTCGTTCTCCGAGAGGTGACAACCCATGTGTTTTTTTTTTTTACCATGGCACTCAGTCCTCCTACTCCTTGTTTGACACATTTCGTTTTATTGTCACCCTTGCACAAAAGCAGCAACAAAAGAAAAAAAGAAAAGATAAAAAAAACTAGCGAAAACAACAACAATAACAGCAAAGCAGCTACCATCGGATGGGACCTCAGAAAGGCATGGTTTGTTTTCTTCATCTTGATCAGTCCTGCCTAAGACGGCCACCTGCATTATACAGCCACTTTTCTCCTTGACAATGGGTGGCCGTCTTACACAGGTTCGACTGTATATTATGGAGAGGATCTACATACTTGTTTACATTTCCGATTTTATTCCTGAATTGTTTCTTGTCTTGCCTCAGCCCTGTTGTATGACAGTTATTGTATGTACAGCTAGTTTTCTGCATAAAAATATGCTTTATTTCTTTTATGGTACTTTGTAGCCTTAAATTTGCCTTTAAAAATCACAGTGCTCTACAGACTGAAGGTATCCAAAGGTCATAATTCCTATTTTGATATTTAATTCTTAAATGACTCTTGTTTTTTTTAATATGTGTAGCAATGATAGTGACTTTCAAAATATGAATGTATTATTGTTTCTGTTCCTGATATACACCTTTCTAAATGACTTGTCATTAATTGTTTGCTAGGTTGCACTTTATGATGACAAAGTGGACATAGCTTTAAGTGGATTTTCATCACACGAGAAAGTCACAGTCCATGGGCAATCTGTGAATGGAGAAAAAAAAATCTTGTTTGGCTCTTGTGGACAGTACATAGCTGATGAGAACGGCTTTGTGGATGTAACTAAACAACCTTCACATGGCGGCACCTACACTGGTAAATTCATTAGAGTAACAGTATCATGCTGTTCCCATTGCCACTTCGCTACCCTAGAACTACAAAGTTGTATCTACTCAGTACCAGTTTTTGAGATATATGATGTAAAAAATTTTGAGGTGCACAACGTGTCAAGCTTTTTCTAATGCAATTCTTTGAACGTCTTGATAAGGACTCCAAATAATCTTACGATTTTTATAGAGTAGAGAGAATATTTTGTTTCTGACCTCATTGACTTAATAACTTAAAAAGGCCAAAAATGTCTGATAGAACTTTGTAATTCTAAAGTAACGACTCCTTGATGCCTAAAGTGGTGAGTGGGCTGTTCATAGGACAGCAGGTGTTGACCTCTCTGTTGGACAGTGTAATTTAAGCTCTGAAATATATGGTCATGTAGTTAATGCTTACTCCATAGTTTATTGATTTTAAAAAAATGAGTTCCATGAAATCAAATCTTTTATTGTCTGATGTTTGCAAGGTTGGCCTACATATTCTAAAAGTTTTATCTTTTCTCTATTCATAGTGGAAAAAGTACTAGATGTGTTTTGCTTTTTTTCTGCTTTAAATCTAGATTGTTGAAAGTGCAATACAGTTAATAGGATTCCTGGTAAATGAAAGGAATTTAGGTATTGGGATCCAATTGGTTGAGTGGTCAGTATATGCTAATTCAGAAAGAATATAAAAACAATGTACAGTGCTGTATTTCTGTGACCAGCAAAGTAAAGGCATTACTGTATTTGATTTGGTTGCGGTTTGCTTTGTATTTTGTGGCTGGCATCTGCAGTGTAATGGGTTTTTTTTTACCATGCTTGTAAAATATGTGACGAAATGTCTTTGTGTCTGTTGTTATGGAGTGTAACCTTTACCTCCTGGGTTGGGCCTGTAAGGCCAAATGGAAACAACCTGCCTTCTGAGAGCTTTTTTTTGGGGGGGGAGTGGGGGGATGGGCGGAGAGGCATAACATGTTTGCTACAAGCAATTACAATTGTATTGTGTGGTGCAGTATACTGTGCAAATATTTATGTTCGTGGTTGGCGGATGCTCTGGTGTGGTTTGCTTTTTCTTTCCTATGAAACATCTATCGAACATCTATCGTCCTTATCTCCCCTTCTTTTTTTTTGTTTGTTACGCTCTTGTAACACCTATAATCTTCTGGCGCTCATATGACCTTATGCAGTTGTGAGTGCCGTAAAACCTCTACTAAAAAAAATCAAGTATTTATGCCCCATTTTAAATTTATTTCTGCAAAGACAAGTAACTGTTGTCACATTTAAATCAATGCCTTATCTCAGTTTTGGTTGTGTTTTTATAGGTGTCGAGCCCATGGGAATTGTGTGGAGCCTCCAGCCAGCCCCAGGGCAGCCTCAGCAAACCCGCATGGCCATCAACTTCACAAACCGACCTGGTTTGATCACCCTGAACACCTATGCAGGACATTTAGATTTGACAGATATATATGGAGAGTCGGGCATTCAGCCCTCGAGTTTAGCATCTATTGAAATAGAACGCTGGTTCAGACATGAGGATGTTACTCGAATTGAGATTGAAGAAGGAAATGTCAGAGGGGCCCTTTTCTTGCCTCCTGGTATGTAACACGAAGAAAGCTATTATAAAATGTTGCCTTGTTTCTGATTGCCTTTTTGTTTTGTTCAAAAGTCAAGAATCATAATATAAATCTCCAGTTTCCTAGATTTGTTTGATCTTGCTTTTAGTGAAAAGTTGGATGAAAAACTGACAATTATGTCTGTTAACCAATCTTTGAAGTTAACTTCTATTTGAGGCACATGGGTATATGGCCTTTTTCTTCCTATTTTAAAGTTTCCCCAGAGGTATTGGAAACTCTTCAATGACAAAAAGCAATCAACAAAATGTACATGTATGCTTTGAGATATTTTTCAGTCATGCTGAATTTTTTCCCCGAAGTCTTTAAATGGAAGCAATGGCAATACTAGGGACGAAGTTCACGATTGCTGCTTATATGCTTGAATTTTTTCTGCAGTGCAACTGACTTTTCTTGATACAAAACTTCATGACTTTTTGATTTTTATATATTGTAAGCTGCTCTTTTCAGTATCAAGGATTTTTCACTTATGTATTGTCGACCAGCTGTTAAAGTGTCCAAAGGCAAAGCCCAAAACTCAAATTCTGAATGTCAAAGAAAGCAAGAAAAAATGCATAAAGTTAAAGAAAGTCCAATTGTTACAAGAATGAAACTTTTTTCACTCTCTTGAAAAGTTTTACCTTTTGGGCTCAGGACATTTTAAAAGCTTGCCAACGATATGATTCTTGGCTTTAGTCTTATGGTAGAGCTTACTAGTTTTGGCAAAGTAGGTATTTTTCTTTGCAAACTGTAAATGTTTATAAAGGTTAGTGTTAAAGCATTATAAAAACAGACAGACCATAGTATTCATGAACATTTTATGAATAAGATCTAGTATAAATGGTAGTATACATTTTTGTTTGCTTCAGAAGTCATGTCAGTTATATCACTTCACCCCACAAAAGTGTGGCCAGGAAAAACAGTGACCATACATAGGACAAAGGTCTGAACTAGTTGGACTCTCAGGTTCTGTTATTTTGTAGAAAGGTGGCAAGGGTGAACTTTTTATGGCTTTACTTAAAACCCACATATTCCAAAAGAAATAAAACATTTTGGACAAAACATGGATGCTCTTGATTGATGATTACAGATTCTCTGGATAGAAACAAAATACAGTCAAAATTGTCCAAGACGGCTACCCATTGTCGAGGAGAAACGTGGTCGTCTTTGACAGGTGGATGTCTTGACAGTGTCATTTTGATATATATATATATATATATATATATATATATATATATATATAAAAGTGGGGGAGGGGGGATGGTAGTGGCAGTTTTTACGGATGATTGTCTTGAACAGATGTGGCTGTTACAATATGTTCCACTGTTATAAAATGCTGCACTTGTAACATTCATCTCTCTGTTTATCAACCTAGTGCCAAAGTATGGCGTCTTTTTTCTGTGGACAATCTGATCTGTTAGTTATACTTTTTTTTAAATGACAGTCATTACGTTTTACTGATATGGAATGTTTTATTTACAGGGGATGGCCCGTTCCAGGGTGTGATTGACATGTTTGGTTCTTCCGGAGGCCTCATTGAGTACAGGGCTGCACTACTTGCCTCTCGTGGTTTCGCAGCCCTCTCTTTGCCGTATTTCAAGTACAAGGATCTGCCTGCAAATTTACTGGATCAGGGCTTTGAGTACTTCGAGGTATCGGACTTGATTTGTTTTTCTTTTCATTACTGTATGAATATTTAGCTTTAGATTCCTTTTGTTCCTGAAGAATTTCTATCTGTATTGTTTTAATTTGTAAGCTTTCTGTCCTTGTGTCTCCTTCACTCCTTTAAAACCCGAGTGGATTGTTGGGGGGGGGGGTGCCACTGGTAGGTCTTACTTCTTTACTTTCCCTCTGTTGTTTCTGTCTATCTCTCTTAGTTTTTCTGAGCACAAATGATCATTGTTGTGTTTATCTGCTTTTCTTAACTCAAACAAACAAATGAATTAAAGCTTGTAAGTAAAGAAGAGGGATGAAAGTGAGAATGTGGCACAAGTACTGAATAAGGACGGGTATATTTTCTTTTTCCTTTGCTCAGTTACAGGGTACAGTTGAGCCTTGACATATCACCCTCTCATACTGATGGTACTGGTGTATCTCTGTTGAACATTTGATCAACTACAAAAATACATTTGCTCACATTTTGATACATTATACTGGCATAGAGACATAGATCAAATCAGATTGTTTTGACCTCTAAAATACAAATCTATGCTTAAAAAAAAAAGTAGAATTGGTGATGCCTTTAATTTGCTACGCTATTTCGTTATGTTTTCCAAAAGCAGCAAATTATAAAGGACCGGCATTATCTTCTGGGATGAATAACCCAGCCAGCAAATTTGTAGGCAATTAAGAGACCAGGAACCTTGTGAATATCAGAAAACTGACCAATAACCAGTTGTTGTTACAGTGAAATGAAGGGTTGGATTAGATATTCAGCCTTGAAACTGAAAAAGAGAGCCTTTTGGAGTTGTTTGTTACATGTATTCTTGGAAGGGATGAGGTTTGCAAGAAAGAGGGTCAGGTGTTTTTGTAGTCTGTCCTGAACAAATCATAATATAGGGGGTCTCTTGTGAGCAGGGGAGAGTGAATCACTTCGTTGAAAACATATTTTTACACTCTCAGTCTTGGATTCAAAGACGTTGGCAGGAATGAAGATATGTTGGACTTGTACCATGAATAGTATAGCGTCTGTTTTTCATCTGTGTGTTTGACTGGTCAGAACAATATCTGGTTTTGTCACAGGAAGCTGTGAACTGGTTTTCCAAACATCCAAAGATTTACCAAGGAGGAATTGGAGTCATTGGTGTGTCCAAAGGAGCGGAGTATGTACTGTGTATGAGTGCCTATTGCCCACAAGTGAGCATGATAATTACTTCTGTTATTAGCAGGCTTTAGGGTAAGGAGTTACTAGTTGGAAAATTTGGAGCGTGGTAGATTTCATGTTGAGTATTGAGTAGAGACACTTCACCTCCAGTCTGTGGGAGAGCCACTGGGAAAAGCAGAAAAACAATAAACTATATGAAATAAAACCCAAACTAGAACAGAGAAATCCTTCGGACCTCTCCGGAAGAGACGAAGTCATTTTTACTCAATTGCGCATCGGACACACGGCCCTGACCCACAAATACCTCCTACAAGGAGATGAGAAGCCGTTCTGTGTCGGATGCGACACAGATTTTACCGTTAGACACATCTTAACCGAATGTCTAGACTTTGGAGAGATCCGAAGGAAATATTATGAATGCAAGAAATTGCAAGACAATTTTTCCGTCGTTGTTCCCAGCAGAATATTGAATTTTATGAAGGCCATTTTAGCTGCGAGCATTTCGCACTTGAGGGAGGCATTGCGCTGCCAAGAGCGAAATGCTCGCAGCTAAAGGGATTTGAAAACAACAACAACAACAACAACATGAAGGCCATTGGCCTCTATGGCAAATTGTAAAGTGAAATCGTACTATTTAAATTATTGTTTATTATAAGAGTTGTTTTAAATTGAAAATATATTTACACGGAATTTTATTATTTTAGCATTTTAAAGTCTAATAGTTAACCAATCGTGCAGTGAACTTTTGCGAAAGTAAACAACTTGTGTTTCGCGCACTCATATGACCTTACGCAGTTGCGAGGGCCGTAAAACCCTATACTACTACTACTTCTTTTTTTTGGGTGGTGGGGGGTGGTGGTGGTGGTGTATACATATGGCAATTTCTCAGCTCCGTTAATGAATATTTCTTGAGCTGCTGTATTGTATCGATTTTTTTTCTTTCTTTATTTTTGTCTTTCTTTCTTGGCACTGCCTTCCAATAATGACTTCCACTCCGTTTTATCTGCTGTTCCCCACATCCTGATTGTACCTGTCTGCTCTGTAATGTGATCTTGAGACATTCTTTCTGGCCATCCTAAGGATTGTATTTCAGTTCTTTTTCTCCATTCAGGACATCTTTTTGTCCACCTATTGTTCTTCATTTTACTAATGTGACCTGCACGTTTCTGATTTTTGTTGGAGTACAAATTTTGGGACGTCTGACACTCTTTTTTTTCTTTCGTATTTTTTGTGCTTTATTTGATCTTGAACTCTTATGCCCAGCATCTTCCTTTCCTTTGCTCTTTCTGTTGTCCTGTTGTATTGATAAAATGTGTAAATGCTGACCATCCTCCTCTTTAAATAAAATAGTGCAAATTTAATTTCAATTGTTTTATTTGTTGTTGGCTTGGTTTTTCCCCCTTTTTTTTCTCTCATTCTTCTTTTGCTAATGGTCTTGCATTTTTATTACTCATAGGTGACTGCTGCTGTCAGTATAAATGGTTTATTCAATATGTGTATCGGTGATCTGAAGTACAAAGGAGAAGTGTTGCTCAAGGGGTCCGAGTGAGTTATTGTTTTGCTTCGATATCGTAGAGTTAGGTATGAGCATAGCTCATGACTCAAATCTTAATTATTTTTAATGGTTGAAACCAAGACTTTCCATTCATCACTGAGAGGACAGAGTTACTTATGTAAAAGCCTAGAAACTTCCTGGCCTTCAAAGTTCAAGAATTCCCCATTTGTGGGTTATACCCTGAGTTGGCCACTCCACATTTCAGCATGATATCAGCTGAGCTGATAGCATAATCTGTATTGTCAGCCCAAAATAAGATAACATAGAAAAAAAGGCCATTAGGACTTTTCCTGATCTTTTTATTTGAATTTCATTCAATATTTCTGGCCGCTGTCTCCAAGTAGTCACTATGTGAAAGAGGGAAATTATGTGGGACCGTGTTAAGAGATATATGTGATTATATTATATTTAAAAAATCTGTATCACAACTTTCATTGTCTTTTTGTTACCTGCTTCTGTTTTTTTTATAAACAGAACAAAATGCCTTAAAACTGATTCTGTGGTCTCCACGTAAGAACCCAGTCAGAGGAAGACAAAAATTTTTTATTTTTTTAAAAAACGCGAAAAACGATTTTTAGGCTTATGTCAAGAGGCACCATTTGGCTCATGTTAAAAAGTAGAGGGGGCTTGTGAAAGTGCCTTCTCTTCTCAAGTAATGATAAATAATACCTACCAAATGTGTAAAATGTTTTTTACTTATTATATTCTCTCCAATAGTAATTTTGGTAGTGAGTAATGTAACTGAGACAACAATAAAGTGCTTGACCTAATTTGGTGGCTACCCTGTTACAGTATGGGTTTTATTTTAACCTCATCAACACAATGTAGACCATTTTGATCAATACTGCCTGTCTAAGTCCTGCCTTTGCAGGACGCATCCCAGAGGAAAGACAGATACTTGATAAAATACCTTTCCCAACTGGAGCTCAAGTCTTCTGTGCTTAACATGAAGAATGATGATGAGAGTTAAACCTCAGACATCAATACCCTGGAAGTGAGCCATGAATTGTTGTTGTGAGTACTTGAAGAAAGAGTAATGAGTACTTAAGGGCACCTTTGCTTTGGACATGTTTGTTTGTTTAATAAAGTGTCTCTTTTGTCATGTGTTTATACACTTCCATGCTTCCATATATAGCTTGTATTTTAGAAAATGCCCGACACCTTGTGTTCATATAATGACAGCCCCTTATTTTGCATTCCAGAATTGACCTCAGAGATGAATACTTTACTGATGACGGACTCATACTGACGGACGCCTACCCAACGAGGGGAGACCTCATCCCGGTATGAGAGGAAGCTTTTCTTAAAATGGGCTTGCTCTTGTTTTTTGCACTGTTTTTTAATGTGGTTAAACTGAAGCAAATAAACAAATGAACAAATTGCAAGTAAGGATGGAAACAATTGTAGGTCATTTCTGAGATATAAACTACTGTATAGTGTCATTTTAGGATTAGACTCGGTAGGTGTTTTTTTGTCTTTGTTCTCTAGCCAGGTCTTTTAAAATTCATATTGGAGAATACTAACACATGTAAAGAAACACACCCACGTGCACATCCACTTAAACATGCAAACGCACACACATGTGCGTGCACACACACAGACACACACATATCTCTCTTTGTTGTGGTTAGACATTACTGTGTATGTTCTTTTCTCAGATCTGGAAGGGCAAGGCGAAACACCTAATGCTGGTCTCCATGGACGATGGTCAGGTGAACCCGGAGAGCTATCAGGTCCTTTATGATGCATGCCCAGAGGAGAAAAAGAAGGACATAGAGATTGTGAGATATCCCGGTGCTGGCCATCTGTTGGAACCTCCATACAATGCTTTGTGTAGGGCTTCTGTCAACAGAGTATTCGGTGAGAGTTTGTTGTCCTTTTTTCTCTATAACTGTCTAGCACACTCATAGTGAGTGAGCACATAACACAGATTTTCAGAACCAGATTTAAAAAAAAATGCATGTAAATTCATTGTATTTGAAATATGTACTTGTACAGCAAAATTCGTTCGTAACGAAAAGGTTACACAGTGTGCGTGTTAAACTGTAGACACACACACATTTATATCAGGGTGGCCAGTGAAGTCGGAAAGTCGGAAATTGGTTGGAAATTTTTGTTTAGGTCGGATAAGTCGGATTTTTGTAGGAAAAATTTTGTTCCAACGGAAATGGTTGGATAAACGTCGGCAATAAAAGGAAATTTGAGGAAATCTGTAAGTTGCCTCGCGAAAGACCCGCGAAAATACATAAAAGGTCTCGAATATTTGAAAACCAAACCCGATAACGTCCCTAAGTTCATTTTGTCGGTCGCGATCATTCAGCTTTTCCCGGTCTGAGAGTACGTTTCATCCGAACAGGCGGCTATGGCGGCAAGCGGAAGTGTACGAGTGATGCCGAGGCTCGATCGGGAAAATCTAGATCTACTTTCGCTTTCACTACCACCCTGAAATTTGCCGGTAAAAGTCTGATAACACAACATTGTTGTAACATGAGGTTTGTGCATTACAAAGGCTGAGTCGCTGTGAAAATGAATCAATAATTGTCACTTGTGTAAAAAGAAAAGAAAGTTATACAAGCGTCTTGTCGTGCTAGCCATCGTGACCGGTCACTGAACCTGCGCGTTTGTATGTCACACACATGATGATAGGGCGTCGAGTGAGTACCGCGAATGTTAGGGTCACTAAAGTTCATTTTAAGTCTGAGCGTTGCGAAGTATAGGACTCCGGAATGGCGGGATTATTAATTAAAAAAAAAAAGATACACTCGGGTGGGGGGGGGGGGGGGTTAAAGGCAACACCAGGGGGAAAAACTGAACTTGGTAGCAAATTTTAGCATTAGCATTTAGAATTTTGATTGCAACGAGAGCTTTCTGCATAGCGCATGTTGTGCAGGACTTGTGTGGAATCGGGATCCGTCATACCTTGTAAGCTGTGTTATTGAACTAAAAGGTTGGTCATTCAGGTGTAAAAGCTTTGAACACTCACATGGTACCTCAAAAACACATGAAAGCCCAAACCAGCCATTGTGGTGCCAAATCTATTCTTAAGGTTACCAAGAACAGAACAAGTGTTGTGAGAGATACTGAAAGGAGCACCAACAGTAATATAATAGTAATCAACTAGAGCAGTTGTTGACACGAGTCTTCTCATTCATGAGATGTTTTCAGGCTGAAAAATAGCTGAGATTTCAGTGTAGTTGCACAAAACGTGGCTACCTTGGAACATTAATTGGGATTGCCCCAGTGATGTAGTCGGCTATCCTAAGATGTGTACAAAATAGCTCCTTCTATGTGATTCTCTTTGACGAGAGCCGTAACACTGACAATGGCAAGAAACAGCTTGACTTATAGTGGTAGGATTTTTTTGGGTGTGGTAGGATTTTTAGGAGGAAAATTTCCCTGGCCACCCTGTATATTTTAAAAAAGTTTTACCTCTCTCATATGAGCACTGACAAATTAGTTGATATTGGGCTGGACAACAGTGTGGAAAAACCTGGTTCAAATCATCAACAAAAAACTCTTGAACTTGTGTGAGAAGTTTTCAAGGAACTGCACTCACTTCGCTTGGCTATGTCAAGGGTGGATATTTTATTTCGAAGACTTGAAGACTTCTTATGACCTGTCTGCATTCGTAGGGCCATATTAAATGATATTGTACCTTTTATTTGTATAGTGGGGTCTGCTTAAATCATACACAGATAATCCAAAAACAGCAGCAAACCGAAAAAATAAAATTCTTTGTTTTTTTTCTTCTTCCACCCGAGCAATCTCTCTAAATTGAAATTTCAAGGTAGTCTTTGCAAATTTTGGTTTCAACAGACTCCATTGTATGTGTGTATACATATATACAGTCAAACCTGTGTAAGACGGCCACCCATTGTCAAGGAGAAAAGTGGCCGTATAAGACAGGTGGCCGTCTTAGGCAGGACTGATCAAGATGAAGGAAACAAACCATTCTCATCTAAGGCCCCAATCGAAAGTAGCCGCATTGTTGTTGTTTTTGCTTTTGTAGGTGCTGATGGTGGTGGTGGTTTGTGTTTTGTTTGTAATTTTTATTTTGTTGCTGATTTTGCACAAGGGTGACAATAAAACGAAATGTATCAGACGAAGAAGACCGAGTGCCATGCGTGTTAAAACAAACACATAGGTCACCGCCACTCGGAGAATGAGCAACGCTTCTGTCTCAAGTTCATGTTGATGTCCTTTGTTACTTTGTTACAGACTGGGTAAACAGTGACCACTCATCTCACTTACGATTTGTGTATGAGTTCTGGGCGGGGCTTATGGGTTATGAGGGATCACATGCTTACCTCACCAGCAGCTGAAAATTGGTAGCTATTGGTCAACAATGGGAGGGGCCTACGCAACATGATCGGTTGGAGGGACTACCTAACAACAATGACAGGTGATTGAATTATGACGGCTCGCCCACAACGCCAGGGGCCAATGCATTATTTATGACAAAACGTAATGGAGTCACTAAGGTGGCCGTCTAAGACAGGTGTTATTGCTTAGTGTAATAGGGGTTGTGTGTTAAAATATGGTGGCCGCGGCCGCGTTGGACAGGTGCCCGTTTTACACAGTTAAATTATATAGAAAAAACGCAAGGGGGGAAATGGAAAGTGGCCGTTTGTACGGGTGGCCATCTTATAGAGGTGGCCGTCAGGGCAGGTTTGACTGTAGTTGTTTAATATAATGCCAGCTTGAAAGGAAGTATTTATACGATATCCCATCCGAGTAATGTTCGGGGTCAGTATATTTCAATGCCCTGGTCAGTTATTCATTTCTAGTAGCCGTGACACCTTAAGCAGGACAACAAGGGCCAGCTTTAAATGTTTCTCTGTTAGACTAAGAATTAAATCTTCTTCAGTGAACCCTTGTACTCAGCCCTGCTCTGTCTGCTTCCCTTTATTTAACATTTGCAAAGTGACTACTTCTTTATTCTTTGTGCTTACTTTGGCAATTTTATAGACATTTAACAGGGGTGGTTGGAGGTGTCCTTGGTATTCCAATGGAAGGACCACTTCTTTTCTTCCCCCCTCATTATTTTCTGTCTATCTTGCTTTATCTTTTCCCTGCACTAAATGACCATTTCAGTGTCCCTATACTTTTCTGTGCTTGAAATTCCATCTGAAATTTGACATACTATTTATTGCTGAGCCAGGTTTCAAAGAGAACATTGCATCGCACATAGATAGGAAATTCAATAGTAATTATGCTTAAAAACTTTTGGATCAAGATAATACAGTCTAGCACTCAGGTAGCTTTTAATTGGCGGAACGTGGAATCCTTTTCGTTATCATTAGGAATTTCGCTATTCACATGTTTTGAATACAAAGAATGTACATGTAATGTATGAAAAATAATTTATTTGGGACGTAAAAATCTGTTCGCTATGTGCGTGTTTCGCTTTATATGTGCATGTTTGCTATGTGTGTGCTAGACTGTAGAATAATTCAACAGAGCTGTTGACTGGTGTTGTGTCTACCCAGAGCTGCTCACTGAAGGGTTATCAGATTCTGTTAGTCTTGTTGAGAGATAAAGCATTGTTGATTCAATGAGACAATGAAACATAGAAAGAATTTTTCTAACTCAGTTGAAGCCACTGAATCGATTGGTGCTAAGTTTTGCTGGAAACTTTTTGTGTTTTGAAAATAGGGTTTTTTTGGGTTTTTTTTTGGGGGGGGGGGGGGGGGGGTTAGTTTTTCTAGGAATTTATTATTTTTTTCATGTCTCTTCTTTCAGGTGTGGTTATGTACTGGGGTGGACGTCCTAAAGAACATGCCCATGCTCAAGAAGATTCCTGGCAGAAAACCCTAGAATTCTTAAGAGAGAACATTCCCAAAACTCTATAGTTGGTTCTGTGGTAGGCAGTGATAATGCATGTTCTTTGAGTGTGGTTTGTATAGATAAACAGAACCTGCGTATATCAGTCGAGCTGTGAAATGAGGAAAATTTGTGCAGCATGAAAGTGGATTGAGTTACTTTAAGGTCCCTTTTTTCAGGACACACCTTGAATTTCTGCAATGAGAGAATACTCAAGATTACTGTTTCAGGTTTCAGAGCTTCTTGTAAGCTTAGTGAATTTAATCTAAGTATGTGTTTTTGTATGCTCTCTAATAAATGCCAAAGATCATGTCAGACCACCACCTTTCCTACAGATTATAGCTTGTTCACTTTTGCATGTCTATGTTTAAAAAATATTAGTTCAAATATTAATTTACCAATGCCCACATAACTAACTGTACATGGCACTCCTGTAGGCCAGCAACCAAAGAAATATATTTTTTAAAAAATCTTGATCCAGTTATTTCTTCATTTGGGCCCCCACATTAAACATCTCCCTTTTGGGGCAAACATAGAATCTCTGCACTACAATAGATGATTTTATAGTTATCTCACCTACAAAGTGCCTGTTTTGAAACAGCAACATCACCTATTTCAGTGTAATCTTGTAGATTTCTTCCCACCAGTGTCTAAACATCTCCACACGAGTCTCGAAAAGCACTTAGCCATATGTTGCACCGTGTGTCATTGGCATGCGTTAAAGTATGATGTTGATGAAAATAGGTCAACCTCTTTATGCTTTATGTGTGTGCTGTAAATCCCAAATTATTATTTTTATCCGTTTTAGGCTAACATCAAAGGAAATGTGTAGGAACCTTAGTTTGCACTGATCTTCATGAATGGACTTCTAGATTCTGTTGGTCATCCAGCTTTCAGACCCGCTAAAACGTGAGAACATGAAATAGAGTGATTTGTTTTTATCTTTTTTTAACCATGGTCAGATGAAAGTGAACAAGCTATAGTTAGCTCTTTAATTATCATCTCATACAAATCACTGCAGTTGGCTACATTCCTACCACTGATTCGTTACAGGCATGCCTGGTATTTCTTTGGCAAGTTGTTCAAATGGTCCAAGCCCAGAGAGCAACATTTTTTTAGAAGAGAGAAAAAAACCTGTTTCAATTCTATTGCAAATTTTTCCTACGTTATGCATCTTATCACTTTTTTTTTCTGAACATTTAGAATTTGAAATTCCACCAAACATTTGACAGCAAGTAAATGCTACAGATAACAAGGTCAAGTAACTGAAATGTATAGAAAAAATGAAATTTTGGGCTTAATACGTCTGAACAGGTGGCTGACAATATGTGGACATCTGGATAGTGAAAGTGGAGGGTAGTATGCAGGTGGGAAGGTCACTAGCAGTTGAACTTTGTCAAGCAAACCTGCAGAGAGATGTTGAATTGTCAATATAGTGGACAGGAAAGCTCTTCCTTCACTGCCCTGATGATTAATTGCCTACTTGCTCATGAAAGAAGTTCCTGTTCATTCCTGTGTGACAAGTTCTGGCTTTCTATGCAATTATCCCTAAATGTTGAGTTATCAATGTTTATACGAACAAACTGGCCATTATTCTTTACAAATACATGAGCATTTGAGAGATCAAATTATGTTTCTAATGCTGTTAAAACAAGAGCAATTACTATTCAAATGAATAAAAGAAAGGGTGAATGTATAACAGAGCGTGGCAGATAATATTTCATGGCCTTGGTTTTACATTTGGCCATTATCTACATGGACAAGTCGAAGTAGAGGTTCCCTGGTTTTTGACAGATGGTTGTGAAAAGGGACATGATGAAATCATAGACTCTTATTTGCGAAGAAAGTAATTGTGATAATGTGCTGACATATAAATGTACACGACTAAATGTTGGTCTCAATCTGTTGAAAGTGAATGTGTAGTAAATGTGATGAAGAAATTACTGCTACATGAGCAATAGGAGAAGTGCATATTTTGAAAAGTTGTTAATGCAAAGTTGATGTAGGGTTGCTTTTTTATGATTGTCTTGGAGTAGGCTTGAAAGTATGATTTGTAAGAAAGAGAATACATGATGTGTTTGTGTATATGGGCATATTTAAAAGAAAAAAACTGTTATATTGTTCAGTAACAGAAATGTTAAAAATGAAGAGGAAGCATATATGCGAGGCATCGTGGTGAAATCAGGCGCTTGTCAAAATAATGAAAGTGAAGAAACTGGCACTTTTCCGCAGGTTTGGGAATTTTCGTCAAATTTTTTTGTTTGTAGCTCAACACCTTTCATGCCCATGAAAGAACACCTTTTTGTGTGGATTTTACAAAAAAACATTGATTGAAGGCATAAAAGATGTAAATTTTCAGTTTCCACTGACTGTCAAGCTATGGAAATAACTCAACTTTTGCGGCCATTTTCTTGTTAATATTACCTCTGAAACCAGGTGACCACCCACCACCTTCAGTCGCCAATACCTTGACTTGTATCCGAGATAAAAAGATATTCGACAAAAGCTTTGACTTCTTCTTCAGGAATTTCTGGTTGTTGAGCACCATTCTTAGTTGCTATTGACAGTATGTCTGCCAACACTTGTTCTGTCCCTTTCTTATACTTGATTTCAATGTTGTAGGGCTGAAGTCTTTGTATACTAGAGGGACACTTCGCATATAGTTTCTTGTATACGGCCACTATTGGTTTGTGGTCTGTGTACACATGGGTTTTTCGCCCATACACATACTGATGAAACTTCTTTAAAGCAAACACAATTGCAAGTTTCTCTTTCTCTATTTGAGCGTACCGCTGCTCTGCTGCAGTCATACTTCTCGATCCTGTTCCGCTGGTCGTTCATCTTGTAGCAGTACAGCACCTAGGCCATCTTTGCTTGCATCACATTCGATGCTCACCTCCTTCTTGACATCAAAGAACTGCAGGGTTGGGCTATTTGTCAGTGCTCTCTTCCGCTCATCTGTGGCTTTGTCATGCTTGTCAAGCCATACCCACTCACTGTCTTTTTCTAAGAGCTCTCTAAGTGGTAGGCCCTACTGTCAACGTTGACATGTCTTGAATCAACTTTGAGAGGTATGTTATCATCCCTTGGAATCTTTGTAATTCCTTCTTGCATATTGGTTTTTACATGTTTCGTATTGCTGAGACTTTCTTTATGGAAAGTTATACATGTAAAATAGATTATATGAAATTTGTAAGTGTTATTTAGAAAGTTGTTTTAAATTTTAATTTAAATCTAAAATTTATTTACACTCGATTTTTAGCGTTTTAACAATTTTAAATAGAAATGTTGACCAGTATCAGGCCGAGAAATGAACTGTTGAGAAAAAACCAACTTGTTTCGCGCGTTCATATGACCTTATGCTGTTGCGAGTGCCGTAAAACCCCATACTAAAAAAAAAAGACTTTCTTTGGGTCTACTTTGTAAAGTAGACCGCTGCCACCATGTTACGTTTGTATCAACGTGAAATTAGAAACACAATGCCAGAGCTTTCAGAACAGACATTTTATTGGAACTCAGTTACACCGGAAGTGTTTACAACAATTGTGCGAGGATCTAATTAGAGTTTAGACTGAGCGATTGTCTTTATGACGCTTCTCACTTTATGTAGGCCTACCGGAACTGAACTTCTTCACAAACATAATAAATCCTCAACACACCTGATTCCTCCACGTTGTGACACATATGAAGTCCTTTTAAATACGATCAGTTGGTCTGTCAGTTTTATTGGCTTTGCTGTTTTTGCTCAGTCTTATGCCCTTTAAGACACAGAATAGGTCATTTTGACTGTGGGTTATGTACTCCAACAAGTCTTTGGGATGCGAGGAAATTTTATACTTCTGAAATAAAGGATGGGTGAAGAGAGGATTATCCTCTTCTTCTTTCTTATCTTCTTGCCATTTCTGTCTTCTATCTGTCATTTCAGTTTGTTCAGACATTTTTATGTTGTGTGACCATCATTTTGTTACGTCTTCATCTCACCCTAGGGAATGAAGATTCGATTTCAGGTCCAAGAGGGTGTTCCTCTCGCAGTGATTTTTCTTCAAAAAAATATCGAGGGAGCTTTCTTTCTTTATTGTTTTACTGTGTGAACAGTCGAAAAAAAATCAGTCGGAACTTTAACTTTAAGTGAAAAATGGTGCTTTATTAAGTGATGTTTGTGTGATCTTTTTGATTTGTTGACGCCTTGTTTACTGCTTTTATCAAACAAAAAATTATTCTTTACTTTAGAACACGTTAATTCTGCTATTACCAGTGTGTCTTGCTTTAATTTTCCGTTCATGCTAAGCTCTCCACCGGTGATTTCCCAGCAATTATTGGATATTGTACACATGATGTATGTATTTGTGATACAGAATAAAAACAGTGTTATTTCCAAAATATTCAGGAAACAAAAGTGTGTTGTTTTTTTTAAATATTTTTTTTTATGTGGCACTCTTTGACTCCATGTTTTTCAAGGTGTTATTATTGGTGAACAGATCAATTTTGATCAGTGAGGTCGGTTCGTGTTGGTTCCTCCGTGCCTCCCATTTTGGAAGAGTTTGTGATAGTTTTTAATAAATTTGGAATGAATGCATTTTACTGCAAGTTTTTCAAAACAATCATTCATTGTGGAGAATTTCCTAAGCTTCTTGCCTACGTTTGAGGGATTTTTTTGCCCTTCTATCCATTCTGCAATGTTAGCGTGAATTGAAGAAACTGACTGTAAATGATCTGGGTTTCATTATTTTGATTGAATTCCCCTCGCTTGTTTCTGTGGTGTAAACGTCATGGCTACTTGCCTTGCAGGCAAAAGACAAAAATTCAGTTGGTTGGGGGAAATTTATTTGTTAAGTCTTTTTGTGTTTCTGCTGAGGTGTAGTACTGTATCCCTTTCAACCCGGGGTGGTTTGCTCCTTCTTTCCCATCAAACACCAATCATACTTATCTCTTCTCTTCCTCCTCCTCCTTTTCTTGGTATATTACTGTCTAGTAAGACAGCAAAATCAGACGCTTGCAGAGGATCTTCTGCCCAGGATATGCAGGAGTCAAATGAAATGAAAGAGCAGATAAGCTAGCAGGCTCTGCAAACATAGAGGGAGAGCTTACCCTTGACCCTCCAACTATAGTAGCCCTTGTCCGAGAAAACCTAGCCAGCAGCCACGACGAGGACTCCTTCACGAAGGAGGTTGTGATTGCGAAAGGAGTGCAGCTTGGTGAAGGTAGGAAGAGCAGGCTGCGTGACCCCATCAGACGCTACAACAACCAGTTGATGATGGAGACAATCAGCCTGCCCACACTGAAATGGACCCTCATGAAGAGGGGCGAGGAAGCATGGAGCATCCCGTCTTCCTAAGACCCCAGTTCAAGATTCAAGTAATTCAAGTAAGTAATTACTCTTTTGTAACACCTCTAATCTTCGACACTTACGTGGCCGATTTGCGTTGTAAGTGCCGCAAGACTCCTACTAAAACTACGAAATCTTGACCCAGTTGGCCCTGACAGGCAGCATTAAAGCTGTTGGTCTCCTAATTAATTCAGCTATGTTGATTGCGGCGTAAAACACGTATATTATTCAGCCAGACTTTCCACCTGTTACCTTTTCTTTGCTGTACCTGTTTGCACTTTAGTTTCTCTTGATCCTCTGCGAGTTTCATAGTACATGTAGTAGCACTGGAGTTATGGAATCTGAATGAGCAAAATGGTCACAATTTGATTCTTGTAAACAGAAAAGAAGAAGATAGACCTCTGCCAGCTCTATTAACACAGTCGACTACGGATGAGTTGATGTCGTCGTGGGAGTGAAAAAAAACAAAAAAACTCATCCAAAGTACAACTTCACCGTTGGGAGTTGTCAAGAAGAAGAGGTGCTGGGACCCGAGGAAAAGAACAACTTAACTGAAAATTAACTAAGTCAAGTTCAACACAAGCGGAGTCGACTGCATAACCAATATATTATAGAGTGTCTTTAAAAACAGGGACCAATTTAAAGGCCAATAATTCTTTCATGTTAGCACCATTTTCATCAAAACTCCAAGTTAATAAAATCCAACCAAGGGAACATCAAACTTTTCAATATGATAAAAATCAATTTTGTGTGTTCGAAAATATAAAAGTTAAAAAACGGTCAATTAAAATTGAGTAAAAATGCAAGACTTCACTATTTTTAAAAATGTGTTTTGGTAAGTGTTTCATGTCACTCGCAACTGCATAAAGTTATTATGAGCACGCGGAACGCATTAACGATTTTTAATAGGAATTAATTTTGAATTTTGCCCGGGTGGTGGCCGGAGCCTACTCTTATCGATTTTGGACCACCAACCGATCTTTAACGTGTGCACCTTTCACAATGGACCTTCGAGATTTTTCGACCTTATCCGAGAAGGCTAGATGTTAGATCTGACCCATCTTAAGGTCAGGGGTGTAGCTGAAAGACAACCAAGGAGTAACAGTAGAAGGTCTGCAGAAAGAACCAGGAGGCGGGGGGGGGGGGGGGGGGGGCCAGACGACAGAACATGGGTAGAGAGCAGGAGAGGAGGTGCAAGGAGGACATTTTAGAGAAGAAAATGTTCTGTCAGTGTCATGTTTCGAACCCGGGTCCTATTGAATAAAAGGCGAACACCGTAACCTCAAATCCTTGGGAGGCCCCTAAACTTTACTTTAATAGCGCTGAGCTGCAGGGACGTGACCGGCCCATTCTGGTTTCAGGACAAGGACGGTAAAGCCACAACCGCCACATTAATCTATAAAGGGGGCTCTCGTGGTCTAGAAGTTATGCTGTATGTGTGGATGTATATATCGATCTACTGAGAAAGTATCGGAGAAGTTGTTTTTTTTTTGGGGGGGGGGGGTTATGCTGTTGACGAGGCCTGGTTCCTACAGGGTGGAGCTACCCCAAAACGTTCTTATAACATGTACTAACTCTGAGCTTCTAGGGCTACACCCTACACATCACAAGAGTAGCCCTTGCATGGTTGCTAGAAAGGTTTGAGAAATGCCTTATTAGCCGAAAGCTTACATATGAATGGTAACAGCATTCCCCCAACTTGAAAGCTCCCCTGTATTTTCCTTTAGGCTTTCTTTCATGACATAGTCTATGGAAACAACCTATAAACTATTATAACTCAATGTTGAACTGGTGGTCCAAAGAATCGAGCCAGAATCACGCTACGGGGTTATTCAAAATTCTCAGTGGCATATTCGTGCTTGTCTGGAGTGGATCGAAGATATAATTAATTATGGTTAAACACAAGGAGCATACAGTTCAAGTTCAATTAATAGCCATCACCTTCCTTGACTTAATGTGGCTCTATGCCAGTTTTATTTGTTCATCAGTGCACAACTACGCACTGTGTCTGATTTTGAATAGAAGCTGCAAAGTTTTGTGCTTCACTCTGTTTTTTTCGACATCTTTAAAACACGATATTTTTTAATCCTATCCGTACGCATTGGGGTCATTTTGTATCCCCAGGGTTGTATTCTTCACATTTTAGAATATTTCTCGTACTAAAGATTTCGTTGAAACTTTCAGTATTTCTCAAAAAATAATTTTGACAGACGGCTATACAAAGAGGGTGCGGTGGCGATGCGGTTTGTGCGCTCGTCTCCGAAGCGGAAAGTCCGGGTTCGAGCCTAGGGTCGGACGCGGATTTTTTTCTTCCCCTCCTGCACACCCAGCAGTAACGGGTACCTGACTTCGAATTGGGGAAGCAAAGGCGGCGTGGAAAGGAACTGGCCACCCTACCACAATATGCCGAAGGCCCAGGAAATTGTCTCACTAACAAGGCAATCCCCAATGTCCGGCTCGGATGCAGGAACAACTTTTACTTTTTCTTTTACTCTGCAAAGCGTACGGATCGGATTAACGAGTATTTCCCCTTTGGAAAGTGGTTGCACAGAGTTCCCCACGTCGTATGGATTCGATAGTAAAACACGACGTATGGATACAATAGTAAAACACGACTTATGGATAGGGTTAAAAGAGAAGAATGATTTTCTTTGCATTAACAAATTTGACGTCTCTTTGGGTGAATTTCGTTTTCTTTCAAGTTTTGTTGAAATTGGCCCTCGGAGGACTGAGTTATTGCTACTGTATTCAAATAGGTCCTCTTTTTTAAGGCACCCGCTGTTTTGACTTATCATTTGTTTTGTGTTCACTTTTCCTTTTTACCCCTGTAGGCCCACACTGTAAAGAATGTTACCACTGACTGATGTTCTTTGGAAAGAGAAAATGGAACAAAAGAAATTTCCAGACATCTTGGTTTGTTAATCTTATTTATTTTTTGTACTTGTTTTATTTACATTTCCATAAACAATGCAATGTATATATATATATAACACATTAATTTCCAAATTACCACATGGCTGATGTAAACAGATGAAAGAAAATAAGTAATTGTACAGTTTTCTAAAGTAAATTGTACGGAATGGTAGGGTAAACAGATGAGGTTACCTTGCCAGTTTGGCAATTCCGACCTTATGACTACAATTTTGAGTGACAGAGCATCATATCTAATGACGTTCACTTTGCGTTTTGACCGTTTGGAGTCAGACAAAGTCACACCTTGTCATGTTACTCTTGTGGCTCATGCTTGCTGAGGCAAGCTTTCTGAAGTTTTTAGGATTCTGTACGTTCTCAAAGTAATACATTCTCATTTCCTTTTTTCCCCAATAAGTGTAATACGGGGTGCCCATTGGCAGGATCGGTTCAGTTCGGTTTAGTTTGGTAGTCGGGGCTAGCCAGATTGAGGGCGCAAAGCGACCATCGTGACACAAACCGATCGGCCGACTCGCAGCCTCAAAGGCAAATCAGGCGATCGGTTCGTCGATCCCCCAGTGGGCACTGGGTATTACATTAGAGTTCGCTGGGAATCCCTCATACTTTGACCAAGGCTGATTATGCCCCTGTTTATCGGCACAGAATCATTATGAACCAGTTGCTCGATTGACCATATCTTGTAGAGGCCTAGGTTTGTCTTTACTGAGTTCTGTTTGATACACTGGACAGTTCTGCTACCCTACCTGGTCAGATCATGCACACCCGACTTGCTGAATGAATGTGGTCTGACTTAGCACAGAGCCTCAGCTCGGTCTGACGTTGTGTCCTTGGGAAAGGCACTTTACGTACATGAATTTCCCATTTGACTCGGTCCTTTCGGAGAAGGGCGTTAAACTCGGAGGTCCCTCCTCTTACATGACCTAATAGTGTTGATAGGGGCGATAAACCTATATACCATTTGACTAAACTCAGGCGACAGACGACTGTCCTTTTTGTAAGGTTAATAAAAAACAACCTCAACTAATATCATCCATTCCACTTCAAACTCAAACTATGAGAATTGGGATAACCACCGGCAGCATATGCTTCCTGCCCGGAGAAGAACTGCTTCTGTTTCTTTAACTTTAAAAAAAGCCCTTGAATCCTGTACCTTTAGGTCTATTGTCTCGACGTTTCCCAAATACCCGTCCCTGGACTAATCGATTAGTTGAAAGTGTTGAGCCAAAGGTGCACCCGCCTTATGGGATGCCGAGAAATGCGCCTCTTGGCGGTTTTCCCGGCCTTCTGGGTTCAAAGGACTAATGGTCGGATCAGCAGTTTGTCCATTTAAAACATCACAATGTGCCATTTAGTTTGCTACTGTCTTGGTCTTGTAGCTCGGCGACGGAATCGTCTCCGTGGATTGTTTTCTCTACTTCTAGACTGGAGAGTTCTTTGAGAAAGTCACGTGTCAGTCGCGCCAAGTGGTCGTCATCGTTCTGCTGTGGGTGTGTCTCAGCGCCGCGGATCAGTTCCTGGTGGAAGAGGAGACCAGAATGTTATGTTAGCATTGAAAACAAAATACAATGTTCAATAACACCAGCAAAATCAATTGTGGATTTCATGGCCGCATACAGCACGATTACCAACACACAATCCAGCACAACGTGCCTACATAAAAAAATTCGATGGCAACAAGGCTAGAGGGCGACCTAGAAAGACCTGGATAGATGAAGTCAGGGAAACATTAACCACCCACGGCATCCCCCTGACCCAAGCTCTCCGGCTGGCGACAGAGAGAGACATCTCTTTTTTCCCGCGACCTCCAAAAGGGTATAAGCGGCGGATAAAAGTAAAGTAAAATGTAACACTGTGAGATTATTTGGGAGAGGGGTGGTGGGGAGGCGAGACCTCGAAATTTAACGTCCATCTCCTATTGGACCGAGTTGTGTAGTGGGGAGTCTTTTTAGAAAACTCCGCAAACAGTCCAAGTTCAAGAAAGCTCTACTGGGGATTCGAAACAGGTTCATCCGCTCCAACAAAGTCGAGCAAGATAACATCTGAGCCTGCCCCCCCCCTCTCTCTCTCTCTTGTTAGTGTGTGTGTATGTTTGTGTGTACGTGTATGTATGTATGGTGTGTATGTGTGTGTGTGTGTGTGTGTGTGTGTGTGTGTGTGTGTGTGTGTGTGTGAGAGAGAGAGAGAGAGAGAGAGAGAGTATGTCTGAGCGCTTACAGTGGTACTTGACAAGGTAATACCTTAAGCTTGTGGTTCTCATCCCTAAGCACCATGATCTCGTTCTTCAGCATGCTGTTCTCACTGCTCAATGTGTCCATCGTGTGGCTTTTCAGTGTCCCTAGTTCCTTGGACACTGCGTTCTTTTCTTTCAGAAGTTCTGAGTGGTAAGAGAAAGGAAGAAAATGAAGCTTATTTCGGATTTGTAAGACATTTACATCATAAACGCGTATTATAAAATTGATTAGCAGATTCTTACGTCATCTTTAATACGGTGTAAAATAACTATGCAGGGGTAAACATCATTGACCGGTGCCTGTGTTGTAGTGATTAACGGCGTTGCTGTCGTACACAGGAGACCCGAGTTCGATTCTCGAATGTGGACAATTTTGATTGAGTATCTCTGTCTTTCTGCTGAAATGATGTCTCCTCCTCAGCTCGGCTTGGCCCTGACAGGCACTGTCAGAAGCTCGCCTCCTAAATGATAAAAACTGTGCTGATGGGGACGTAAAATTGCCCATATTAAAACCACCAAAATCATTGGTATGCTTTAAGGACGTTGCTATAACAGCCAAGTGTTTCAAGAAGTTAATTGTAGCAATAGTATCACTGAGAAGGAGAAAAAGACCTGAAATACACACACAAGAAAGCCAACAAGAACTCGCTTAAAAGTGATGATAGCTGATGTTAGTCACAGATAAAGGGCACGCCAATTAGCTTACTCGGTTTCGGCTGGATCATCGTTATTCCCCCTGTTTTTCCGAGTGTGTTGAATTTGACACAAAACTACATCCGCGATCAAAAGTTCTTTTCTAAAAGATTAGTTTGCATTATACTCAGCCTCCATTGTATATATCCTGTAAGTTTGGAGCTATAACCATGGATCTGATTGGTCTGTGTTCAAACTAACCCGTTCAGTGTTCCAGTGTCTGTGGTGTAACGGTTAAGGGCGTCGCTGTCGCACACAGGAGATCCGAGTTCGATTCTCGAGAGTGGAATATTTTTATCGAGTATCTCAGACTTTTTGCTGGGATGTTGAGTTCGTTTCTGACTGGATTGACCCTGACAGGCAGGGTCGAAGCCTAAATTATCCAAATATATTAATTGTGTCAATATGGGAGTTAAAACACCTACACGAAAGAAAGCCAACATACAACTATTTCTATTCAACGCCTTAAAAGGACGTTCAACTTCTCAACTCCTGTTTGATGAGCTCTCTGCCTCTTCTATTTATATATCGGCATTAGAATTTGCCATAACCAGTCTTTAAGCAAAATATGATCTTATTTTGCGTTGACTAGCTGTTCACCTATCCAAAAAAATTCTTACGTAAGACAAAACCCACCCCCCCCCCCAAAAAAAGACCAACAAAAACAAACAAACAAACAAACCAAAACAACAACAACAACAACAAAAAACCCCAACCCCACACAACAAAAATACCAAACAATAATAACGATAAGTACCGGAATATTTTTGCGTGGCGTCCTCCATACACCGCTTGTGTTCGGCTACTTCCGCCTCCAGATTTTCTTGTACTTCCTGTGCCTCTACCAATTGATTCTCCAGCTGTACCACGCGCATGCTCAGTGCGTCAACTGTTTGGTTCAGAGAAGACTGCGGGACAAAAGATTGGATACGGATAAGAGCTAATAACAAAATTAAAAGAAACACGTGCAATAATAAATGTTGCTTAGATTTTGACTTGTAAATGTACAACCCATCTACTGTACATGTATTAAGTGCATATTATACAAGATATTTTGACTCAGTTGGGGGAAAAGGGAGTGTGGGGGGGGGGCGTTCAAATATTTTTCTACTCGTCCTTTTGGATGAGCAGGTTAATCAGTCTAAACCATTATTTCAAACTTCTTTCTATCTTTTGATCTTGTTTAGAACGGAACAATAAATCAATAGGGCTGCAGTTCTATCAAGGAGGGCATAAACACTCTTTTACAGCTTAAAAAAAACAACGAGAAACAATTTATAACGGCCATTTTCACGGAAAAAAAGAAGGAGGACCCGAGAAGTAGACTGAGATTTATGGACAGACAAGATAAGGACATAATAATACAAGGGAAACAATGTTTGAACAAAGGGACATTTTGCATACCAAGACAACAAAGCCTCACCATATCACTCCTGAGATGGGACTTGTAGTCTTCCAGTTCTCCCATCTTGAGCTCCACGCTCATCTCTCGCTTACTGAGTCGCCACTTCTCCCTTTTGAGCACGCCCACCACATTGCGGGCAGACTCCACGCCCTCGTGGAACCGCTGGATGATGCTGGCCCTCGCGTCGTCCACCTCCTCGTTCTCTGCGCTCTGTTGGGGTTTACGTTTTATTTTTTGATAAGAGTTATACGGCACTTAAAACACAAATAGATCATATAAGTACCAAAGGTTAGCAGTGTTACTAAAGAGTTACATACAAAAAAAAAAGAAAAAGAAGAAGAGCTACGGATGATAGATGTTCGACTGGAAAGAAGGAGCAGGACCACAGCAGAGCACCCAAACCAGCGACGATCAGTGGGGTACACAAGTGAAAACAATAAACTATTATTACGTGGCTACTTTAGATATGGTACGGTAAGGAAGACCAAGAAAAAGATGGACTGAAAGAGTCAAAGAGACTCTCCAAAGGAACAACATGAGGACCAAAAAGGCAACATACCCAGCCCACGTCCGAGACAGTTGTACACCTCCTCAATACTTGGGGGGCAGAAGAGGACAGAAAAAGTAAATAGTAAAGTAAAGTGAAGGTTAATGTTTGGGTTAAATGCCTCTTCAACACTGTAAGGTTATTTGTGACAATGGACTGATAAATTTACTGTCTATCTTTGATAAAACTGGCTAGTTTAGAGCTACGGAAGCTCCCCAAACAAATGACGCCCAACGACAAAGTTCGAACCAGAGTCTTCAGCCTCTCAGCTGAGCAAGTTATCAACTCAACCAAAATGAGGCTGACATAAATTAGCAGCCACTTCCACAAGAGGAGCTCCTAGTTCAAAGACAACTTTTGGTGAACTGTTGTACGTTTTTTTATTTAGAAAGAAAGCCCTCCTCATAGTTTGACTGCTCAAAGGAGAAGTTACGTAAACAGCAATAACTTTTGTCAAATAATCCTTTATCGTGATGGAAAACGAACTGAGGTAATTTCGGAGTGACACTGATTCTAAAGATTAAAACCTTCAATTCTTGGAAGAATGAGTGCAAGGCGCCAGAGTGGCGTATATCAAAGGTATCAGAAGATCAAGCCAAACATTTTTGAAAAGATTTGCTTCAAGTTAAAATATAACGATTCTTCAAAGAGTTAGACCTCTATAGGTTTATTAAGGTGTTAGCTGGAATGCTTCTATGAAACTGTCTTCCTCGAAGATCGATCTTAACCGAAATTCAATTTCAGGGTTTTTAGAAAAGCTCATCAAATGACAATGACGCCTACTGGAGAGTAAACGCTTCCCCAAAGCAAGCTTGACTGCTCAATTATCAGTAGCCATTTCTTCTACAGTGAGGGTCTTATTTTCAGATAACCTACGACTTTTGAAGTACTATGGTCAACCTCTTTTTACCAGGAACGGGTTCTCCAAGAGAACCTAGAGCAGCTTTCAGACATCTAATATTATTTTTAAAATGAGATTTCGTTCACAACCATTCTCTCCTTCACATCGCCAGTGGAAAATGAAGCTTAAAGATTGAACGATTAAAACCCCCACTACATTCACTGTAATTCCCAAGATCCTACTGTGTGTTGCTTAAATAAAAAAACAAAACAACAGAGAGTGTCTTCAAAGAAAACAATTCGACCACATGGGAGATCTGGAACCATTCAGGAAAGAAGCTGCCCAAACACCTGGATATACGTCGGCATAAATACATTAAACCTGCCTCAACGGGTGTCGAAGAGCTATAAAAAGCCCCCCCCCCTTCCTGTTGAGTAGCCAAAAAATGCTTTTGAAGGTTCAAGCATAAAACAAGAAACACCTCACAACATTTTTTGCATACTCTTCTTAAAGAGAGACCTAAGTACAAAATATAGGTTTTTGTATCAGAGACATCGTATTCATGAACTCGGCAATCCGCGATAGGAAATATTCTATATAATAACAATGGAAAACCCCAACTATACACAAAATGGACCTTGCCGGTAAAACAAAAAATCTAAAAAAAAATAAATCCACAACTCGGAGCTCATTGTGACATTAAATTTAAGCCTCTAAAGATTGACATTCTCTCAACACAGACATCTACTGTTCATTCTTCTACATGCATATGATATCGAGGCAAAAAAAATGTAGGCCTCACCGTAATGTATTTGTCGTCTATCTCAGTGAGTATATCAGCTACATCCTCTAAATTATCCAAGAGGTTCTCAGCTGTCGTCATAAGACTCTCGTTGCTCGCTTGACGCCAGTCCGCGAAAGACATGTTGGACGCCATTGTCTGCTCTCCACCTTCCCTGCTGGTGATGGACGCAGTCAGGCTGCTCAGGCTGCTGTTGCTGCTGATGCTGTCGGCGTTGCTGTTGTAGATATTATTGTTGTTGTTGTTGCTGTTGTCGTTGTTGCTGCTGCTGCCGCTGTTAATGATGAAGGTGTCGGGGCAGCTTGTGGAGCCGGGGGAGGGAGAGTTCTGACCTTGCCTGCCGCCTCTGTTGGCGCGCTGGATGGTCGGCGAGGACACCGGCGAACAGGCTCGTCCGATCACTTGAGACAGGTTGGACCACCTGGACAAATACAAAATACAATATAGTCCAAACTGTCTAAGACGGTCACTCATTGTTCAAGAGAAAAGTGGCTGTCTTAGACAGGTGGACGTCTTGGACAGAGTCCATGATAATTATAAGAGAAAGAACAAGCAGGAAGTGGTCATTTGTGCAGGTGGTTTTCTTGGACAGGTGGCCGTTAGCGCAGATTCGACTGTGTCTGTGAATGTACAATATGGGAATTATTACGAGCGGTGATGGTCGTTTGGGGGTCTGGCTGCCGGGATAGTATCCAATAGGTCATGGGTTTGAATCCCATCAGGGGCCCGACGCTAAGTCCTCGGGAAAAGCACTTAACATGGTTTTTCTTCACTGCTTTTTCAAAATGAGGATGACAGGAGGAAGAGGAGAAATAAGCAACAGAAACAGTAGAAGAAAAAGAAGAAGAGAAATTTTATCAAGCCATCACGTACCGGTTTGAACCCATACCTTTGGCATGAAAGACGAGTACCATTCCTGTAGGCCACATTTCCCCCAGCGTGGGGTATACACTATCTGGAAGGATCAACGAAACAGGGAAGAATAACACATGTTTTTCTTTTTCAAACATTCACCGATTTTGAAATAATAAATTTGACAACAAAAGTAGTTCAACTTTCAGTTTCTTTTTTAGGTTTAATTTCTTCAACACAACATAATCCATTGCTTCTCAAACGTTCAATTAAACTGTTAATGACACGTCTCATTAATTGCCACCCTTTCCCAATCACTGTAGTACTGTAGTAAAAGTACATGTATTCTTTTTAGAGAGCTCCGGTTTTAGAATCTTTGGAGTGCAGTTATTTCTTAGACAATGTTTGAATTAAGAAATAAAACCCCTCTCTGGAGACATCATTAACCACCTTACTGTGAAATTAAGTGCAAGGTATATGCAATCTCTCATTCCCCTTCGGCATGACCTTTTTATACCTAAAGACAGCGTTTGTACGCTTACCCTTCCTCTCCCCTATAAATACACAAACGAGAAGGCTTGGCAAAGCTGCAACTCTCCACACATTCATAAATCCACCGAAAAAGCCTCCCTGCCCCTCAAAAATCTTTTCTTTTTACCAAGCAGCAGTGTTCTGGTCCCTTTAGTTCGAAATGCAATAAGCAATAAGGTAGATTATTGATATGGCCGACAATGGTGGGTTGAAAAATTAAAGGCTCTTAAAATTGAAACTTAAAATTCAAGGCATGTGCCAACAATAATGCAGTGTAAAGCGCATAGGGCTTGTTGTTGAGCGGAGATATGGGCTATACATGTGCTATTTATTATTCATTTACAATTTGGGACCACACCATTGTACCTGGAAACTCGTTTTACATTATGGAGTAAGTTTTCTAATTGAAAAAAACCCAAACCCAACAGACCGTTATTTCACTACTTCTTTCATTTCTTGCTCAGCCGGATAGCCAGGCATGAGATAGATTTTCAGACTCTTAAAAAAAACCCCAACCCCCAACCTCCCCCCCCCCACCCCCACAAAAAACTACCAACCCCAAAAGAAAACAAAGAAACAAACCAAAAAAGCCCAAAAAACAAACAAACCGAAAAAAAAAGCAACCACAAAATGAAAAGAAAAATTCCTAGCATCTTCCTCACTATTGGCAGCTTTGAATGCATCTTACAGTTTTTAACTGATAGTCTTATATCTTGACAATAAAGAAAAAATAATACACGTATCTCCAAGACACCGAAAACCATGCACAATTATGTTTTTTGTTAGAAGTTATAGAGTTCTAAAAAATGAATGTCCAAACCTTGTCAAAAACTGTTTTCTTTGCCGCTGTACTGTGAACACATATTCTTCCAGCTTTTGTAATGCCTAAGTTTGTGATTTGGGCCCGCTGAAACTCTGATCTTATGGCATACAATTTCGCCCCTGGACTAAGAAGGTAGTGCACCCCGTCTCTCGACAATGCCTTACCGGTGACCCTGAGTTCACACCAACGTCACCACGTCAAGGAGCAATCTGTCTAGGGTCATCAAATGGTAATTAAGTACTTTTCTTGTCAGCTTACAGCTAATGTGCAAGGGAAACGAATGACTCTTTCGTTGGAACACAATGACTCTATTCACAGAAGCCGAACAGAGAAAGGCAAACAAACCAAATTTTCTGAGGTATTCCGAGAGGCGAAGGGTTCACTGTTCGTTTTGTGGAGCAGAGTTTTGCACATTACTATGTTTATTTGGCCTATTAGAAGCGACTGAAATACTTTGAAAGGAAATTGAGACTGCTATAAACGACCCAGTTGCATACATTTTCAAGTGGACTTTGGTTTTTTGATGCTTTGCGTGAACAGTTGTGATCGATAGTCTGCCCACAGGGACCATAATGGGCTGTTTTCGTCTGAGACTGGTTGAACCGGACATCGTCGAAGAGAGAGAGGGAGAGAGAGAGAGAGAGAGAGAGAGAGAGAGAGAGAGAGAGAGAGAGAGAGAGAGAGAGAGAGAGAGAGAGAGAGAGAAAGAAAGAGAGAAATAGAGAGAGATAGAGAGAAAGAGAGTGAAAAGAGAGATTGAGATAAACATGCGCGCACACATAGTCATACGAGGGAGGGCGTGCGCGCACGCACACACACACACATACACACACACACCACACACACACACACACACACACACACACACACACACACACACACACACACACACACACACACACACACACACACACACACACACACACACACACACACACACACACACACACACACACACACACATAAACACAGAAGGAGAGAGACAGAGGAGGGGGAGAATGTAACATAACAATAACAATAAAATTGCTTACAATAGCGATGGCAATAATGATATTGGTATATTAGTCATAATACACTAAAGTAATAACAATAAATTTGATTTATGACAACAACATTAATAATAGTGTGATAAATTAATAATAATTATAATGATGATAATAATAATAATAATAATAATAATAATAATAATAATAATAATAATAATAATAATGATAATAATAATAATAATAATAATAATAATAATAATAAGAAGAAGAAGAAGAATAACAATAGTAGTAATAACAGCCACAACAACAACAACATCAGTAATAATGATAATAATAATAATAAATAATACAATAATAATACAAACAACAAATTATTACTCTATCAGTGTGAATGATAATAATGAGTAACAATGTTATTGCTAATAATGATTGTAAAACAGTAACGGGTCGTGATGACATTATTTAGTTTTAATTATTAGATTATACTTTTGTTATCTTTTCAAAGCATATTTACTTTTACCAGTTATGCATATTATCAATGACTTTTGTGCTCTGCATGAACATATTTTTACACTTAGACTAGTTATAGGGATAAAACTATAAGAAACATTTTAAAGCAAAGCAGGATCATATCGGGTATATATTGATAAAATACAACTGTATAAACTGTTCCTAATTCACTCAATTTTGCAAGTGACTAAAAAAACCCCAAAACCCAACCAACCGAAAAATAACGAAACAAACCATTCAGGCTCAAACTTCTGAAAAACCAGCCATAACTTTGAAAAGCACATAAACTCCATGGGGTTATATACATCACAATTGCATAAGACTGACAGAAAAAGAAGAAAAACAGTCATGCAAAAAATATGGATAGAATTTTAACATTTTCACTAACTTGCTCCTCTCCGCCATAACTTCGTTTAACCTCAGCTGGTCCACTCCGTGTGTGGCGAAAAAGGAAACGCAACTTAAAATATAATCCGTTACCAGAGGGTCAAATGAGTTTACTACCTCTCAAAGCAGGAGAAACTGAGGACGTCTTTGCTCCTCACGTCAACCTCACCACTGTCCCCTAAGAGAACAGATGGTATCTCTCTCACTTAAAGAGAGAGACGACGCAAGGGCAAAACGGGGTCACATGCAATAAAAGGCGGTGACCTGCGGCAGTATATTGCACGAGAGATCAATTTGAGAGTCAAGGAATGGAAATGAGTAAGCGTGTTCACTGGTGTCTCTGAAAGCGATACTCCTATATGTCTTCAACACGTCAATATTTCCAATTTACTTTCTTTGCGGAAAGGTTAATAGGACTTGTAATCTCTCTCTCTCTCTCTCTCTCTCTCTCTCTCTCTCTCTCTCTCTCTCTCTCTCTCTCTCTCTTTCTTTCTTTCTCCCCCGCCCCGGGCGCCCCCTTCCCAGCTCTATTTAAGAAAATCCCATTTCCGACGAGATTAAAACCAGCTTTTCTTGTTTTCTTGTGTGTTGTAATGGTGTAATCTACTCTTGGGCCTTGATAAAAAACAAATGTGGTCCACCTCCTAAAACATGGGTTAACGTTAGAAACAAAGATAGATTGCTTGTAGGCCAAGACACGAGACGGGCGGATATATCTAGAAAGACAGCCTGGGAGAAGCGGGAAGGTAAGGTAGACAAGAGAAAAGGGCAAACAATTTATTCTCAGTTAGTTTTTTTATGTTAGGAGTGTGGGTAGCATGAAAGTGGATTACCAAAATGTCGACGAACAAGCGTTTCTCCGTTAAAAGTATCTGTCCCGCTTCTTGTATGTCTGTCTCGTTCTGTATTTCTTCTTTCTTTCCCTCTCTCCCTCCCTCCCTCCCCCTCTCTTCTCTCTCTCTCTCTCTCTCTCTCTCTCTCTCTCTCTCTCTCTCTCTCTCTCTCTCTCTCTCTCTCTCTCTCTCTCTTTTTGTGCGCGCGTGCGTTTCGTGGTCTCTCTTTCTCTAAATCTGTTTCTATCTCTTACCCTCTTTCTCCCTTCGCTCTCTTTCTCCTCTCTCTCTGCCTCTTTCTCTCCCCCCCCTCTCTTTCTAATGCGCAACTCACATCTTTTAACAAAGTGAATGTCTGGTTGCGACAAACTCTACTGGGACCTGCGCCAACTTATTGTGCTTATAATGTGCATGCATTATCACTGCCTGAAGCAGTAACTCAACAGTTAAATAATCGACTGTCCTTTGAAATATTTACTTCAATTCATGATTTGCTTCT